TGAAAGACAAAAAAAACAGAAAGTTTAAGAGACCTTGAGACATGGAGACTCGCCACGGACAATCTTACAGAAAACGCAGTCGTTTTGGAGATTCGATGATTCCACTTTTTCTTCGCCGGAGCTATTGCAATCGGAAACCCTGAGAATCGAGTCTCGGGCCGGGTACGGAGCAGCTGGGTTGAGATGAGAACAGAGGATCGCGAGTCTTCTAGATTCCATGGATTGGTTTGAACAAAGCAAGTGATGAAGATTGAGAGAGTGGGTCGTCGTGTATGTATGGAAGGAGGGAGTTGCTGTTTTGTTTTATCCACAACCTTCCATGTGATTCAATGACTCTCTCCTCTCTCTCTGTTTTTTTTCATTTAACTATCAGATAATCCCCCCAAAATATGGATGAGCTAATAAAAATATTATTTGACGGGTTTGTTTGGATATGACCCATGATAATGTTGGGCCTACAAGTCACTCCTTTGAACTCTCTTTTAGGCCCAAAGGCCCATGGTTTTCTTGTTATTCCATTAACATTATCTTGTACATATAAATCACTGATAGGTGTGATATGGTTAGGGGACGTTTTTGTTCTATTGTTAGCTTAACAGTATCACAATTCACCATGCAAAGCTTTAAAATGCTAATAGTCAATAACACAAAACAAGACTGAATGGAATATGACTGAAGATTTCAGTGTAATGATATATGTCAAAAAGAAAATAAGTAATTTGGAAGATTTGATTAAACCTATTGTATTGAAAACGATAACTGTATAGCAATTAGCATAAACCTTATAATATATAGTTTATTAGTGCTAGATCCCCGCCTTCAAAAGTTAAAAAGCAGTATTAATATTAACAGTCTTTTTTATAATAATATGAACAGTCTTAGAACATTCTTACTGGTGCACAAAAAATGGAGTACATTCTTACTAATTTACTATGTATTGTCGTCCTTGTAACACTTAGAGTGATATAATGTACTATGTATGTCTATCATACTTATGAGTGATAATTAAAATCGGATGTTTGATACAAACATTATTCATTTACAACCTAAGACAAAGAGAGGCTCTTAAAACATTTTGCAAAAGATTAACAAATTATAAGGAACCAAACAGTTTAAGTTGGGGCCGAAGTAGATATATAGAAGCATCGTTCTCCGTTGAAATTCATTACGTTTCCACGTTTGCAGGTTCTCAATCCACACAGTAGGCTTAACTTCATATCACACTATAAAAAAAGTTAGAAAATGGCCATTATAAAAAAGATCATGGTCCCTCGATGGGTAGGGATGTTTATTTATTAGGCGTGGAGACTTTTTAAAAAGAGACAAGTGGTCGACGTTGCTCCACTTTCGTGTTAACGTTAACCTCAACGTTGACGTTGAAGCAATCTATCATTCAGAGTCAACAATTTCTGCTCCATTCGTATTGACCTTCACGTGATGCCATCTAGAAATCATCCAGATTTTTATATACATTCTAATCTATTTCGCCACTAGAAAAATAACAAAATACCAATCACTGGTGAGGGCATAAGTTGACCAATTCATTAGTTTGATTGGTCACACAATTATTTGGCTGCTATATAGACTTTGTCCGTGTATGATTTTATTTATATAAAACAATAATTTTCCAACTTGTTGCTGATGTGCGTTTTGACCGACTTTTAAAGATATCACGTTCTAGAATTGATAACGTTTGTGATTCTTCAACTCTTTCCTTATAAAATAAGCTCTCCTTCTAGTGAACAATTCAAGATATTCACCTACAAAAAAAAAACATAGTTTACTAAACAAAAAAATATATGAAGACATTAGTATTCAAGTGTCTCCTTCTATTGGCACTTGTTTGCAGCTGCTCTGCAGCTGATTCAATATGGAACCTCTGCAACAAAAACTCAAACGTCTCAAGCAGCAGTCAAATCTCCAAGAACATAGACTCTCTCCTCGCCACCCTCGTCTCAAAGACTCCTTCACAAGGCTTCGTAACAACAACTTCCTCAAGTTACAACAAGAAAGACAATGTCTACGGACTTGCTCAATGCAGAGGCGACATCAGCAAAACCGATTGCACCACTTGCATCCAAGACGCTGCCAAGAAAATCCGTGAAGTCTGTCCTAACCAATCTGACGCAAGAATCTTATACGACTTCTGCTTCTTGCGTTACAGCCAAGAGAATTTCATAGGGAAGCTCGACACGAGTGCTGGTCTCATATACTACAACGTGGCTAACGTAACCGAAACAGATCCCAAAACGTTCGATAATGAACTCGGGAAGCTTTTTGATAAAATTAGGTCTGAAGCGGTTTTGCGTGAGAGTCAAGGTTTAGGTAAAGGTAAGACTAAGCTGACACCTTTTGTGACACTAAATGGTTTGGTTCAGTGTACTAGAGACTTAAGCGCATTAGATTGTGCTCAGTGTTTGGCAACTGCGGTTCAGAGTTTCATGACGACTTGTCACAACAAGAAAGGGTGTCGTGTTTTGTATAGTAGTTGCTATGTCCGGTATGAGTTTTATCCGTTTTACTTCCCTCTTGATCCGGCTAGGACCGGTACTAGTGTCGGTACTATTTCTTCGGTTAGGCTCTGATAAGAACCAGAGAACACATATGTGTGTTACAATAAATAAATAAATTTCCTCTTGTTGCTTCTTTACCATGTAAGCCAGATTAAGTTGAAAAGCTAATTATCAAACTTACTAAAAATAATAAGTGTTTATTATTTTTATAGAATTGTTAGATTACTGTTATAACACAAGACAAATTATCAAATAAGCTTGATATCGTAGATGTCGTTTTGCTTGAAAGGATAACAATCAAAAAATGGTGAACAAGAAAGTGAGCCTCTCTTATTTGTTCATAAAAAAGATATTTTGTTCGAGAAGATATATACAAAGAGCGAAAATTATAAGTTTACGAAAACTTGTAAAAATAAAGAAAAATCCTGAAACTTCATAAAGTTATAAAGTTGTTTTATAACCCATCTTAGTTATAAACTATATGAAATTGTCATATATATAAAACTTTGCAAAAAGTTAAATTTTAAATCTTGATGCTCAACTGCTAACATTTTAAACAATAAAACATCAATAAGACCATCTCTAATGGTACTCTATGATTTTTTTCATATTTCACTCTAAAATATTGTAACTCTATAATAAAGTTGTATTTACTCCAGTGGTATACTACATAATAGAGTTACACTATAATAGAGTGGAATATAGAGAAATGTTACTTTTTCACTCTATATTTGGAGTAAAAAACAACATACCTCTATATCCCACTCTATTATAGCGTAACTCTATTATACAGTAAATCATTAGAGCAAGTCCAACTCTATATTAGAGTTATACTATTTTAGAGTACAAATTTTAGAGTACCATTGGAGATCCCTAACATATTAAAAATCAAACTAGCTTACTTGTTGCATACGTCAAAATCGTGACCGGTTACTGTTCATTAACAGGTAAAAAGTGGTGAGATGGCGGTTTATTTTTAAAAAATTAATTAGTAAAAACAAATAATATTAGATAAAAATTAATATAAATGCTAAAATTGATATAAATTCAGGGAAAAATAAAGAAAATAAATAAAATTCATAAATAAAAAAATTATAAATTCAAAAGTTTATAATAAAAATAAAAAATAGTTAAATTGGATTAAAACTAACAAAATAATAGAAATGATAAAAAAATAGAAATTAGAAAAATGTAAAAATCAAGAAAAAATAGAAAATAGGAAATTAATAAAAATCTGGAAACCAAATAAAAAATTGAAAATGAAAAGTACTTAATCCAAACCTCTTTGGTGTTTAGGTAGACATATAAACATTCAGATGTCTGGGTTCAGAACCTTTAGATCCTACAGATTTGGACTCAACAAGGCACTTGAAAATGTAAATTTTGACCAACTTCATGGTTTTTGCCAATTTTGTCACTTTCATGTTTTTTTTTCCAGATTTGTTTTCTTAATTTTTAATCAATTTGTATAATTTATTTTTGAATTTATAAATTTATTTTCTTGATCTTTATTAATTTTCATTTTCAGTATTTTTTTTTATTTATTTTTTTAAATTTTTTCCTTATTTTTATTTGTTTTTCAGATTTTTATAAATATCCTATTTTCTATTTTTTTTTTTATCAATTTTTACACTTTTTAAAATTTCTATTTTTTGTTTTTATTCTTTTTACTATTTTATTAGGTTTAATCAATTTTAATATTTATTTTTTTATTATAAAATTCTTTTGTATTTTTTTTTAATTTCTGAATTTTATTTTTTTTGCTTTAGTTTTTCTTTGAATTTATATCAATTTTTAGAATTTATATTAATTTTTATCTCTATTTTTATTAATTATTTTTTTTAAGTAAACTGTTATGTCAGCACTTTTTATCTGCTAATGAATTGGGAGCACCGTTTTTATCTAATGTGACCGGTTATTATTTTAAGTAAACCGCTATGTCAGCACTTTTTTATATAATGAACGGTGACCGATTATTATTTTGACGTGTGTAACAAATAAGTTAGTTCAATATTTAATTCGTTATTAATACAAGCTTCATTGTTTAAAGTTAACAGTTGAACCATAAAGTTTAAAATTTAAATTTTTGCCAAATTCATAATTTTTATGTAATTTTCCCCAAAATATGATGTATTTAAAACTCTCGGAAAAATTGGTGATACTAATATCTTAAATCTATAGGAAGTCTTTTTTAAATATGACATTTACAGTATGAAATTTTAACAGTGAAGGTGACACTAAATCCATAGAACAATTTTGTTTACCAGTCAATCGACCAACAAAGCACCACATGGTTAATTTTTCGCGCTGTAATAGAGAGAGATTAATTTCGTTTTGGTATTTTCAAACAAAACCAAGTATATCGGTTCTGGTAATATCCGATACCGGTTTTGTTCGTACATCATAAACCCCAAAGTAGGTTGTCTCGGCTTTCTTCACTTAGCGACTTTCCCAAACACCCAGCTGCCGGAAAAAAAAAACAGAACTATGCTCTCCGTCGCTAAACGTCTCGGCTCCATCTCACCATCCCTCCACAACGGCGCTCCCCTTCTCCAATTCTTCAGAACGGAGGCAGGTCAGCCGAGACGGCGAAACAAATCCCCCTCCCTCCCTCTCAAAAAGAAGGAAGAGAAGTCTGAGTGGTGGATCGTCGACGGAGAGATGCACGAGATCGGCGATCACGTCCCTCTCCGCGAGCGATTCACTATCCCCAGAGACAATATCCCCAACAGGCGACGCAAGCAGCTCCGCGAGCAGTTCATGCGCCGCACTCGCCTCGTTCTTAAAGAATCGGTCAGTCTCTCTAACTTTTCTCAATTCCTAGGGTTTAGCACTGTTTGTGATTAGTGTTATGATGTCTTTTTTTTTTTGTAACGGTAGGAGCATGAGCCATGGTGCAAGAAGTATATGGAATTGTATAATGAGCTTAGGGAGAATTGGGAGAGGCTTTATTGGGATGAAGGATACTCTAAGAAGATTGCGAGAGATCATGCGAATTACGAGTCTGCTGAGGAAGATGATGAAGATTTTAATCCATACAGGTTTTCCTTTTTAACCATGTTTGTATATAAATTGCTTGTTCGCTAGTTTCATGGTGTGTATATTGATGGATTTGGTTACTTGGTCTTTGCAGGACTAGGCGGCCTTATAATGATCAAACGAAGGTAAAAAGTTTGATCTTTTTTTTTGTTGGTTTCTTGTAATCTGACGTTATCTGGCATTTGATTGACAATCTGATGTGATAGCAGGAGCAGGGGTTTGGTAATAGAACAACACAACAAGGGGATGGTAACTGGGACAAAGTCAATCAAATCCGGGACAAGTTTGAGTATGACAGAGAAAGGAGAATGAGAGAAAAAGGTGAGCTCTTTACTTTACCAAAGTATATTTTCGTATTACTGCATGAATAAATGTTGAGCTATAGTGAGTGACAAAGTTATTGCGAGTAGTGTGAAACCAAAGATGAGCCAAGCATGTTGATTCATTTTAAATTGCATATAAGAATAAATCATCAATGGAGAAATAGATTAGTACAGCATTTAGCTACGGGAAAGGTGAATATGAAACTAGATGGATTATCTTTTGATATTTATCATCTGCGCTAGACGGTGTGGTGTTTGTGCTTGAGTTTTCATACCATATCTTGTGCAAAATAAGTTTATTTGCTTCCTTGTGTCTCAGCTGTGTTTGTGTAAACTCTTTCTTATGTTGCAGCCTTTGCACCAATGAATGCTGCACCGGAAGCTAGAGACTCGAATTGGAATGCACAGAGGCAGCCATTTGATGCTGAGAGATATACTCGGGATTGAATTGTATTGTTTTGGTACTATCTATTTCAGTGTGTTACGGAAATGTTGATGTGGCAGATGGTGGAGTCATAAGCTGTACGCAGACGTAGTAGCTTATTTGGCACAACAAGGCTTGGCATATCTGACCGTCAACCACAATAACATTTGGAGAAACCGTGCTGCACGACAGAGTATGCTTGTACTTTCTAAACTATAAGTTTTTGGATCAGTTCTGTAGCGAACAGCTCGTGTACTTCGTTTTTAAAGTAGAGTAATATCTCAAATAACCCTGAAGAGGTTAAGCAAATGGAAATGTATGCTCATGAAACTTAGTCAGAAACAATAGAAGACAAGCAGTAAATAGTAAAAACCCATTGATGTCTCAGAAGAAAAAAAAAAAAAAGCAAGCTGCTAATATAGACCAACATGAAGAAGCAATCAACTACTAGATAAAGAGTGTCAAAACGCTTTTGTATACAATCATAGAGTAAGTGAAATTGCAAACTTGATAAACTAAGAGAGGTAATGATGAGGACCTATGATGAGGCTTGGCGAGCACGAACCAGTGCATTGAGTTCCCTCACTTGGCTTCTCAATCGCTCAGGGTTGCAGAAAAAGTCCATGAATACCCGCCTTTGAAGTTCCACGTCCTTGGAGTGATGCTTCACGATCTGCATCAATAAGTTGTATATTATAAAAGGTGCTGAGTTTGTTCAAATTTTCTATTTCACTATGATTCAGACGTCTTTGTTCGTGTGAGGAGTTAAAATGAGTTAGATTAAGACTCACCTCTCTTTTCTCGCGGTGCTCAAGTGTTACCTCCTCCACTGCTGCAGACAGTTTGGAGTTGATTTTTCCCATTTCATCAAGTTCTTTCATCAGCGGCTGATGTGACATGGGCGAAATAACATGAATTAAAACTCAGATCTTGGTTTCAGATTAAGGACTTAAATTTGTAACAGAGAAGTGAGATTTCTTTTACCCATGGTGTTAATATGGGTTGCGCCGTAGTTGAAGATGCAAAGAGTAGTTGCTGCAGATTCTGAATAAGGGTACACCTGAGAAACGGAGAGAAGCAACATGGATACATGACATGATCATCGTAAATACTTGTTTCTATGGAAGAACTCGAAAATTGTTATGAGGATTTTGGACTCACAGCTCGTTAATGCATCTATTTCTGTCATCTGGAAGGGAATTCTCGAGGTCAGACTGTAGAGATGATAGATCTGACTGAAGAGCAGCTATCTGCTGAATGATGGCTGGAGCTGAGACATAAGTTGATAACCCGGCTTGGACATCTATAACAGGAACAGACGAAAATCGGAGCCTAAATAAGGTTGGGAACATATCAGACAAATGAAAATAATTTTATAAAACGATAGTGTTGACTACTTGAGTGAATGCTCAAGAGATCTCTAACTCCATGTAAAAAGCTGTCACGGTCATCCACTGCTCCCTGTTCTTGGACATCAGATGCAGCTTGGATCAGTGACAAACACCGTCCCTGTATATAGTGTACAGATATAATCAGTTTCATTATCCCATGATTGCAGGAAAGCATGGACTGTGACTCTAGATATAACCATACCACACGGCTTCTTGTGGCGGAGAGGTAACCCTGGAGTTCGGATTCAATTACTTTTAGCAGAGAGAATGCTCCAAGCATGTTTTTCTTTTCTAGCTGACATGCTAATTTCAAGAACTGGTGTCTTGCAAGCTGATTAACCAGGTGATTGATGAACTGCGAAAAAATATTCGAAATATCAAAAGACAGAACGAAAAGTATCTCAAACATGGAAACCACGCAGTCTTGTTGCGAACCCATACCACTTTCTGTTTACTAATATACAGTTCTTGACGCATGACCTTTAAATCGTAGTCACCTACAAGGTTACGGTGAGTAAAAGCATATGAAATCCCAAAATCATCCAAATTTTACAAGTTAGGAGCAAAGAGTAAATGAGTACCTTGCAAGATATAGGTGTCCTGGAGTTGAGCGAGCTCCCAACATAGTTCAGGAATAGTCTACAAGGAAGGACAGATTAAGCAATGTAGTTACGAAAATAAGTGCCTACACCTTATAGTTTAGAAACACAAAACTTGCAACGTTAAGCACTTGGGTACATGAACAGACCTCAGATAAGAGTTTTTCTTCTTTCTGATAAAGGGTTGAGATTTCTTCGACTAGATCTGCATGTTTTCTCCTGCAAAGGTTAGAGCATGATCACATGAATACAGTATGACAAGTGAAAGATTCAATGGTGATATTGTAAATATCTTGCTTTTCTACCTTAGAGAATGTAGATCAAAATGAATATGAGCTTCAACTGATGTTACTTGAGATTTCAGTGTCAATAGAATAGCTTGTTGCTTAGCGTTCTCGACCTGGGCTTCAATCCATTGTCTCTCACTTGTTCCAAAGCTGTCAATAACAAGAGTCTTTGAGAGTGAAAAAACTTGTATGCGTGAAAATTTTTAAGAGATTTATGCAATAAGTGATCTCTAGTATATCTTTCGCCTGGCCACGTAACAAGAGAGACCCTTGCACTTAAGTAACGTGAAAGCTGAAAATTATACTACAGGAGTACCACGCTGTACATACATAGATCGGAGCCGCTGCAGTTCAGATACACGTTCATGTTGTGACTTTTCCAAATCTGCTGCATTGTAAACAACAAGTTATAGATGCACAATAGCTTCAAAGAAGTCAGAAATTATACACCATAACAAGACATCGAATTCCTATCATACAGGAGGAGTGAAATAACTGCACAAGGATATGAGCATTTCAGGCAAACAATAGTATATGAAAACAAAAATCACATTGTAGGAAAGTTACCTCGTAACATGTTTGATGTATCATCTAGACTAACCCATGAGCATTTCGATTTTCCTTCTTCTGCAACTAAACGGTATGGCCCCTGACATGATAGTAGATAAATTACATCAAACAGTGTCATAAACAGATGCAATATGAATAACACTTGATACTTTCTCCATTCTTAGAATTCTTCAAATAATAGCATTTCTCACTAAATAAGAATAAAAACTCAACTAGCTCGACTTTTTTTATATGATGAAAAGAAATTGAAATCATCAGCAAACAATTCACTACTAATGCCATCCACTTACTGTGTCCAGCTGCTTAGTAAACCACTGGTTTAGCTCCTTTGTGCAGGCTGAATCTCCAGCCAAGTAGGCATGAAAATCGGAATAAGCTAAGTAGATTCCATCCTCTGCACATGTGAAATAGCTAATTAAGTTGGCTATAAGAGTTGATGGCAGTTAACCATGATAAATATTATTGAAAATAATCAGTAACGGAACTTTTTTACTAACTTAGATCATGAGTTAGATGTCAAAACCCAACTATTTGTCTATCAACAAGAAGAAATGACTACAGAAGAAACAACTCGCTCCCGTGAAACTCTTACCACAAATAACAAATAGAATAATTCCATTACTCAAATCCTGGCTACAAATTTTAACTAATCACTTTTAAATGAACTAAACACGACTATTTTATGCAGCTACAGTTACACATGCTAATTAAATAGTATTAGTGCATTCAAACCAATTACGATATTCAGCTTCAAAGCAGATTTCCGATACCCACCAGATATGGAAATGTTAAACCAAAAGATAGAGAAGGGATACCTACCTTCGCCGGAATGATAATGCGCCAGCTCTTGAGAAGTGGAAGCCAATCTTCCTAGAACTCCATTCATCTAAATACCGAAAGAACACAACACATACTTATGAAAGACCAAAAAAATTGCAAATCTGTCAGACAGCTGTGTGAGGGCATGTATCAAACCTGCAAGTTTCTAGCAGATAAACTGTCTTCTATAGATGTTATCTGTCCAGTGACAGCAGAAGTAGCAGCAACTCGAGCACGTCTCCCTTGAATCAGAGATGAAGATTGGCCAGTGAGTAAATCATATTGAGTCTGTAACCGCCTTAGCTGCCTCTGCAGCTCCAAGGCTTCAGCCTTATGCGCCAAAGTTGCATCTCTGTCGATTAGAAAGTAACTGTTAGCGGTGTTGATGTAGTATTCGGTAGACAGGACTAGGTACGCAAAATAACACCTCTGATGACATTAGGATATCTCACATAATAAGAACCTGAATGCAGTCATACTCCAAAACCAGGTGACGTGAAACAAAGTCCACGAAAAATTCTCACAGGGTATAAGAAAATAGATTATACAAAAAAAACCAAAAGGTCAGAGAAACCTAAAGCACTCATGTACGCGCATGATGACATAAGGAGATAAGTGACACGAAACTAACGTTCACAACGGGATCACACCATCTCAGAAACACACAGAAACAATGCACCATCAATCCATCATATGTCAATAAAACATAGTATACGCGTGATATGATCACCTAAGGAGATTTCACACACTAAGAGAAAAGCATGTGACGAGAAACTAGTTCCTTGGGAAAATTTTCCCAAAAATATATAATAGTTAAAACTACCCTTAAAGCATGAAACAGAAAACAGAATCGCATGTGTGATATGAAAGTCTAACCTTACTTCTTTTATACTTTCTTCCGCTCCAAAAACTGCCTCCTGATTATTTCTCCTGGAAGAAAATGCTGATATGCTATCATAGGCCTGGTCTAGATCCTCGCCCTGAATCCATAAAGCAAAAAATAACGCAGCATAAGAAGGCAAGGAAATAACATCTTAGGACGAACACATATACGTTTGGTGAACTCTCAAATCCAAAATAAGAAAACATAAGCAGAACGGCACAAGGAGTTACCTCTAAGAGCTTCCCTTCTCTTTGAAACTGCTCATATCTAGATCCAGAAACAAAAGAACAACCCATTATCCACTGATATACGAACTAAACTACATACGAAGAAGTATCTTGAAGTAAAACTCTCAAATTACACTACAAAGAATAGCCATTCACCGAATCCTTCAGGGCATATACAATTCAAAACCTTAATATATGACTACATTTCTGATATTCAGCTGAAAACTAAAATCCAGAAAATCATTGATCAAACGAGATAATAAGCTAAGTAGCACCAATAATCGTAAGTATAATCTAAAGCCTTATACTAATTACATCAATGTGAGGTTCATCAGCTAACATATACCTAATTGGCTAATTCACGAATTCAACCGAATCTGATTAAAAAGCAAACAAAGAGAAGTGAATCGAGAAAACGCACAGGGAGAGTTCGGGGAGGGAGAGGACATTGGAGGGGCGAAGAGAGGAACAGATCCAGTCGAGGATAGGGCGGGCGTCGTCGTACTGGAACGGCCACTCGAAACTATCCGGGTCTAGCTTTCCGGCGCCTTCGTAACCTAGCTCCGCCACCAGAGAGCACAGTCTCGCACCGCTCATCTCCGATTTTGCTTCTTCTGCCAGTTAGATCGCAGGCTCGAGATTGAAATTTGAAATTCACTTTGTCATTTCTGTAGCCGGTGGTTCGATTTCGAAAATTTTTAGGAATAAAAAAATGCGTTTGTTGACAAACAAAAAAAAATGCGTTTGGTTTAAAATTATTTTCTTGATAATACGAATTTACGATTTTTCCCCCTCATCTAATTTTTTTTTATTAGCCCCAAAAATTCGAATTCTGACATTTACAAAGAGATTTCATACATATACTCTCCATAGTCATTTTTAACTAAAGAAATGAGACAGATATACAATAAATAATGACATGGTTTATAACTAAATGTAACATGACACTATATTTAAGGTTGATTTCTATTTTTGGTAAACATTTTAGAATATGAAAATAACCTATGCATCATCTTTAAAATAAATATATTCAAATATCACATTAAATAATATAATAATAAATTTAAATATTTTTAAAAAAATTAAATTATTAATTAACTCTATTTTTTAATCATACAGTTTTCATTACTAAATAAAATTCAAAATTTATATAATTTCCAAAGAGTTATAACTTTTTAATTGTAATTCCATTTGTTTCCTTTTGATATCTAAGAATTTTAGAATTTTTCTTTATTTTTAATTTTTTGATATTTATAAAAATAATTAATACAAATAGATTCAATATATTTTTACCAAAATAAATAAATGGAAAATTATCTAAGATTATAATTCTAAATACATATTTTTCTTAAATAAATGAAAATGTTTATTTTATTTTAATTTTATGTTTACCTAAACTAAAATTTATATTACAATTCTAACATGTAAATAATCAAATCTAGAATATTAAGAAAATTTTTATTTTAATACAAAATTAAAAAAAAAATTATTGTTGCAATAGTGAAGAAAAACACTTAGTAGATATAGTAAACTATAAAAATAGTGTTGGACAATGGGTACGAACTAGCCGTCCGAAATTTATAGTTTTTGGTTTAACATTCAATTGAAGTTATAAACCGAATGGTGAACTTTTTTTTGGAAAAAAAATTGATATTTGGTTTGGTTCGGTAGGCAAGAACCAATCGATTTGAGATATAACAACAACAAGAGAAAAACGAATAAACCAAAAGAAACTAGATTTTACACACCAGAGTTTTTTTGTTTTTTTACCAAATTGACAGAAAAAAACATGTTACCTTGATGCATTGTAGAATTGCTTGTCGTGTTTCCCTATATATACGAAAGTTGTACCCATATTAATATGAAAATTGTTTGACATATATAAATTTGAATTGTGGAATCATCTGTTGGATGTGATTTGATGTGCTGCGCATGCATGTTATATTAGACAATTAGGTTTGGTTCTGTTGTGACTTGTGAGTACAAAGCAATAAACAGGATATATTTTTTTTTAAATATAAACGGTATTGTTTTGGGTGAATCTTAAAGATGTTCACTCTATTGCAATAGAAATTCGGCAAAAAGAGATTAAAACAACATATCCGCGCAAAAAAAGTGGAAAAGTATGTAGCTAATTTAATTCAAAGCGAGTGCCATGATGCCTTTAATCTTGCTTTAGACTTCAGAGTGCTACATTTTAACGCATTCCTTTCCCTGATTTTAAAGCATGGGTCTATTTCTAAGCTTTATTAACATTTGATTGCCATAATTGAACCACTTTGTCTCCTTTTTTTCCTTTTAAACACCAACTTTTTCCCTTTATTTGAACGTGTATTTTCCTTTTGTTTTCTAAAAGATAGTAAAAAGAGAGAGCATTCACAAGGAAATTAATAGTTTTGTTTATCTTGTAACCTGAATTTAATAGTTGTAGGCTTGTAGCATAAGAAAAACAGACAGGAGCATGTCATAATTATTATAGAGTCACGCCCAACATTTACGTGATAATAGTTTAACCTTATGTAAAGTCATTTGGTTATGCTGTCCACAACAATAACATTTGCTTATATATAAAAACTAGGTCATTATTTTCGGAAACTGTTGAAACTCAAAGAATATGGGATTGCTTTTATAAGAACCAAGCTATATAAAAGTTATTGAGAAATTCGGGTGAAAAATGAGAAGGATAACAAGAATGAACTTTAGCTAGAAAAAAGGCTTGTTTTCTACAAGGAAATGACTGTTATTAACATATCTTCTACAAGATTCATCGACATCATGAATTCAAAAAATGTACCATCCAATAATGTAAGTATACCACAGTGAAAAGTGAAAAGAAATGGAGGAGGTTTCGACAACGTTGTTATGTGTTGCAAAAGTGTAGCAGTGAAAAACAAAAAGAGGGAGAGGGATCATCATTCACTATATTAGTAGGGTAGAGATCAATTTGGTATCCAAGTCAATCACATGTATATGGTTTTGATAGAAAACTTAAGTGTCAGTAACCATTGTTTTATATTTTTTTTCTGTTATAACCCGCTAGTTAATTAACTAGTTAGTAAGTACACTTTAAAAACTGAATTAGCTTAGTAACTCAAAATGATTTATTGAAAGTTATCTGCATGAATTGTATTATAGTACATACTTCAGTTATTCAGCAAATCTTAAAATTCATCAGAATCTACCATAAATATTCTGCTAAATTCCATAAATCTCACTGTCTGATCCATTCTCTGGTTTACGTTAACTCTTTAATATAGTCCATTCCTTTTCAAAAGGAGAAGAAGTTAAGAGCTCTGCCACACACAAGTCAAACTTTCGGTAGAGGGAAGAAGCTAAAGCTATACCAATTAATCAACATTGCCCTCCTTCCATTCTCATACCTAATTTCTCACCAAATTCAACAGTTCCACTACCAAAAAACAGTACAAATTTAGACACACTTCAGAAAAGAAAGTTTCAAAACAAGTCTCACTTTTGTTTAATAGTTTACGTAATACAACATGGCTCGCTCTTCCCAAAGCTACTACTACTACAATATCTTATCCTTTAGAATTCATAACCCTACGCATAAATACATACATGATTTCACAAGCATACGGTCTTCCTTTAAAAAAAAATATATATAAAATATTAAGACACAACCAAAGTGATGTCTGACTCAATCCACCACGCCTTGTGGCTTCAAAGCACCCGTGTTGGCAAAAAACACCTTGAAATGCACCCAAACCCACCTCCTCTTTTCTGCAATTTTCAATTATCAACATTTTTTAATCTAATCTTTAACAAAATAAAATAAAATAAAATAAAAAATACGTACCTTTGTGGATTTGACGGTAAGGAGTGTAGGTGAGATCCTGTACAAGTCTTCATCCACGGGCTTTGTCCTACGCTTCACCACAGGTGTTGGACAGCTTATCGGTGCGTCAGACTCACGCGCCTCCGTCTTGAACTTGTGTTGCTCCTTAGAGCTGGCTTTCTTCGGCTCCTGACCCACCTTAGCCTGAGAAACTCAGTAACATTTATTAGTAACGGCGTTAAGGTGGAGTGTTTTAAGTTGAGCAGGGAAGAAAGCAAGTACCCGGCGTCGAGGGACGAGGATAACGGCGGGAGCAGCGACAAGGTGGTGGTTATCGTAAAGATCGCCAGCGAGGTAAAGATCACGATCTTGAGTGTAAGGAGCGTAGTGGAGAAAAGAAGGTTGCTGCTGCTGGTGCTGCTGAGTGGTGGTGGTGGTTGCTGTCTCGAAGCACTGAGTGAATGGAACGGCGTCGTTCCAGTCCCAGCTTCCAAACGCTGGTACGTGGCCTCTCCTGTAGTACTCTCCTATTCCGTATTCCTGATTGAAGAGCAAAAAAAAATTAGACATTATTGTATACCAAAATGAGAAGAGAAGACAGAGAAGGGAGCTTACGTAGTCCATGGCTGATGTGGTGAATGAATTTGATGATGTTAGATCTGTTCTCTTTAAAGTTATCTATATAGAGAGATAGTAAGTGACTGAGAGAGAGGGATTGGGTTTTTTTATTATATGACGAGATGGGTCGTCTTAAAGTCTACTTGTAGGAGTGGTTAGTAAGAGGTAGAGCTTCTGTGTGTGTCTGAGAGCTAAGAGAAAGTGTGTCTTGAAAATTATTAATAGAGTAAGAGGATATTTAATTTATCTATTCTTATGAAAAGTTTTAAGAACTATTATAAGATAGAATTTTGATCCAGTGTGTGCTTATAAAATACTAGAGTACTAGGATTAGATCCGCGCCTTGCGCGGGATGAAATGATTAAATTTGTTGTATTTTTGAAGATAAGAAGACATTATATCTGTTTTATTTGCATATTAGTTTGTTTTGGATTGGTGATTTCGGATTTTAATATCGTCCAATTATATATCTATATTATAAATATTGTCTTTTTGGTTAAATTGCAATTTTGTCTCATATATATGTTTTTTTTGTCATCCACGCGACATGGAAACACGTAAGATGAAAGTATATTACTGTCAACACCATTAAGAGTATTAAGACAATCCCAAATCTTCTTTTAGTCTCGAGATGGGTTGCGAAAAGGCTCATTTCGAGAAGCAAATTCTCAACTTGTATAACGAAATCTCCAATCTCAAGAGCCCTTAAACCTTTCACATATATATGTCGACAATTTGTTCAATAGCTCATGTCCACGTCCTTTCCTATGGATAAAAAATCGACGTTAAAAACTTGTGTCCAAAAGTCCAAAACTACAGAACCAATCTCACCAACCTACGTAGTGAAGATATCGAGTTTTCAGAGCACCACTACTATACGGCCTTGGGATCTCTCGAAGACAACACACTTCACCATGTAGATCTACCCTCAGTACACTAACTACCTCAAACTTAGCAAGGTTGAGTTCAATCTGTTCACGTTACACACGAGCCATGTCCAAACCAAGATCGCGTTCATGGGCTCCGGTACGTTGCCCTTCATATCCATCATCTTAGATACGTCCCACCTCCCAAATAATGACGTTCCAGAACTTTGACATCGACCCTCAAGCCAATTCACTTGCCTCCGAACTTGTCTCACGCGATATTGAACTTTGTAGTTTTAAAGTATCTCGTGTGTTTTATAATTGAAGTAAATAACGTAATATATTGTGAGAAGGTAGTAAATAAGGTAATAAATTGTGAGAAGGTAGTAAATAAGGTAATAAATTGTGAGAAGGTGGTGTGAAAACATTTAATGCAAAATGCTTCTCTTTTAATATATAAGGGATTTCTATATTATAAACAAAACATTTTTGTAACTTTTTCTTAAAAATATAACTTTTTTTACAATTAAATAAAAACATATATAATAAAATTTATTTTTTTAAGAGTAAAATTATGAGATGAGTTTGAGAAGACGTAAAAAGGTAAAAATATAGTTGGCTTAGCTAACTCTTCTTCTTCTTCTTTAAATCTTTCTAACAAAATTAGTACTGTTTTTTTTTTGTTTCTTTATCTCCTTTTATACAGTCTTCTGTACTCTTTCTTTGCTTTTAATTTCTTAAATGTTCTATCCTTCTTTAAGAAAAGTTATGTTGGCTGTATACTTTGTTTTTACATGGGGTTAAAAAAGAAAATGAAAAAAAAACATTTATTTCCATGGTTGACAAACCAAAAAGACTTAACGTTACTTTCACTATAAAACCTATTTATTACTTTCACGATAAAACCTATTTATAAGGAAAGTTATTAGATTGACCAAGTTTTATGGCCTCTAAAGTTGACTTATGCATTTAATTCTAAATACTAATATTACTACTCTGTGGTGTTTCAAAAAAATAAATAAATAAATTACTACTCTGTGCTGGGAAAAAATAGAAGACTCCTAAAAATACATTTAGTGGAGCAGATAACATTGATGATCTTTTATCAGAATATCCATTTGTAAATGAAATTTCGTTCGAAAAAGTGAAGATTTTAGAGACAGAAGAGTAAATAAAGGAGCTTTAGGAAGAAGGGGCCACATGCAACATTACCTCTGTTATGTAACTTTGTGCTCTGTGCAGTGTGCAACCAACATTGCCACGACTCCAAGCAATCCCATTTATTATCTCTTGTCAATATCTTTACCTTTTTGCTTATAAAAATTCATCTTTATAATGAATATGTCCCTCATTTTAAAATATTTCATCAGCACTTTTATTTGGCAAAGGACATGTGGGGTTAGGTTAAAATTATTGAAGATGTACATACCAGCATAATTCAATTTCAACTGCTCATTGCAGCCTTTGAACTTGGTAAAGCAGTTAAAAACACATATCAACGGAATGACGTTTAATGGATGTAATAAATGTTTGGGTTAGGCCAGTTAAACCTTAAAATCTGCTATAAAATTGATTAAAATTTGAAAAGGTATGAATATTATAAATGTTGAAAAGTAACTAACTAAATTTACTTCTTACACCAGAGCTAGACACAAGAGCTAGCCACACAATTAAACTATATTCGACGTGTTATTCTTTGCAAAGCAATATGCTACGTCGTGATCCTATTAGTATCTAAAGTTCACAAGTTTCACTTCTGGTCAACACGCATCACTATTGTGCTTCTCCATGCAGCCTAAAAACCTATTTATAGTCTATCTGACTAATCCTATATATACTCTATCAAAGCTAATTACATCTATCAGCCCATCAAATCAGAGAAAGCAAAGATGTTGGTTGTTATCAGCTAACAACGGATAAATACAATACTCCAAAGAATCATTGGAGTATATAATATAGAACAAGTGAAACCGTTGAAGAAAACGATTCATAGACCAAAGAATCACGTGGACGAATATGACTACTGAGACAAATTAAGAATCTAGAAATCTGGAGTCTCTCAACACACACCCCAACACAGAGAATGAAGGGAAAGGCTGCGTCTACGTGCCTTTGAAGAAAAATGGTCAAAGGCTACTTTTAAACTTTTTTTTTTTTTTTATAAATGAGCAACTCTGAGGAGTGCAGTAAACTTTTGACGCTTTAAAACGTCTGGAGTCGAAAAAGACCGATGAGAGAGCTAACATGTTATATATTCTATTTCTTCCTTACCATACTTTGTCTTATTATATGCTAACTGATATTCTTATTCGCTTTGTGGTTAAAGTAGCTGCCTCTTGTTGTTGACGATACGAACAGAAAGAAAGAAAAAAAGAGAAACTTGCTGTTTTGTTTTCTTGTTTCTTGGTAATCTTGCGATGCTTTACAGAATTATGAAACTCTTAAAAGGCCACGAAGGTTTGAGATAAACCCCCTGAAAAAGACATTTTATACTTGGGCTCAAATTAGGCCCATTACATTTCAGATATAGCTGACTATTACTTTTCAATAAGATGATGTGTTTTAAAATTGTAGAGTGTGTGGTAAGTACTGTGGATTTTTCTTCTTCCATTTGCAGTAAAAAATTTGTGCGCTGCAGTGTAAGGATAGTTGATAACTTGATATATTAGTAACTGCAACAAGAGTCTTATGATATAGTTGATATAATCCAATCTTTCACATGTTTCTACAAAAGCTTTGGGTTACACTGCTATACACAAACACACCTTTTCAGGCACATTGGTATAAATGGATTTTTGCGTGTTGGTATCTGCCCAATGACGTTTATAGTAGGAAACCCAATAATGTGTGGTCAAAAACAAATTAATAACTTCACAAGGCCCAACATCCATACAAGAATTGTGTATCTGACAGGACCACATAATGGCTCTTTCGTAAATAGAGCCTATAAGTTATACCCACAAAAGAAAAGCACAATCCCAGATGCTTATGTTTTCACTACTCCCGACACAAGTTTGTAACAATACTGACAAGTGACACAATACGAAGATTAATATAAACGAATACAGTAAAAAAAATTATTGTTATCATTCTTAACCACCTTATCTCTCTAATCAAACTATCCATTTTAATTTGAAAAAGACGCTTATAACCCTAACACGAACCACACATCAACACAGGAAGGAACCCATACAGTTATGGAGAATAGTTAAAGAGAACCATAATAAACACAGCATTAAATATCCGAGATAATTTTTCGTTTTATTTCACCAAAGTTTAACGTCAAAAGGGGTGAAACCAAACTCAACAGAAGTCATTAGGCTAATCGATCCGGTTTAACTGATAACCGGAGATTCCACAAAAGACAAACTACAAACGCTTCAAAAAAAGGGAAATAGGATAATAATAGAAGAAGTTTGTTCAGAAACCGACGAATAATCACATATATCCGACGGTGACAGTTAAGCCTCTTTACTCTCTTCCTTCTCACTCTTCTCCACCGGAGACACAAAGATCCACGTGAAACCGAACGGATCCGTCACTTTCCCCTTCACTCCACCGTCAGCTTCACCCTCCGAGACCTCAACCTTCACAGCTCCAGCAGCCACGGCCTTTGCAACTGCAGCTTCCACGTCATCAGTCTCGAGTAGTGCAGACGTAGCACCAGTCTTCACACTGTTCAACATAACACAATCAAAGTCAAATCCACAATAAAAAACCCTAAAATCTAACAAAAGTGATAACTAAGCATAATAGTCTTTCTAAAATGGCTTCTAAACAAAATATACTCTCAGATCTGACGTTAAACAAGTGAAACCCTAAAAAACAAGATCTACTCTCCAAAGAAGAGCTTACGTGGAACCAGAGTGAACAGAGACGTCAGAAACAACGACGGTAACACCAGCGAGCTTGATCTCAGCGGAGACAACGTGAGGGAGCTCTTGATCAGCCTTACGCTTAGGGTAAAGAGAGTGACCAGTCTCCGTCGCGTCAAACACCGTCTTGTAGAACGCAACGGCTTCACCGACCTTCTGAGCCTCAACGATCAGCTGCGGCTTGTACGCGGTGAAGGTCACAACAGACTTCTCCACCACAGAAGCACCATTAACAGCAGCGGCAACGTCTTCCTGAGCCATCGTTAAGAAAATCTTTTGTTTGTTACTGAAAGAGAGAGAGAAGTAATGCAAATGGCGTGTGAAGAAGGAACAATCTAGAGGGTTAGATATTTATTTATGGAAGCGGAGAAACGGAATCGTTTCGTGACCTGACGAGGATTCTAAATTGGTGTATAATAATTGCTTTCACGTCCGGGGTATTTTACCCTTGCTTTTGTCATTTATTTACGAGTGTATGCCCCTACTCATCCTTTTCTTTATTACTCTCTTTTCCTATCCTACGGCCTATACGGCTACGTGTCTCGTCCGCATGTCTTCCCTCGTTTGGAACTTTTTTGAAATTAAATTATTTAATATTCGAATATTATTTTTAATAAAGTTAGTTTTTTTTTGTTGTCGATAGTAAAGTTAGTTTGTTATCCACTTTCCCATACCCAGCTAACCATTAATAATTCTTTGTTCCTTAAATAACATTAACGTTTTTGGGTTTAATTGATGTGCTTGGTTGATGAATATTGGGCCATAACATTTGTAATATGAGCCTACTAGATTACAATGGGTTATATAGTGAAACAACACCATAAACACATTTCTACTTGCAAAATCTTTTGTTGCTTGTAACAATGATATAATATCAATACGCGATATCTTCAATAACTTGGACCGTCTTCTGGTGTACCTAACCACAAGTAAACAATACACATATATAAGCTCTAATGGTGCTTAAAGAAAAGATCTAATGAAAGCATATAAAAGAGACTCACCCATTCTAGATGTTGTGTTGTGATACCGGATGCATTACCCGAGTATATGCTACCCATTACCTCTCGAGATTGGAATGAAATGAAAACATCACACAAAATAGCTAATACTTCTATTCCTGTTATCTTTTTGGACAGAGCTGAACGATCAAATGTTGAAAGTTGAAACACACATTTGTGACAGTCTCTAGAAACATTCCTGGCCTTACACTGGTAAGGTTGTCTTCCTGTAACGCTTCCCTGGATCGCATCAAGTGGACCAATTTAGAATTAAAGACCTATCCTTGGTTCAGTGACTACCAAAAGAATCTTCTTGTTGAACAAGAAAATGTGTTAGTTGATCATACTTACCCTTAATCCACTCTGTCTTCTTCCTTGGGTAGAAGAATCCTCTTCATTGCTAAGATCATCTGCACCTTCATCTTTTCCTTGCATCACGTTCTGGATCATTTGCTGTACACTCATTCCAGGTTTGAGAGCTACCAATTTGGTTAGGAAATTCACCTGCTTCAATTATGAAGCAGCAAGTTAGATTGCATTTTAATGTTTAAAATTATGTTCATAAACATGGTATGATGAACACAATAGTAACCTCTGATTCAGGCAAAGTAGAGAAACCACAGTCATTTCTCTCATCAAGTATACTTCCTCTGATCAAATTTCCTCAAATTTGTTATATTTTCCACACATGTGATCTCGAATACAAACACATAGACCAAGCTAAATGCAAAACCTCTAGCAAGTCATCAGTTTGATTAGCTTTTATTAGCTAAGTCATTCATATTTGCTCCGGGTAAACGAAGCTTAGTACCGTCATAACTTTCAAAAGCCCCACAACCTGGAGCTACTCTACACAGCAGCTCTTGTCTACTTTCCTTTTTAGGGGTTCTACAGAGTAAACCAATCACTTGAACCTGAACAAACAGCAATGCTTCAGTAAAATAAGCTAGTGGAAAGTCTTGAAAGCAGGGAGAAACAGTTTTGAATATTACTAACTTGTGGAGGGCACCTTTTTTTGTGAGATGGGATAAGAAAGTCTCCTAGACAACCTCCAACAAAAACTTCCTCTGAGCTCAAAACATAGCATAATAAAGGAAAACATAACAACATCCTTTAAATCCAGTGAACATATGTAAGAGATTGCTACATTACATTGCAAAGCAATGGGTTACCTTATCGTCTTGGTGTTTTGTCAGCGAGTTGAATCATGTAATCAAGAGCAATCATAAACCCTGTCTCCGTTTCATCAACCCTTTTCCCTTTAACTCCTTGTGCAGCCAATTCCACAGCAACATTTTCAGATGCTTCATTCATCTTCATATCCTGCAACTACAACACATAAGTGCACATTTACATGTCAACCATTACATCACCTAGCATTCCCATAACTAACAAATCTATGCACCATACACGATCATATGAAGAGTTCCCTTATGCAAGTAAGTTGTTCGATGAATTGCCAACATTAAACAAAAAAGAAAGACTGACACAAAACATCAACGCCGTCTGTGGGGATCGAACCCACGGCCACGGGATTAAAAGTCACGCGCTCTACCACTGAGCTAAGACGGCTCACTTGATATTAAGAAGCTTTAAAACAATTTAAAATGTTACGTAAAGATTGGTTATAAATACATGTTTGATACACACAAAATCAGGTTTCAAACATGGAAATCTCCAGAGCTGATCAGCAAACATGTGGAAGAAGCATGACATAATGGTGTATTTATCTTTCTTTTTTTTTCTTTTGATAAAAATGTTTTGTCATTCTTATTAAATAAGTTCATTGCCTACTTGTAAAATGTATGGTGATTGATCATACTACTAATGCCATATAAATGTCCTCAATTAATTTGTAAATTTTATTAATCAACTCATAGGATGGAAACACATGTATTTAATATTGGATATAGCCAGATGAGGATTCTGAGCTGTTCAAGCAGGACCATATAAGAAGCTGCCACTCTAATCATCTTCAGAAGTTGATAGTGTAGCATAGTAGCTGCTCCGACGCCGTTTTAATCTTTTTGAAGTTTAATAAACGACACGAGCAGCAGGCGTTGATTACAAACATCTACCATGGCTTCCATCTCCCTTCAACGACCAAACTTTCTAAACTCTCCATTTCAGTCTCCAGCTTCCCGTAGGATCCGACACGGAGCTTCTCCTCAGTCCCTTCGTGTCACTGCTTCTTCTCGCAGCTCCTTTGACGTAGTTGTCGTTGGTGGTGGGATCATCGGGTTGACCATTGCCCGTCAGTTCCTTACCGGGTCGGATCTATCGGTAGCCGTTGTTGATAAGGCTGTTCCTTGCTCCGGAGCCACCGGTGCTGGTAACAAGTTTTACTCTTTTTATTATTATCTGGAAAGTTGTAGTCAAAGGAGTTGACTTTTTTCTTAACATGAAAGTTGTGTGTTTTTTTGGGGGAGTTTAGGACAGGGTTATATATGGATGACACACAAGAAACCAGGTAGTGATGTATGGGACTTGACCATGAGGAGCCATCAACTCTGGCATGAGTTTGCTGAGAGGTTAACTGATCAAGGTCTTGATCCTGAAGAGATGATTGGTTGGAAAAAGACAGGTCTTTTCTCACTCAACTCACTTCTGTCTGTTTAGATTTTTGGTTGGTTTTTCATAAGTTGGCTCCTACTCTAGCTAAATCAATGTTCAAGGAAAATTGCTAGACTGCTGTTAGGCGTTATAGATATTAATTTTAGGTGGAAGCCTAGATCGATTTTTTGAACGCCTATACCGACTTTTTGAAAAATCGATATTGCCGCCTAAAGCACTGCTTAGACCGATTTTTAGAATATTGAGCTAAATAGTTTCCTCGGTTTAGCCAATTGGGTTCTTTACAGTTTTTGTTAGGTTCTTGTTGACAATGTTATTATGATCTTGTTATCTACATGTTATATCGTTCAGTATGTTATTATTGTCATCTGCAGGAAGCTTGCTTGTTGGAAAGACTTCACAGGAATGTGTTGCTCTGAAGCAAAAGGTTCATGAGCTAACAGAAGGTGGGTTGAGAGCTGAGTATTTATCTAGCGCTGATTTGTTTCTAAAGGAGCCTGCAATCCTTGTGGATGATGATACTGGTGCTGCATTTCTTCCTGATGATTCACAGTTGGATGCTCATCGTGCGGTTGCTTATATAGAGAAGGTTGGTTTGAATGTCTCATCTGAGTCTTTTTCTTTGCGGATTTCTTAGCTTTTGTTTCACTCTTTCAGGGTAACAGAGAGTTTGCAACAGAAGGAAGATATGCAGAGTTCTTTCATGAACCAGTTACAGGTTTAATAAGGTTTGCTAATCTTTGTACCACTAAAAGAGTTAAACTCAGAAAGAAGTTGTCTCTGTAAATCTTGAATGTGCACACTACTAATTATTCTTCTGCTAAAGTTTTTATTAGTATGTTAATAGTATCATCTATTATTCAGGTCTGATGGGAGTAGCAAGGAGGTTACAGGTGTTCGGACATTGAAACGCAACTTGTATGGTAAAAAGGCTACTATAGTAGCTGCTGGTTGCTGGAGTGGATCTCTGATGCATGACTTGCTTAAAGACTCCAACATCTCAGTGGGCGTTCCTGTGAAGCCAAGAAAGGTTGAGCTTTCATCTGATGACTAATATGTTAAACCTTCCAGAATATGCTAAAGCTCTGGAAATGGACAGCTTCTGTATTTTTTTTAATGCAATATCCAACTTTGTTCCTTGCAGGGTCATCTGCTTGTGGTAGAGAATTTTGATTCGTTCCATTTAAATCATGGGATAATGGAGGCTGGTTATGCGGATCGTCAAAGCGCTTCAGCTCCAGGATTGGGTGTGGAGGAAAGGATGCTATCTATCTCCATGACAGCCACAATGGACACAGCAGGAAACCTTGTTCTTGGTAACATTTCCATCCATCTCTTAAACTCCTGAACCAGTCAGTCACCATGTATCTGTCCTCTTCGCCATCTTTTAACTTCAGGGAGCAGCCGTGAGTTCGTTAGGTTCGACACTGAACCTGATGAGACTATCATCCGGTGCATATGGGAACGTGCAGCAGAGTTCTTCCCCAAGTTACGTGACATTTCCATTGAAGAGTTTATCCGTAACAGGAAAGTGAGAGTTGGTTTACGTCCTTACAGTAAGCTTCTTGATTTGCTCCATAAAAATGCTTCAAAATCATCCTTTGGGATGATTACAAAATCTGAACTGTGTTGTTTAACTGATCATAGTGCCTGATGGGAAGCCAATGATAGGATCTGTTTCAGGGTTACAAAACCTTTACTTGGCTGCTGGACATGAAGGAGGTGGACTTTCCATGGTAAGTAATGGACTCATCCTAATGTTCTATCAACAATCAATAACCAGATGGTGATTCTTGGTTTCTTGAAATCTTTTAGGCTCTAGGAACAGCTGAGATGGTATCAGACATTGTGTTGGGGAAACCATCGCAGGTAGATAATTCAGCTTTTCAGGTTAAAGGACGTTGTTGCTGAGGAAACAGAAACAGTTCAGGTTTAGTTACAATGGGACTGAGTCAGTTCCTCATGAGTCTTGAGCATTGTTGTTACTCTGTTTTTGATTCCCAAAGGATTATTACTATAAACAAATGTTGAAATCATTATTATTATATGGATATTTTGGGTCAGTTATTTTCATATATTTTATGTGATTGAAATTAATTATTGTCCTGGATTTTAAAAATCTTATGTAATTAAGAAACATATTTCATCTCATTTAAAGACTAAATTGAATTGAATTCCCTGTATACTGCATAACAGTCAATGGTCTAATGTTCTTTGTCCATATAGAATTTTCAGATTTTTACTAAAATTATCTGAAATGATCTAACAGTTTGGGTATCTAGTAAAAATACATATATTTATATTCATTGTATATCTGCATAACATAAATTTGTAGTCATCAATGGATCCATGTCCTTTTATGACATAAAACTATAAGTTACATATGTTTAGAATGAAGATGAACACACATGTATAATCTCAAATGTTTAAAGATAAATATTTTAAACCTCTTCTGTTTCTTCTTTATCTGTTTCTTAACCAAACCAATGGTTTACCTGTGGAAACAATCTTTACATTTCCAGGTCCTTTGCCTACTATACATCCCAATGAGGAACATTTTGGCAAAGGGACCATAGACTTGGGAGGTCTTGAGGTTACACAAGTCTCAATCTCCAACACAACAACAAGGAGAGTATGGAGAACATATGAAGGAGGACGAGAGGAGATGGGATTCAGCATCTTTGAACCTGTAAATCTTCCTGCTAACTTCTCCAAACTTGGCTTCTATGCACAACCAAACAACCAGAAGCTTTTTGGTTGGATACTTGTTGCAAGAGATGTATCTGGAGGTAGTTTAAGACCACCAATGGACTACATTCAAGTCTGGAACACTGCATCGCTGGATATCAGACAAGATGGGTCTGCATATTTTTGGCAGCCGGTATGTCTCAAAGGGTATAAACCGGTTGGTATGTTTGTCACTACTTCCTCTCAAAAGCCTCCTTTGAAACAAGGATCTATAAGTTGTGTTCGGTCAGAGTTTACAGAACAGAGTGAAGCTGATACATTAGTATGGGGGTTTAAAGGAACTAGTGTTGTTAATCTGAGGCCAATCCACAGAGGAACACAAGCAACAGGTGTGTACACAGGAACATTTAGTTTTCAACAACTAAACTCATCTCCTCATCCTTCTTTAAATTGCTTAAAGAATACAAGACCTAACATGTTGTCTAACATGCCAAGCGAAGCTCAAACCAGAGCTTTGTTTAAAACTTATTCTCCTGTGATATATTTCCATCCCAAAGAAGATTTCTTACCTTCTTCCATCGATTGGTTTTTCACAAATGGTGCCTTGTTGTACAAAAAAGGAAACGAATCAAACCCTATCCCTATACAACCAAACGGTACAAATCTACCACAAGGCGGTTCAAACGATGACTTATTCTGGTTAGACTACCCAATCGATAAAACCACCAAGGAGAAGGTCAAGAGAGGAGACTTAAGAAACACCAAAGTGTATCTACACATCAAACCAATATTCGGAGGAACCTTCACCGACATTGTCGTATGGATATTCTGTCCTTTCAACGGAAACGCCCACCTCAAGTTTCTATTCATCAAGAGTCTTTCTTTAGGACATATAGGTGAACATGTTGGAGACTGGGAGCACGTTACTTTACGTATAAGTAACTTCAACGGCAAGTTATGGCGAGTCTACTTCTCTCAGCACAGTGGAGGTACCTTGATGGATGCATGTGATCTAGAGTACGTTGAAGGTGGAAATAAACCGGTTATATACTCGTCGCTTCATGGTCACGCAATGTTTTCGAAACCTGGACTTGTGTTGCAAGGCAAGGGGAAAAATGGTTTAAGAAACGACATGGCGAGAAGTGATAAAGTGTTGGACTGTGGTGTAGGGTATGAGGTGATTGGAGGACCTTGGGGTGTGGTTGAGCCAGCGTGGACGAGCTATTTTAGGAAATGGGGACCGAGGAAACGTTACAAGATCGATAAGCCTATTAAAACTTTTGTTAAGATTTTGCCAATGTTTGTTAGGAAAAGGTTACGGAAATTTATTGGGAGGATTCCTTATGAAATCCTTGGTGAAGATGGGCCTACGGGTCCTAAAGCCAAGTTGACTTGGACTACTGATGATAAATATTAAAATTTTATTCCTTTTAATATTTATCATCTATGTATTGTGGCCGTTTTCGTTTGTGAAAAATATTTTCTTTATCATTGCTTAATGATGCATAGGTTGGTCACAATTTAATTTAATTTTGAGTATGATAGTGTAAAATGAGCCAATTTTATTCAATTTTAGTATTTTGAGAAAATTCACTCTATTATTATTTGGTTTAAAAAGTTCAGTCCGGTTATTCTTTAGATGTATGTAATATAGAACAAAGACACTGAAGTAACATCCGTGTTGCATAGGTCAGATGCAATTTTAATCCAGGGCCAAAGTTAATTAGGCAGTAGCATCCGGGTTGCACTAGCTAAGTGCTAATTCTATTGTCCATGATGATAGAACTAAGGTAGCATATTTCAAAATTTGAATCCTAAAGGTATTCTATTATCTGGAAGCATTGGAATACTATCGAGACAATTGATTAAATGTAAACCAACCATGTGCCCATGTAGGGATCATTGAAAAGGTCCCGAGGACGAATTTGAATTGGTTGATATTCAATTTAGCAAACGAAGAAATTGCACCAAAACATTAACGGTTTTGGGACAGAGTGCGTTTGCATTAAAAAAACATATACAAACAATGAATTGGAAAGAAGAGAGATTTGGCAGTAGATTAAGGGCCTGGATAATCATGAAGTTTATCAGATCCAGGCGAGTGATACTGCCGATTTCTATTTCGCAAGGTTTGTTATTAATAAATTGACTGGATCATGATAGTATTCAATCCAACCAAAGAAGCTGAACTTGCTTTTCTATTCATCAAAAAGAAATTACAGACCAAAACAGCATGAAATAGCATAACATAAAGAAAACCAGTAAAATAAATCTGCACAAGTTTGAATGATTAAGGAGATAAAGGAGAGATGAGTGGCCGTTGTTGGAGAAGAGAGAGAGATGAGAGAGTTTATATTGGGAATTAGAGAGGTGTAGATCTTAGGGTTTGTGTGTAGATGTGGGCCCACTGATTTTGTTAGCCCAGCCCATAATAAAGCCCATTTTAAATATACATTGGATAGCCATAAGCAAGGATCAAGCAAGGTTGCAGTGATCCGAGGCCCACTGATTTTGAATCACTTAATAAGTGAATGAATTGATTTTTTTTTTTTTTTTTTTGGGCAACTGTGAATGAATTGATCTAATAGGAGTTTGTTTCTAGTAAGAATCACCATAACCTCTCATATGAAACATGCATTGATGTTCTAAGAGGGACTACCTTGCATGAGAAACAACCAAGTATCAAACTAAGAAGGATGTTTAAGATCTTGATAATCGCAATTAGAACATGCTTTTGTAGTGGATTTGGTGTGGACATGTCTTGAAAAGTTGGTTATAATATCTAGTTCAAATTAATATTTTCGTGGATTTTAGTGTCCAGACTATCATTGTTGCCATGTTTGGTCATGCCGCATTTACACTAAGTATTTGTGTGCAGATCACATCTATATAGTAGTCAAAGCCCAACGGTTTTGCCGTTTTGGGTGTGATGTAGTTGTAAAACTATGTAGACCGTTACTACGAGTGAAACTAAATCCTGTCATCTGCTGCAGAAGAAACTTTGGCCTGAAAACCAGCCAAGAAATCCTCCATACAAGCCTTATAAGTATCCATACCCGAAACCTTCTCAGCGATCTCCAAACCAATACTCAGCCATTTTTTAGCATTCTCAAACTGTCCTAGCCTCACTGGCAAAGCTGCTCGATTCCAAGCTGTCGTTGCAAGCCATTTCCCTTCATCAGTTGGGTACTCCCCTTCCTTTAACCCAACCATGATTCTGTATGCTTGTTTATACATCTTTTGGATTGCTTCTCCATCCTCTGTATTGCCTTTTTGGACGCTGGATAAGCCTATCAACTTACGGATTATGAGAGCTATGGTTGGGTAATCTGGTGAAGGAGATGCGATCAGTGCGGATAGGCATTCGTTTAGAGCAAATGTTGACACGTCTGGGTTGGATCGTGGGTTTTGAGAAGCGAAAATTCCAAGTTGGAGAAGGTAATTGTAGTTACAAGACTTGGAACCAGCAAAAGTCTTTACCACAAGTAGCTGTAAGGCTGAATTGTTGAGCCTCCCGTGTATGTCATAGGCTGTTAAAGTGTACATGAAGATGAGTTCTGGCTCCATGATACAGTCTTTACCATCCGAGAGCAAAGAAGACATAATCTGCGTTAAGAAAAAAAACATCAGTGAACTGAGAGGTGAAAAGAGCAGCAAGTAATGGTGCCATCATGTGACAAAGAGGAGGATAATACCTTTCCGGCTCTCACGAGCAATTCTGCAGCGAGTTTCACTTGGGTTTCAGTCAGTGTGCTCTTGTTTTGCTTTTCCAAAGCAATGATAGCTGTGACGCTTAATACCAGGGACCTTAAAATCATCACCGTGTTTTCTCCAGACTCAACAGTATCCAAACAGCTGTAAAATTCTGATGCCAGCCTACAGAATTCACCACAGAGCTCATACTTCTTTGCATCCCCACACCTTGACCCCAGATTCCAGGAAGTCAGAGCAAACCACTTCAGTTCTCGCTTTCCAGTTTCTCCTGATCCAAAGAAACACTCTGTCCCAAGCTTAGATGCCCTGCTCTGAGCTTGCAACATAAAGTCAAGAGCTTCTGTTTCACTGCCAGCGTCTTGGGTCAGTATAGTGACTAAGGTACGGAAGACAACGACCTCTGTGGTTGGCATGGTTTTCCCTGAGGTATAGAAACTGAGGAACTTGGAAAGAGAAGCAACAGCAACTGGAAGCGCTTGGCAAGAGATAGCTTCATGCGCTGCAAGGGACAGATAATGTGGAGAAAAATCAAGGCATGACAACATTGCATCGATTTGACCGATGGCACTACTGTGCTCCTTCCTCTGCAGGTAAATCTTGAACTGCAGGAATCAGAAGGAAACAGAAGTTGCTTAAAAGGTTTCTGTCAAACAATCTCCAAACATCTTAGAGTAGACCATAAAAATGGCATTATTTCAAGCACTGAGGAAAAAACAACATTCACCTTGAGAAAAGAGCAATGAATATTGGGCTCAAGCTGCAGAGACAAACACCTAGTTAGCAATCCAAAGTTGAAAAAATCCAGCTAAGAGAACCGCAGGACATTTCCTCTTATAATGTACCTTTTCAGCTTCTTCTATGTACTCATGAGCTCGATCTAGCTGAGAGAGCCCGAGGTAGCAAAGACACAAAACCCTGAACCCTTTTGCTCTGAAAACTCTATTTTCTATATCATGTGGAATATAGAGCATCGATTTCTCAAACATCTCTGCGCTTGTCTCAAAATCTTTAGCACCGAAATGAGCTGAAGCACTGTAATCATCAGGAGATACCCAAGTTAGATTCCCACGACATACACTCAGGAAAATAACAAAGTCAACTATTAACTGCTGTGGCCAAGGTAAACTAGGATGCAGTACATACAAACAGAAACGCAGTAGTACAAAATCACATATGTAAAAAAACATACCTATTCCACAGAACAGAATGTAATGCCTTCCTCTCCTTAGTCACATCTTCACCAGCAAAGAGAGCAATAACCCTCTCGTCTGAAACAAGCTGAGCCACAACATTCGCTCTAATCCTCGAACCACTATCTCCTCCCCTACTCTCACCAAGAACCCGATGAGCCACTCTACGCGCCGCCTTCGCACTAACATGACACCTTCCAAGCAAACCTAAGAACACACCTTTTGCAGTTTCTGCTCCAGCAGTCCCCACAACTTCAAAATAAGCCTCCACAGCAGATACCCACACCGTCTCCGGAATGTCTTTATTCCCCACCATACCTCTCAGCTCTTTCTCCGCCTCGCTATACTTACCAAGCCCTAACCAAGCCTTCATCGCCAGCACAGGTAACGAAGCGTGTTGATCTGCTCCATCACTACTGCCATTACCTCCATTCCTGAGAACTTTCACGCATTTTATCACACTCTCAAACTCTCCCTTTTGCAAATGCACAGCCGATATAAAACGCAGCGTTTTGATCCTCATGCTCGTGAACTCCATAGTGTCTTCCCTAGTCTTCGCGGTACCCATCCCTTTCTCACAAAGCTCCAACGACTCGTTCATAAGCCTTAACGCATCGTTTAAACTGCAATCATCGTCCTCTCTCGACAACGCGCTTTTACCAAACGCGAGGAACTGATTCGATAACGACTTATAATGATCCGGTGAGCCGAACAGCATCTTCTTCCCTCGATTAAGCAGCGTAACCGCCAGATTCCGATCGGAAACCTCCCAGGCGGTTCGAGATCGCGCTAGGTTCAGATCAAGAAACAGCTTCCTCTCTCCCGCGTCGGCGACTCTCCCTATATCGATCTTCGAGAGGATCTCCGTCGCTCGCTCGAAGCAATCGGAGGCGAGATCGAATTTCTCGAGGCCGTGCCACACGAGACCCGTCTTATAGTAGAAGAGCGAGGACTTGATCGTCGGAGACGGAACTCCGGTGACGTCTCCGGCGAGAAACAGCATATCGGCGGCGACATGTCTGAGATTCGCGATGCTCTCGGCGGAGGAGGAGGAGGATCGGAGCGCGGCGGCGTTGGAGAGATCGACGCAGGCGTTCCAGAGGCGGAAGCTGAGCTTCCATACGGTGAGGTTGAAGGAGTTACCGGGGAGAGGAGCGAGTTGACTCAGACGAGTTAGGGATTGTCTGAGGGAAGAAGGGAGAGATTGCGGTAGCGGCTGGTCTTTGGAGATGGATTCGGATTGTTTGATTAGGAGCTCGATCTCGGAGAGGAGGGGGTGGTGAGTGTGAGATTCGGTTTCCCGGTGGAGCTGGCGGAAGTCCGGCGTGGAGATCTCGGCGATTCTCATCGCAGTCTGTTACTATTTGGCGGGAGATAGCAGAGAGAGGGGTAATTAGGGATCAAGAAATAGGAATGAAGATATTTCAAAATTTAGACGGGGATAGTATCGTAATTAATACCTCTTTTGTTATTTCTTTTGGGGAGCAAAAAGGAAAACCAATGTTAAAATAAAACCGATCATAACCAAAATGATTTTATTCAAATCTGTTTTATAAAACTCAAATCTGTTTAAACTACTCTGATTCAGTCTAAACCATTATTAATCAGAGTAAATCGATCTAAATTAATTTAAATCTGTTAAATTAAGTAATAATGTCATTAGAAATACACAAATCTCGTTAATTTCTTTTGATTTGTTCATCTAATTTGATAATTCATTAAAATAATACTATAATTAAACTAAAAATAAAATATATTATATAGTGGTTAAATATATTTAAAATAAATTAGTAAATCGTGAATGTGTAAACTTCGTCTATATATCACATAATCAGCCTAGTTGCTAATCTTCAACAAACTGTCTAGTTCCCACATAACTATATTTTGAATAATGCGTATACCTAAACCGGTTTTTATAACACTAAAGAAAACAATACAACATTGAAAATATAACTAATAGAAATTCTTGAGTATTTTTTGTTTTGTTTTGAGTAGGGCTGATCCTTACAAATACTAAAATCATCCGTACACAACAACAACATCAAAGGAAAAGGACTAGTAGGAGAGGAGGAGGGGTTAAAGAGCTGCCACAAGTTAACACCATGGAAGAGAGAGTCACAGTCACATTCACCATCACCTTTTTTTAGTCACTAGTGAAAGTAAGGAGGAGGAGGAGCCTGGTACTGATAACAGTTCCCGTAGAAGTTCCCGTGACCAGCAGCAGGACTGAAAGTGTAAGTCTGAGGAGGAGGCGGAGGAGCTTGTGCTGCCATGATTGGACCGGTAAGGAAAGGTCTGTTGTCATAAACATACTGCGGATACCTCTCAGGGATGACTCTACCATACCCTGTCTTGTTGTTATTGTTGTTGTTGTTGTTGTCAGGGACTCGGGGTTGAGCAGCACGTGGTCGCTTTGTCTGAGGCTTTGTGGGTTCTGTTGCTCTCTTCTTCTCTGCTTTGGCCTTCTCAAGGTGGAGAATCCTTTTTTGAAGTGGCTCAATTGGGTACTGCTCTTCCAGGTTATGCTCTTCGATACACTTTATCACAGATTTAAGCCCTGTAAGCTCCCTCTCATTGAACTCATCCTGCATTAGTACACATATATAGTTATGATAATCAAAGCCTTAATCTTGCGTTAGCAAGTAGTATGATGGATACGCCTAAACTAACTAATAACCAATGCATCGGTTTCAAGTTTCAACGTTTTAGAACTCTGAAGTAAAAGATGACATCTAACTCAACAGAGCACAGAGATGTTCCAACCAGATGCTCATGAAAAGATAGCAAGTTTCAATAAAAGATCAGACCACTCGTTTTAAGCAATGTGTATTAACACATCCCTTCATTTTCTTTTAAAGAGTAGTGTATAGTGAAGGTTATCAGGTAAGGGAAAACTAGCCTGAGCAGCAGCAGATGCATTGCCAGATCTCCTTGCCTCAGTCAAGTAAGATTTCAGTAACTCGACAGGTGGGAACTGTCCTGTGAGTCCAAACGCAAATGCCAAGTTCACTGCATCTATCTGTTTCCCACTGTTCAAGAGAACTTCAATCACACCTGCACATCAAAGATTAGGACCAATGGTGAAGGTAGATAACTTGGATGTGCACTATGTCATTTTTAGATCCTTGACCAAAGAGTTCAGTTAATTCACTAAATACCAAACGTCAGCTTCCACATCAAAATGTCAAAACATGTATGATAATAAGCCATATTTTTAAAATTAGCATACAAACCAGGCATTTTTTCAGACAATCCAAGAGAACGGCAAAGCTCAGCTGCCTGACGACGACGTGAAACCATGGGGATAAGCTTCAAGAGTTCCTCCTCTTTAAAGTCGGAAACAATAGCAAAAGTGGCCAGTAGTTGCAGGAACGCATGCGCCTCCAAAGAGTTACCATTGCAGGCATCCATCTCAAGATTTCCCAGCAGTGGATTCCATCCTTCTGCAATAGCTTTTGCTCTCTGCTTAACATCTTCTGAGAGAACAGCAGCAAGAGAGTTTCTGTCCAGACCAGATAACAGTATGCTAAGACACTCCATCAACATGATACAGGTCCTACGCATCCCCAAGAGGTTAGCATCTTTCTTTCCATCACCGTTTGGTACCTCCTTAGGGTAAAAGCCTTCCAAAGAGTCCAACACTAAGCTCGCCGGGTTTGCTGCAGCCTTGAACGCCGCAGGAATCTCTTCCTTTAGTGATGCAAGGTTCTTGCGGTTGTCTGATACAAACTTATGGAGCCCTGTTGAGTCCATATCCCCACACAGTTTCAGTAACTGTGGATAAGCCTTAACCTCAAAGTTTCCCATCACAGGTGAGATCTCAGCTTCCTGCACAGTACCATCCGGATTCTCATCGGTACCATCAGCAGCAAAGGCGTTGGGTGAATCCTCAAGACGTTCACCAATGGGAGCATTATTGTACTTAACCAAAGCACTGTTTATAGCAAACACAGCTGCGTCTCTCTTCTTCTGAAGCCTTTCTAGAGATACCTTCTCCTTGGCCTCAACGGCTGCCTTCTTTTTCTCCAGTAACTCTTGTGCTTTCCTTGTTTTGGTTTCATACTCTTTTTCTTGATCTTCAAGCTCATGAAACCGTCTCTTCAAAGACCTCTCAAGCCCATGAAAATGCTCCTCAAGTTCCTTCCATTTCAGATTAAGTGTCACGGCGCGCTGGCTTTCAAGTTCAGCAAAGGCCTTCTGAAGCTGCTGAATCTTGGATGATGTAGAGTCCATGAGCGAAGCAACTGACCTGGTATCTTCCATAGCTAAAGAGGGTAGAAAGTTAACTATGAGATAAAAAATAGTCTTCGAATAAATAAAAACAAGTATGAAAACAAAAGAATAAATTAAGATTCCAACATTAGAGGGTAGAGAATCTCGATACTGGATAAGAAACACACATGTCAGAACTACAAAATATTCACTTTACCATATTGAAGAATAAAATATCAACTTATATAGTAAGGGAATCATAAAAGATTCAGACATATAAAAAAGTTACCAAATTTAACAAAGTCCAAACTCCAAGCTGCGAAGTAGAGCTCCAAGATAATCCCAAACTCACAAACGACAAACAACTACAAAACAAATCATCAACACCAGGGAATAAAGATCAGTTAAAGACTGTTACACATTTTCAGAGTCCAGTGAAAACTTCCTTAGTTAAAGAAAAAGACAAAACAGCAACTGTAAAAATCAGAGTAGAAGACTATGTTACTTTTACGAAGCTTACAAGCGAGTAAAGACAAACAAACACGAACCCACATTAAACTCTACAGATTCATGAAAAAAAATCATATTCCTAGTGTTAGCCACCGAGACAAGTCATCCTCAATAACTAATCGAAAGTACTAATCCAATGATTCTGATATACCCTTCCACTCAATCCATCACACAAACGATCTTTCTAGAGCGAAATTCAAACTCTTAGCAGAAACAATTCACAAAAGAGAGCTACTATTTGACGAAATCAACAAACCCTAGCTACAGTGGATAGAAAAAGAACACGAAAGAAGAGCAAATAAAGACGATACAACCGCAAGAGAGAGAGAAAATACTATACCGGGAGAATTCAGATGAAGTAAGAAGAGATCAGAGATGTTCAGGAAGCACCGGAAGATGGTGGATCCATCTTGAGCGATTGGGTAGGCGAGAGAGAGAAAGAGGAAAGTGAAAAATACCTAAAGGCTGCGAAGGATGAAGGAGAGAGGAAAGTTTTAATAAGGGAGGCAAAAGCAAAGTGATTTGTAACTTAAGACACTTTCTTCGTTGTCTGTCTTTTTTTTTTTTTTTTACTTGGCACGTGATAGATTTTGAGTGGTGTGGTGGCTCATTCTCCACCATCCGGCTTGACAAGACGACCGGAGTGGCTCGAGTCAGGAAGTGGAATGTCCTTTAAAAAGTTGTAAATAGCTTTGTCACGTGAGTTTGTCTGAAGCTGCCGGAAACTTGACTTGCTTGTAATTTACTCTTTAACCTTTACTTTTCTCTTCCTATGGTTTGGTATCTTTACTCTCTATGTGTTATTTTATTTTGGTGCCATTTAAAAAAAAAAAACTAAAACATCTACTACTACCGTTGGGCCGACGTTGGGCCAAACTTTCAAAATTATTAAAAGCTCAAAAAATAATAACTCTATTTTAAAGCCCAAATAGTATTGGGCCGACTTATCAAAATTGTTAAAAGCTCAAAGGGAATAATTCTGGATTATAAAGCCCTAAACGTTGCAAATATCCAAGAGCACCTTCAAGAGAAATTCCCAAGAGCATCTCCAACACATCTATAATTTACCGCAAAATGGAGTAATGAACAAACAATTATAAATGGAGTAATGATTTTTTTTGTTTGTTCACTACTCAATTTCCTACTCCATTTTACAGTAAAATTATGGAGTGGGATTGGAAATGCTCTAAGGATGAGTGCTTAGAGAAAAAATAATTAAATAATCAATAGATTTCTCCAAAAAAAATAAGGATTCGATCTTTAAAATCACTAAATAAAGATTATTTTTTAGTGAATCTTTGCACTATTTATAGACAGACTCCCACGATACATGGTAACTTACAATTGATTGATATATATATATATATATATATTTTAAAAAGCTAAAAAGAAAATAATAATTAAAAAATTAAAAAATAGGTTTCTTGAAGACTTCAACGGGTAACACCATTAGAGATACTCTAATAGCCGAATTAAAAAGCCGAGATATAACAGATAATATGATTTGATGAGATAATATATGATGTTGAAAAGTCAAGAAAAGAAACATTCAACGCGGAAAGACCGATTTGGTTTGCGTTCTCATCAGAGTTTGGTTTTTGCCTTATTCTCCACGAAGTTTTGATTCTTCCACAACAAAACAATCCAAAGTCTTAGTCAACGACACACCAAGACAGACGACTCCACTCCTTTTTTTTTTTCCTAATATTCTTTTTTTATTAATCAAAAACAGAGTCATTTCATCATTTCACGCTTTTCTTTCTTCTTTCATTAAACACTCTTCCAAGTTTTCAACACACAGATGCGCGACTTTCTTCTTCTTCCTCCTCACTCATGAATAATAAGAGCATCAAGACAAAGACCAAAGCTCCCGTTTTCTTTTCCTGATCTTTTCCTTTGTGAGTTACTTTTCCACCAGAGATTTAGTGAATTCTCATCATATTTTTCCAAGTCAACTCATTTCAAGATCGCTTTTTTTTCGTCTTCTGTGTTGAGTTTCTCAGTTGATTTGTTTCTGTTTATAACTTCTGCCATCTTTCCTCTTTTGTAATTTTTCTTGCAGGCACTTATGTTCTGTAGTTTCTAGCGAATTTAGATATGATGGTGAGTAGGTTAGTTTTCTCAATTTTCCTTTGGAACTGTCTCTCGTTCCTGCTCCTCTCTAGCTTCATCGATGCAAGTGAAGCCGACGTGAACTGCTTGAGGACCATAAAATCTCAAGTTGAGGATCCAAATGGATATCTATTGAGTTGGGTATTTGGCAACAACAACACTGCAGGTTTCATCTGCAAGTTCACTGGTGTGACTTGCTGGCACGATGATGAGAATAGAGTCTTGAGCATCAAGCTTTCTGGTTTTGGTCTCAGAGGTGAGTTTCCTCATGGGATCAAGAATTGTACTGATCTCACAGGTCTTGAGCTTTCAGGGAACAAATTCTCTGGACCTTTACCGACCAACATAAGCTTGTTGATTCCGTCTGTTACAACTCTAGACCTTTCAGACAACAGCTTCTCTGGTGAAATCCCTGTCAGTATCTCAAACATTACGTTTTTGAACACTCTTATGCTCCAGAGTAACCAGTTCACGGGTAGTATTCCTCCACAGCTGGGGCAACTCGGACGGCTCAAGAAGTTATCTGTGGCTAACAATCGTCTCTCAGGTCCTATCCCAGTTTTCAATGAAACCATCTTGAAACTTGGAGTTGGTGACGTTGCTAATAACGCTGGTTTGTGTGGTAAGCCTCTGGATGCGTGCGAGGGTTCTAGTGGCTCTCGTGTTAAAGTTATTGTTATAGCAGCGGTTGGTGGACTTGTTGGAGCAGCGTTAGTTGTTGGGGTTGTTCTGTTCTTCTACTTCCGTAGATTAGCTCTTGTGAGGAAGAAGTTGCAGGATGATCCTGAAGATAATAGATGGGCTAGGATCTTGAAAGAACAGAAAGGCGTTAAGGTAAGCAAAAAACTCACTAATCACAAGCTTACTATTTTGTCACATCATACATGTAGACATGTCACATGTAGTTATGTTCTGAATATATGATTATATGTTTGGTGTTTATGTGTGTTTCAGGTATTCATGTTTAAGTCAGTTTCAAAGATGAAGCTAAGCGATCTAATGAAAGCAACAGAGGAGTTCAAGAAAGATAACGTAATTGGAAAAGGAAGAACAGGAACTATGTACAAAGGAGTGCTCGAAGACGGGACTCCACTTATGGTAAAGAGGCTGCAAGATTCACAACACTCTGAGAAAGAGCTTGATTCAGAGATGAAGACCTTAGGATCTGTTAAACACAGAAACTTAGTCCCTCTCTTGGGCTATTGTATTGCCAAGAAGGAGAGGCTACTCATATACGAGTACATGCCCAACGGTTACCTTTATGATCAGTTACATCCTCAAGATGAAGAGTCCTTCAAGCCTATGGACTGGCCCACAAGGCTGAAAATCGCTACGGGGGCAGCAAAAGGACTAGCGTGGCTTCACCATAGCTGCAACCCGAGGATCATCCATCGCAACATAAGCTCGAAATGTATATTGTTGACTGCAGATTACGAGCCTAAGATCTCCGATTTTGGTCTAGCTAGGCTGATGAATCCCATTGATACACACTTAAGCACATTTGTCAATGGAGAGTTTGGTGATTTTGGTTATGTTGCTCCGGAGTATTCAAGAACCATGGTGGCAACTCCAAAAGGAGATGTGTACAGCTTCGGTGTTGTGCTTCTAGAGCTAGTAACGGGTCAAAAGGCAACGAGTGTGACAACAGGATCCGAAGGAGACGAGGAGGAAGAGAGCTTTAAAGGTAACCTTGTGGAATGGATTACAAAGCTATCGAGTGAGTCAAAACTGCAGGAAGCGATTGATAGGTCTTTGGTTGGGAAGGGTGTGAATGATGAGATCTTCAAAGTGCTTAAAGTAGCATGCAACTGTGTTTTACCGGAAGTAGCAAAGCAGAGGCCTACCATGTTTGAGGTGTATCAGTTTCTGAGAGCCATTGGAGAGAGGTACAACTTCACTACCGAAGATGATATCTTAGTTCCGTCTGAATCAGGAGAAACTGATTTCATTGAAGAGCTCATAGTTCGCTGATGAAAGAGGAAGGGGTAAGACTAGCAGTCCCACGATATATACATATATGTATAAATATTGTTATTTCTCGTTGATGGTGTGTGGTTGTAATATAAGACACAGTTAGATGTACTCTCTGTTATTACTACACTGAGCTTTGGGTGTTTTCAGAACAGTCACTGGTTTGGTCTTGTCACTACATGTTTGCTATTCTTTCAAATTTTTGCGGCACTATTCAATTTGCTTGAAATGATTTACACTCGTAGCTCACATTATCATCATGTTATTTGTTTGAACAGATTCGTATTAGCATCATACTGCAATCTATAGTATGACTGCTAGTGATTCTTAATAATATGGCCAAAAACTCCAAATCTAGGCTTATGGCTTGGGAGAAAAGGTTTTCAAGTTGATAGAGTACAAGAAATGTCTTTAAAAGCATACATCTTAAGCTTACTTCAAGCTGAGAAAGTACAAGAACTGTCTTAAAAATCCATACATCTAATGCTCACTTCAAGCTAAACAGCTCAGGTTCACAAGTTTACAGGTATCTCATTCTAGAGATAACAGAAAACTGAAGGCTTCCTAATAAACTAGCTTGTTGATCTACTTCAACTACAATTTAAATCTTAGGCTGAGAATCTGTCTCCCATTTCGTTACATACTTCGTCTAGAGTAGACAGGAAGTCTCTCACAGCCATGAAAACTCTCAATGTGTGACCTTCCTTGGACGAACCTCCATGGAATAACTCTGTGACTTCTTCCAATGCAGACAGCATTGAACTCTCTTGTGTTTTGATCTTCAGAATCTCGTCTGCAGCAGTTTCCAAGAACTGAGCCATCTTAGCCTCAAACTTCAGCCACTGTTCTCCACAAGATCCACTCTCTTCGCTCAGTATCAGAAGCTCCTTGATGTTCTTGATCCCTTGACAAAGCTTCAAAACACCGCTGCTTAGAACACCATACTCAATCTCAGCAGATTTCTTCACTGTCTCCATCTCTGAGCTCAGGTTTCTGATCCGGTCTAAAGCTTTCACAGAGCCTTCTGACTTTATCAATTCTTGAACAGCGAAATGCAAGACGCTGCTTCTCCCATCTAGTCCCTTGACCTCAGCGAGCTTGAGAAGCGTGTCAAAGTTAAAAGCATGAGGATCACCGTAGATGTTTGTTCCAACACTCATCTTATTTCCTGTCTTGAGTATAGCCTCAAGAAGTCTCGAGAACGTTTTGTTATTCCTTAGCTCATCACAAGCAGCCTGCAATAGAAGATAGGCTTTTGAGACATGAGTTTACAACATAAGATTATGAACATATGTAGATTTTACCTGTACAACACCAAATGATCGTCTGAGGTATTCAACCTCGGAGTTAAAGTTAGCCACAGAGAGCAATGCATCAACACGTTTGAACACGAACGGCACATGAAGCAACTCCTTAAGAAACCTCTCAGCTGGACCAAGCTTGATAAACACAGAATCATCACTAGAGCTCCTCAGCTTCCTCTCTTCTTCTTTACTAGGCGCCAATCTTGATAGACAATTAAGAAGCTCAGCTCCAAGTGTATCAGAGTCACCTGAATCAGTAACACAAATCAATAACATTTACAAAATGGCAATAGATCAAAAACATTTTAACCAGTGATTATTTACCTTCAAGAAGAGCTTTACAAACATCCTTTGTGGTCAAGTTAAGTAGTTGAAGCAAAGTAGCAATGTTCTGGTACAAAACATCATTTTGAGTGGGAAGCTCATAGGTCAGACCTCTCTGGCTTATGTTTGGACTTGACGAGTTTGAGATGAACAAAGTCTCTACAATCTCTTTGTTCAATCTGCAACACACAGTCATAGAAACAAACTTTGTTAAAATCTTATCAGAAAAAAATAAAGACAACAGAAAACTTTCACTTTCTCTTACTTGAATGAGTTCGTTTTAAGACAATCCCAAGCCGTGTTCTGACAAGAACCTCGTCCGAGTTTGTCCGAAAAAGATGGCTTTCTTCCATCATTCTGAACCACAAAAGACTGTGAAGGTGGGACAAGAGGAGGTGGTCTCGTCGGCGGAGGAGCCGCTTGACCACCGATGTTGATAACAAAGTCTCTTCTCGACGAAACCGACTCAGAAGACAGCAAAACCGACTTCACATTCCGACTAAAGTCATTCCAAATCGGCGGCGAACTGTTTACAAACTTCCTAAACAACCCATCAGGAGAGTTCGAAACAGACGAGTAGAGAGAAGAGAGCGGCGTCCGCACAAAACCCCCTCCTCTCTCCGGTGAAGTAGAAGCAGATGAGATACGAGGAAAGCTCAGATTCTGATTAAAGAAGCTAAACATTCTCAAAGAAGACGACACGTGTCCGTTATTATTCCTCACTCTTAATCTCTCCGGGGACAGAGACTGAAGACTCTGTTCGAAAGAGACGTCTGAGAATCTCTGCTCCTGAACGGGAGACATAGTCATGGAGAAGGATCTTGCCGGAGAAACCCAACCAGAAGAGGTCGAACAGGAGCGAGATGGACTCGAGTTCGCGGAGTTAGCTAAAGAAGCAAGAGGAGAGAAGAACTCTTCTTCTTCTTCTTCTTCTTCTTCTTCTTCGTTGTTTCTCTCAGAGTGAATAATAATATCATCAGGTTCGTAGCTAGGTTGGAAGCTACGTGGCAAAGGTGGGAGAGGACGTATCTCCGGAGACTCAGGCTTGACGAAACTCGTTACAACACGGTCAGGTTCTTCTCCTCTGAGGTATAAAACCTCAGAGGTTGGAGAAGAAGCGGAAACAGAGAAGTTGTTGGTAGTGATGACGTGTCTCTGTTCTTCATCATACCCATGGCTATGACTAGTAACACTAACACTACTAGAACTAGTGTTAGTGTCTTTGAAATGACGGTTTTGCCCTCTCCACCTCCCGTAGAGGAACAAACCAACGCCGAGAACAGTAGCGACGACGAGGACGGCGGAGATAGCGGGGACGAGAAGAGCAGGGGAAGTGGAATGCGGTTTGGGAGAGCGAGGGAGGACGAGGGCGGAGATGTTGGCCGGAAAAGTAGGGTAGGCGGCGTAGGTGGGCGGAGACGGCGGCGGAGGAAGAGGAGGAGAGGAGGATTCGAGAGGGAAGAAGGGAGGACTTATGGGTGAAGCGGGAGTGAGTAGAGAGCCTGCGTCGTCGGAGGGGTGACGACGGCCGAGATTGGGTGCGGAGGAGGAGGCGTAGGATAGAGGGGAAGGTGCGCATGATAGCAGGAGGAGGAAACAACAAAAGGTCTGCATTGCTTCTGCAAAGACACTGTTCACATGAGAGAAGTTAAAGACACTCTCTCTCTCTCTCTATTATGGCTCCTCTCTCTGTCCTTGTGAGCTGTGACATAATAACAACACACTGCCACCATTTTTTACTTTTACCAACCAAACTACCAAAACTAGTTTATTTATTTATTTCTACCTAGGTCCATTTTTACTTTTACCAACCAAACTAGCAAAACTAGTTTATTTATTTTTACTAGTTGCATATTCCCCGCGCAAGCGCGGGGCCGGGATCATTATGTTTGCGTGTATTTCTTTCGATTGTTGGTTTAGTGGATTCTTCTAATGATACCAATTAATAATGAAATGTAAAATTTCATGTTTTTATATCGTAGGTGAAAACTTGATATAATTCTATATTTATAGTATTTATATTTGTATTAAACGATTTATCAATATGAAAATAACCTTAATTAAGTTAATATTTGTTGTTTAAGTTTCATTAGATAGGTTTTTATATATGGTTTTTTTGTAAGTTTCGATTTTGTTCATAAATGATGTGGCATTTTTATCTACGGAGTCATCGACTGTGGGAATTCATTCGCCGAAGTCTGGAGTCGGTGGTGAGAGATGTTTTCAATGAAATTATAGTAGTTATTAAAATGTAAGAGAAAATACATATTCATTTAATAAATAACTTACTTAAATTTTGTTGTTTATTTTATTTTATTTCACATACAATTTTTTTTGAAAAATATTAGGAATGTGTTAAATATTATTTATATGCGAAGTAAGGTTTATAGGAATAGTTAGGCTATAATATAGTTTTTAGTGTGTAAAAGTAGGTGTGTTTTTTTTTTGCTGTAAATAGTTTTTATATCGTAGATCAAAACTTGATATAATTCTATATTTATAGTAATTATATTTGTATTAAACGATTTATCAATTTGAAAATAACCTTAATTAAGTTAATATTCGTTGTTTAAGTTTCATTAGATAGGCTTTTATATATGGTTTTTTGTAAGTTTGAGTTAGGGGTGGGCACTTTATCCGATACCCGAACTCGTACCCGAACCCGACCCGAAATATCCGAACCGAAATCCGAACCGAAGTAGCAAAATACCCGAACGGGTATTGAGTTAGGAGAGTTTGGATATCCGAACCCGAATGGGTATTACCCGAACCCGAACGGGTATCCGAAGATAACCGAACATATGTATATATACCTATTTATTCCTAGTTTATTTGTCTCATTTTATTAAAAATATTTATATTAATGTTATATATAATTTAAGATCAGATAATATACATATAATTGTAAAAAAATAATAATTTGTTACTCATTTAAAATGCATATTAAGCTTCTTATTTCCTATTTTAAACAAAATTTGCATCCAAAATTGAAAAATAACAACCAAAATAATGAATTTTATTTTCAATAATTTATTTTCAAAATTATTAATCGTCTAACTTATTAAACATTTTAAAAACAGTTAAGTTAATAGTTAAATTTTAAATACATGAAACTTAAGTAATAAAGAATTTGAATTTTTCTTTCAAAATCTAAATATCCGAACCGACCCGAAATAACCGAACCCGAACTAAAAATATTCGAACCCGACCCGATATGTAAAAATACCCGAACGGATTCTATACCCCAATACCGAAATACCCGAAAACCCGAAATACCCGACCCGAACCCGAACGGGTACCCGAACGCCCACCCCTAGTTTGAGTTTTGTTCATAAATGATGTGGCATTTTTATCTACGGCGTCATCGACTGTGAGAATCCATTCGCCGGAGTCTGTAATCGGTGGTGAGGAATGTTTTCAAGGAAATTATAGTAGTTAATTATTAAAATGTAAGAGAAATTATATATTCATTTAATAATAACGGAAATAATTAATTTTTGTTGTTTTATTTTATTTTATCTCACATACAAATTTTTTGAAAATATATATTAGGAAATATGTGCAATGATTTAACTCTTTGAGCCCCTAATCTATATTATTCAACCCTCATTAAGCCATCCACGTATGCACCCGCGTGGAATTCACTTCTTTTTTTTGTTTTTTTTTTTTGTCAATTCGTTTTTGGATTTATTTTTTATTATTTTTGGGTTGAGCTATATTATAATAGGATAGTTTTAAGTTTCTTTAAGCCATCCGCGTAGGCAACCACGTGAGACTTGTTTTTTTTTGTTTTTTTGTTTTATTATTCGTTTTGGATTCATTTTTAACTATTTTGGGTTTGAACTTATTAAGGTTTAGGGTTTATACAACTATTTTGATCTTTAAAACAATAAGCCCAAAAAAAAACATAAGAACCTTATAAAAAAAGTCCAAATGATAATAACCTAAATAAAAAAATCAAAAATACATGATAGTTGCCTGGTTTGAACCCACAATCTTGCATACTTGATTAGACACCTTATACCACTTGGCTAAAGTGTATTTCATTGTTTGTGACCATCTTACCAAGACTATGTGTGCTTAAAAAATATTTTTATGATGATGACTTTAATTGGTTTATGCATGAGAGCAGTGGGAATTGAACCCATGTCCTTGGAAACCAAACATGGGGTCTTAGACCACTTGGCTAAACTGATATTCTTTGTTTGTAGCCATGTTAAAAAAATTATCTATTTTAATATAAAAATAAGGGACCCACAATCTGCCTATGTGGACACCTTAAGGAGCCTTTAAACTGAATCATTATAATATAGATTTATTTATTACTTTGTAGGTCCATTTTTACTTTTACCAACCAAACTATAGCTTATCTATACTATTAAAGCTGAAGTACAAAAATTATGTGTTTGAAAACATGAATAGAGTGGAAGCACCGTAGCCTAGTGGTTAAGGTTTAAAGGCTTCTACACCAGGTCTGGGGTTCGAATCTCAGGCTACGCAGTTTTTACACCAGGAGGTTTCAATTCCCGGAGAAGGTGAAGGGCGAATTATGCATATTGGAGAACGCTTACAGGAGATCTTCAGCATAGCGCAAGGCGTACCGTCACGAATGGATCTCATAGGGCGGCTCAGGATGATGCAGTCAAACGTGAATCCGCATAAGGCAGGTAGAATTGTCGGCTGTAATATCGTCTATGTAATATTTCTCATAGTTTGTGTTAAAAAAAAAAACATGAATAGGAAATATTTAAAATTATGATGATTTGAAATAAGGATAGCCTACAAATCTAATGGGCTTATTTATTAAACTAAAGATTATTGTGGTCCAATGTACTATTATTATTGTTTTTGGGTTTTCTATCATTGATATTACTTTACTTTTGAAAATTATTTATACATATATGTATTCATGTTTTAAATGTATTTAGAACAAATCAAGTATAATATAAATTTTATTTATATAATTTATATTGACTATTGTTATAATTTTTTAACAGTGATATACTAGCCTTCCAATTCTTCATTAAAAAATTAACTTAAAAACTTTGACTAAATTATTTAGTGTATATAACTTTGCACCAAATTTAGCCAAAAAAACTTTATAAACTATTACTAAAATGTTTACGGGTCACAATATTTTACGGCGCCCATGTTATACAATACAGTGATAAAATACAATGTTTAAACAGTAGACTATTACTTACTAAAATTGAAACCATTAAATTGTAATTTTCAAATGTTATATATACCATAAAAACAAAGACCCGCCCGGCGGGTTATGATCTAATTTATTTATTACTTACCTAGGTCTTGGTCTTACTTACCCCGTGATGGATAAAATTTAATACTCTTTTTTCTTTGTCAACAAATTTAATAGGCTTACTTATTTTATTTTTACCAGAGTAACAATTTACTTTTGTAAATAGCATTTTGTTTTTGGATTTGGTATGTATTCAAATGTATATAAGATTTAGTGAATCCAGGAAAAGACTGTATAAGATATGCAATAATTACTTGGGCTCTGAAGTGTTTACCCGTTTTTCAAAAGAATCTTCTTGACTTTTTCTGCACCACACCCACCACTCTCTATAATCACCCACTTTCTTTCCTTTTCATGGGAAACATCAAACTATTGTACAGTACTATTTGTCATTTTAAACATTCAAAAGCCCATCTCTCCCACACACACTCTTCTTATCTTCTTTTAGATTTTTGGGTTTACCATATACCAATAACACCCATATCCATAAAATGCAACTAACGGATTATGACTTACTTTATTAGGTTATTCAAATGATTAGTCACAAAATTGGAGTAGTACTTATCCATCAGCTAAAATTAAATGAACTGCTTTGCTTTGAAGGAAATCACGAGATGAACATGTGCACTAAAGAGTTGGTGGCTGAAGTTACACTAGCCTTAACTGAGATATCCTGATGCAATTTCAGAGTCTTGCCTCTTGAGCTATATTTGCCTGCTTCAACATTTCTTAGTGTTAGACCGACCTAAGAGAGGATTTGCTATTGCCATTAACACTCTTCCCCAGCTTTTCATTTGTAATATCTTCAACAAAGCTCCTAATGAGTAACGAACTTCTTAATGAACATGTGTATAGAGTTCTGCAGTTCTGGACCTATTGTAGGATCTGCAAACAAGAAAACATCTTTTGTTGAGTACACGTAGAGCGCACTAGCTATGCTTGTAACTTGTAAGCAGTAACCTTACACCACTTCGTCATCTGAGTTGTGAATCATTTTTGCCCAGCTAGAAACCACTTCATCCATCTGGATAAACAATATCTTGCAATGTGTTCCGGTAAATCCACCTGAAACCCCATTTTAGATGAGAAAAAAACATTTATCATAAGAAAACAAATAATACAAGAAGAGGAAACTCACACTGGTCCATGTTGCAGAAAACCCATCAGTAGATAGCAACCAACTTCTACTAATTTGATTCAGACCTAAAAGCTCATCACCAATGAGAAGATCATCCTCATCCTCATCATCAATAGCTCTCTTCTTTTTCTTAGCATTTTTCTTCTTCTTCCCCTTCTTGTGCCTCTTTTTAGAAACACGTCTTCCAACATCAGAATCAGATTCGCTTTCTTCAGAAAATCCGTTATGACTCACCAACGAGTGGTCACTCGACCTACGGAACTCAATCCCATTTTTTCTAAACAGACACTCCCATGAATCTGAACTCTGACATTCCTCCGATAACCTGAACTGAATAGTCCAAGAAAGTATCCCCAGTATCCTGATCACCTCTCTGTGTTTCATCTTCGAAACCTCTCTCAGAATCAAAGAAAAGCTATTCCCGTTCTCCAAACCTCTACATACATCTACAATAGCTTCTTTCAAACTCTCCCCCTCATCATCCCCATTCTCCTCACGTACAAGCCGTAGTAGCTGACGACCTTGGTTAATAACAGAATTCAACAACAGCAACTCATCAATAGATTCTGCATCACCAAATCTCGACACAACAACCCCAAGCCAGGAACCCGAATCACCAACAACATCCCAAGACTCAATTCTCGAATCAAAACAATCCCCAAGCAACTCAAGAAACCGACACAAGTCACGTTCCTCAAGAGTGATAAGCAAATGCTGAGTCAAAGAAGAGAAAGACTCCTCGGTAAGAAACTCCTCCACAGCATCCCACACATCGTTCATATCATCTTCATACATGAAACGGATAAAAAGATCAAGAAAGAACTTAGTATCAAGGCACAGAATCTGCCCGTCTCTGAGCGACTCAGCAAACTCGTTGGACGACCAGAAGTCAGGAACATTATCTAAAAAATTCTCAACGGTTCGCTGGACGTCGAGATCAAGAAGGTAATGAGGCTTGGTAGCAACAACAGCAGGAGACTGTCCGTGTTTGCCTCTCCACTCAAGCTCCTCCCAGCAGATATCTCTGTTTGCAAATGCAAACTGTGCTAACGCCTTTGCACCACGTTTATGATCAGAGCCACCATCAAAAGCAAACTCAGAGAACCACTCTAGTATACGCTTTGGATTCTCTGCAAAAAAAAAAAAAAAAAAAAAACTCAAAATTTCATATTAAAGATTTGAACTTTTTTAATGACTTCTTCTACCTTCAAAGAACTTCTCTAGTAGATAACTTCTTTTAGCTAATACAGATCCAAGCTTCTTTGGTCTTTTTTCAAACATTAGTTGGAGGAGCTGAGAGATAAACTGCTTCTTTCTTGGTTTTGATCTAAGTAACTTCATGAAAAGATTGAGTTGTCTTCTAGGGGATATAGAGAGAGTGGAGAGGGCACTGCAGAGCCAGAGTTTAGCTTCTGATCGAGCTTCATGAGTGACTAATGATTGAATTTGAGAGGCTAGTTTATTCAACTGAGGTAAAATCACATCGGTGTTAATGCTACTGTTGTTGTGTGCATCATTGTCCCACTTGGGTTCAGACAAGAACAAGTTTATCATCGTAGTACTAGTAGAAATTCACTTTTATCTGATAAGAGTTAACATAGACGCATGAGAAAGACCAATACAAACAAAAATCGAAACTTTTAAAAAACCCTAAATCAATTCCAGGTGTAAAGATTTGAGATCGAGAATCTCTTTGCGATAGGTTTGAGATAGGAGAAAGAAGAGTACCGGTTTAGTTGGCCGTCGGGGAAGCGAGGAAACTGAAAGGAAGAAGATTCAGTTCATCTGTTTTTTTTTTTTTTGAAATAACCCAGCAGTTTCTGGTTCGCTTTTTACACCAGAGGTCAGACGGTTCTGTTGGACCGGTTCGAGCCCACCGGCTCCATTAATTATTTTTTAAAACTTTACCGTATCTAAAATTCCATTTTTTAATTTTAAAATAGAATAATATGGATTATAGAGTAAAAATGCTCAAATCCTACTCTATTTTAACTTTATAATGGAATAATAAACAAATAAAAAATGATTACCTCATTTATAAAATAAATCTTATTATGAAGTAAGATATGAAGTGGAATTAAAATATTTTTTACTCCATAATTATTTTTACTCTAATTTGAAGTAGAAAATGGAGTTAGATCAGAGATACTTTACAATCGTTGCAACCCACGTGCAAGCTTGTTGGTGATAAATAGCTGCTTGACAAAATTGGTTATTGATGATTGTGCAGTACACCCACATTTTGTGCTGCTTATTATAGTGGGAAGAATTACAAGCAAACAAGATTACTCTGAAACACACCCACATTTTATCGGTGGAAAGTTTTATAAAAGTTTATAAAGCCTGGTTTCGTTTAGTGTTTTTCCTAACCGGTAAGCTTCAACACATTCGTACACAGACAACCAATTACAATATTATCAAGTGTGGGCCCGACAGTGTATTACGTGGAAATGTATTTATACTAATCTCACTAACACGGATCGAAATAACGTTTAGGTTTAGATTGATTTCGATTGAAAACAAGGGGGTGCTCAAACCTCCACTCACTACATAATCAAAGAGATACTATGAATTTTCATATGGGACACCAAATAATAATTTTAATTGTAATACTTCTTAGTGTTTCAAAAAAAAAAAAATTGTAATACTTCTTCCCTTTTGTAAAGAATATCCCTTAAGAATTTGGGGAAATTATTTTTTTAGACCAAAACCATTAGGACATTGTCCCTTTATGCTAAATTATATTTTGTACAATTTTTGATTCTAATGCCTTTTATTATTTTCAGAAATTAATAAAATAAATCAATTTTTGACTCTAATGCCTTTTATTATTTTCAGAAATTAATAAAATAAATAGATTTATGAACCAAAATAAATTTTTAAAATAGTACCTAATGATGAAATACCTATGTCAATAAAGTGATAATTTTTTTTCCAGTTTTAAAAATGTGTAAATCATAATTTCATATTTTGTTCTACAAATATTAGAATCCATATACTTCTTAGTAGAATATTAAATCTACTATTTTAATTATTTCTACTATTTTCAGAATACATGTTCTACGGAAATAATATTAATCTAAAATATTTTGGAATACACATTCCGCGTTTAACATATTTTTCTAATATGGGTAGAAACCAGAATCTAAACATTTCGATATATCTAACATAAGTAGAAATTCAAATCTACATTCTTACTATCGTTCTAATACTTGTAGAAACTGACTTCAAACGTTCTTACTAAGTTCTACCTTTAGTAGAATATGTATTCTACGCATAAAAATAATCATATCCGAAAATATAGGAGAAGATATTTAAAAATATTCAGTTTCCATATTTTTAAATTTTTTTTTTTTAAAGGAAAAACTAATTTCGAATTAGTTTGAGGACTTTAATTTTTTTTAATTTCAAATTAGTTTTTAATTAAATCTAAAATAGATAATAATGATTTTCTAATTATAATTACAAATTAATAAATTAATTTTAAGGGTAGTATTGCTATTTAGAAAATATTTAGCTAATAAGACAATAAGTAAATGAAATTAGCCTAAATAGACAATGTTCTAATGGTTTTGGTCTAAAAAAACTATTTTTCCTAAATTTTTTTACATAGATTAAGAAAATAATTGAAACGTATGTAAATTCTTATTAATTACACATATTTAACCAAAATTATTTGAGACAAATGAAATCATTTATAAAATCAATGTATTTTTAATTAATATTAAATTGATATTTGCATTGAAAGTCTAAAATAGCACTTTTTGCAATAAAAAATTGTTAAAGTGACAATTAGTATGAAACAAATGAAGTATTATTTATTTTATAAGAAAATTTAATAAATTTCTATTTTTATATTATTATTTTCAAAGTTTATTTTTATAGAGTTTGAAAAATAAAATCATAAATGTAATCATAGATAATCGGGGTTCATTTTATTTAATTTAACTATTTTAAACTTTATTCTTCTGGCTTAAACCCTCACAAGATTCAGTAATGTCATCACCCAAAATAAACTCAAACGCAAATATTCAACCTTTCTAACTAAAGAACAAGGATTTCACAATCAATAGAGACTTTTGGCGTTGCAAAGATTTCCCCAAGGATGGCATCCTTTCCCTTTATCATACGACAATTAGAAACTCTTAGGGTCAATTTCTTAAGGATTGTTGAATTCTTCAGAAAATACTTTACTAGCTTCATTTCAGTTTCATATCCCGTGATTGGTCTTCTGAATTCAACAAACTTCAGTGACGATACCAAACACGAAGGCACTGTTGAAACCACCACCTTCGTACAAGCAACACCAACCAATAATTCCTGCAAAACCAGAAAGTGAACAAACAAAAAATACAAGAAATAAATATTAATAAAGAGATAAAAATTTCATAAACTATATAGTTTAATATCATAGGGATTAAAGCAATTTATCACCAAGATGAGAAATTTTAGTTTTGGGCAGCTCTCAAGAAAGGTTGGCAACATGCCCGAATAGGTGTCAAGAAGATGAAAATGTAAGTGAGACAAGTAACAGAACTGAAGCGACGGATTCAAGTATTCAATGAAAACCTAAAACAAAACCAAAAATATAAGGTGAGAAACGTTTTGGTGGAAAAATATTTACATGCATATAAATTAATGTTAGCATTAGTACCTTCCAAGTATTACTACTAATAACTAGCTCCCTGACCCATAATACATCAGTTAAGACATCGTGAATCAAACCATGATCGCATAAGCCGCAAAAAGAAATATCTGCTTTGGCAGAGAAACCCGAATTGATGATCTTAAACTTCTTATGTTTGTTAACGTTAGCTCTTAAACACTGAAGAAGAGAAGCATCAATGTCAACTCTGACAGAAAAATTTATCTCGATTCTCTTTAGTGTCTGAGATCGCACATGTAAAAACCTCCCATCATATCTAGGTGGTGATAAGCATATGAGCGTTAAATCTTCCAAGAGTGGAGGGTTTGAGATAAGTTTCTCCATAGTGGCCTTATCGTGATACATAACTTCTTGTAAATGGAGGATCTTAAGACAAGGCAAGGAAACAAACTCAGTTCTAGCCAAGGTGACCCAACTTAGTTGTAACTGCACAACTGTCTTACAAGTATATATGCTCAGTGGTAGCACCGTAATTCTTGAAAGTGCATTAGAACGAATATCAAGATGCTGAATATTGCGCATGGTCGGAGAGTCATCATGAGTCCATTGGTTAAGAAAAGAGTTATAATCATCATGACCCCATCTAGACATATATAAACTGAGTTTGCGTATCACTAAACCCCTCTGAAGATCAAAAACACTGTTAGCAAAACTAAGAAACCCACTGAGGGTCTCGAATTGTTCGGAGTCTAAATCCAATATAGGAATCTGTTGCCAAATATTTTTCCATCTCTTGGACAAAACACTTGTTTTGACAACATCCTTAGTTGAAATACGACATAGTATTTCACATATCAAAGCATCCGGTAATTCGCTTATCATATCTTCTTCAGATTTTGTCAAACTCTCAATAACCACCATTTATGTCTCTTTAGCAACTTAAAACAAAAGCAAACAAAAATCAAAATATGGATTCGAACCAAGAACGAAACACAACCTTATTAATATAGATGCCAAGTAAGTATATATGGACTCGTTATTAAGTTCTGATTGAATCATCACCAAAAATATTAACCGAAACAGATGGAGACCTGAGAAACGGGCAAAATAGGATCTGAGATTTAGGGGGATGAATTATAAATATTTCTTAAGAACTTAAATATATATTTTTCATAATTTAAAAGCCTATATATTATATATATGAACTCTAAAATTTTAGGGGCCAAAATAAATTATTCACTTTTTTTTTTGTGTCCAGATCCGACCAAAAACCAAAAGGAACATCAAACTCCACGAAACAAAGTATTAACTGAAACAGATGAAAACCTGACGCAATTTGTTCCTAGTTCAGAACATGTAGCAATCATAAAAGCCAAAAAGAACCACAAACTCCATCGGAAAAAAATGAAATGTTAACTTACAAAAAAAAAGAAAAAAAAGATGAACTGTAAAAGAAGAAGATCAAAACACCTTATTTTTGCAGTCAGAATTTATCACTAACCACACTATAATGCAAATGTAACTTCTTATTCGTCCTACTCAGCCTCTTCCTCCACGGTCAATCTTTTCTCTCTAAAATATTATTTCTTTGAAATGTATATATAGGACACTAAGAGCAACAATGCAATAGATAAATAAATAAATATATATATATATATATATATATATATATATATATATATATATATATATATATATATATATATTTAAAAAACCAAAACGGCAACATATCTAATAGATATTTTATCAATTAATAAAAAATAATAATATAAGAGGAAAAGGAAAAGTATTTCAAATGAGAAATAGGAAGATACTCATGAAATGTTTTGGTGACATGCAAATTTTAATCAATTAAATTTTTTGTTGAACCCTACTTTAAATTAATTAAGAATTTTTTTTTTTATATCTTGACTGTTAATTATTTGTTTTTATTTCAACCAAATATACAAGAGGCAATCCTAGAATAATTAATATCAGTTCCAAAACAATCCACATAACATTACACATATTCTTGCAATTATGGAAAGTTTATTTAATGATTCATCATTTTTTCATTAATCATTTATTTATAAACTATATAAAGTATAGTTAAAAAGCAATTTTTAAAAACCAATATAATATTTATATTATAAGTCATAATATACAAATATAAAACATTATAATATTAATAAATGTATTAGTTCGTTTTTTAGTTTTGTCTGTATAGTAATATTTATAGTTATCAATCAAAAGTCCACTTTTTGGTACAATTTGTTTAGAAATTTAAAATATCAATATTGTATGTCTTATAAACTTTTTTTTTTTTTAAATGAAACATATACAACTAACCTTTAATGTACTTTTTTGTTAAAATAGTCATTTATAAACAACTAAACAGTAAAAAATCTAGAAATACTAAAAAGAGAATACCTTGAATGGTGAGAATGTCGAATATGATTTTTTTTTTTTATCGTGTACCCACAAATACTCATATAAAATATGCTTTAGTAAAATAAAATTCACATTTAATTTTAAATTTGTAAAATAGAATCTTTATTATAAAATATCTACGGGAAAACAGCATAAAAAATCTTTAAACTGGTACTCACTAACACTTTAAATCTTGAATTTATTTAACTATCATATAAAACATTCAACTTGACTTTTGTATCACAAAAAACCTTCAACTTGGCTTACTTGTTCAACAAGTTAAAATTATGACTTGTTAACCTGCAATAGCAGGTCACATGTTTATTTTTTTAAAAAATATTTAATTAATAAATGTAATTAACAATAAAACTCTAAATAAAATTGGAAAATTACAGAAAAATTTTGAAAACTGAATTTAATAAAATTAAAATATTTTCTTCAAATTTCAAAGTTCTTAAATTGAAAATTTTGCAAACTAAAAAAAAATTTTAAATCATACAAAAGCTATTAAATATTCTCACAAAAAATAATTTTTAAACATTATCACCATTAACTTGAACACTCTTTGCCATATCATCATTAAGAATAACATATTTTGTTATATCGATAATGACAATAGTGTCAAAATCATAGTTATATGTATAGAAATTATCATCGTTAAAGATATCAACAATATTTAATGCTTTAAAACTTACAAAATGTTATTATTAATTGTGATATGACGAAAAGTGCTCCTTTTACTTGTGGTATATCCACACTATTTATTATTAAATAGCATTTTAAAGCTTTATATAATTTTATAAATAATTTACATTCATATTTCAAAAAATTTCATTCAGAATAAAAATAAAACACTTGTAAATTCTTTAAAAAAAAATTGACTTTTTTTTAAATTAGATTTTGAATTATCTGTACTTAAAAAAATGTTTCTGCAAAACATTCATTTAAAAACATATATATATATATATATATATATATATATTTAAGAAGATATTTTTATTTTAATTAAATTAAATTTTAGAAAATTTCTGTAATTTTCTAATTTTATTTAGGTTTTTTATTGTTAATTTTATTTATTTATTAAATAAAATTAAAAAGTCAGCAGGTCACAATTTTAACTTGATAAACAAGTAAACCATGTTAAAAGTTTTTTCTGATACAAAAACCAAATTGAATGTTTAATGTGCTAATTAAATAAGTTTATGGTTTAAAATACTAGTAAGTGTCAATTCGAATGTTTTTTTATGCTACTTTCACAAATATCTACATCCGCGAAATCACCGGCATATCGGCATAATCAATGTTATTAAAATATGATTATTTATGTTTTATGCTCTTACAATTTTCATCAATGTTATTTAAATATTCAGGTTTTAAGAGTTAAAACTATATCTACCCATTAATTTAATTCATTGCATTCATGAACCGTTAAAAAGAACATCTAACAATCATAAATTTAATATCTTATTCATAATTTGTAATAATATAATTATCTAGTATTACAAAACTAATATTTAAAATAGAACTAGACCCATTGTATACTTTTGAACAAAAAAAGTTATCTACATTAAAACTGTAGTAGTAGTGATTGTATTTAAGATATAAATATTAATATCAAATCATAATTATATATATAAGAAGCAAATTTAATTTTTTCATAGACAAACAAACTAATAATTTTGTTAAAATTATTGTTAAAACATTAATAATTAACTCAATTGTACTAAATATATAATAGTTTTATTCAAAACTCACAAATGTAACTTTAAATAATCATTATAAAACCTATAAATCAAAATGCATAACATACATTCGATGTATTTACTTTATATGACAATCAAACAGTTTATTCAGATTTATTTACTATTAAAAAGTATATGAGAAATGTAGTCAATTTTTTTTTTAAATATTATCATTTTTAGGATTTTTATTTTTTTTAATCGGTTTCGTTTCATAGGTTAACTACATGTTTTAGATTTTATCGGATTTTAATTAAAGCATTTTCATTAAATAGAAATCAAATTATAAACCGTCACTAGGTTTACAGGTTCGACCGCGAATATAAAAATATTGTTTATGTCTTAATTCTATAAACCACACATGTACCCTATTAAAAGAAATTAACTAACTTTAAAAATAAAATGTTTACTTCTCACCATTCAAATGTAGGTTCACTATTACTCATCCGCTTGCGGGATCGCTTCAAATCGCTCTGAATCTCTAAAATTCAAAAACTGGTTTCAATTAGCGTTTGCGGTTGCGGACGATTACAGGAGAGTAAAAAAATATTTTTTCTCCAAAAAACTATATAAATATAAAAATAAAAATATTCAATTAAATATTAAATTAAAATAATTAAAAAACTGAAAAATTTATATTATAGAATTTCCAAAAAAATATTTTCTTTAATTTAAAAATTTAATAGTACAGTTTTTTCAATACAAATTTAATATTTATCATGAAAATATGATTTTAATATTTTGATAATTATATAAAATATAAATATTGTTAATTATTACTTAACCGCTGTTTTATTTGATGATAAACAAGTCATAAGTATCTCGTAAACACAACAATTTTTAACCATTGAACCAGTCGTAAAAATCTCTCAAAACGCTTAAAACCGCAATCTCCCGCATCCGCAAACGTCCGCAACTACAACCGCAGTCGCTGCGTTGTAACCAGTCAGACCCTTAGTCTTGGTTTTAGAAACTTAGAATTCAAGTATCTACAATGGTTATTTTGTTTTTTTTGTTCGATTTACGATTTTTTGGATAATTTAGAATTTTAAGTTTAAATATTACGTAATTAAGGGTTTTAAGACAAAAATATCATATAGATTTTTCGATTTGGTATTGTTCGGTTCTTCAATTCTGGATAAATGTGTCTAAACGTATACGCTATTTTATATAAAAATTCATATAAAATAATTTATTTAACTCTAACACATAGTATTCTCAAAACTTTTATCAAAATCTATTTGATTTAAAAAGAGTATCAAAATTACTGTTTATTATTTTTGCAATATTGACAAAACAACAATGACAAATAAATAAATAAATTAATTAATTGGCAGCACTCACTCGTCTCCTTCAATTACACGAAAAGGAGAGGACGAAAAGTCAAAACTAGCCGTTGCCATTATTTCTTTAATCGAAACAGCCGCTCCTTCCCAATCCCCTCCTTCTATCTTCCCTCTTCCCTTCACTCACTCTCCACTTACTCAGCTCAACATTTCTAATCTCTCTCTTTCTCTCTCTGAGCTGGCTCATGGCTACCTGTATCAGAAAACCACCATCCAATCCCGAACCCCAGCTTCAAACTCCTCCCGCCAGATCTCCTCTCTCCGAGAATCTCTCTCCTCTCTCCTTCATCTCTCCTCACACCTTATCTCCCTTGAAGTTGAACGCTCCTAAGCTCGTAACTCCCACTTCTCTCCATATCGATGACGACGACGACGATGAGGACATGAGTATTTCATCTGTTTCTGACACCATAGTAGAAGGAAGAATAAACGAATTATTCTCTGATTACGATCTCGATGATGACGAGGTTGTGAGGCGTTTATACGACGAAGAGGAAGTGTTTGGGCCCAAGCCCAGCTTGAAATTGAATCGAGGAGTGTTGAAGGATATGAATCTGAGAATTGAAGTTCCGTTTGCTAACAGAAGAGTCACAGACGGTGAATCAAGACTCCGGAGATTGGCCATTGCGAATTCGACTCCCGGGAGTTATCTCAGGGAGGAACGGCCGCACACTCTGAGCTCTAAGGTATATATACACATTTGATTGATCTCACTGAAGTAATTTTTAGGATATATTTGCTAAATTAAGGAACAAAATGTTTGTTTTAGGGTTCGGTGTATTGGGACGCTACTGAAGATATTGGAACACCAAGTGCACCGCCTATAATGGATATTGGAGATGGAGATAACATTGTGGAGTTAGAGAAGGAAATTGAGGAGATTGAAGATGAGATTTGCAGAGAAGCAGGAGTTGAGAGTATTCATCAAGGACACATTGGAGGCATAACTGGTGGTGATACAGTTTCTCATTTGTATAGTGATAGGTATTGTATCGAGTTCACTGAGCTTTCTATTTTTGTTATGCGGAGATGTGTTGGTAATGTAACCATTGTTTGCTTCAGTGTGAGGCAGACTCAAAGTGAGGAAGCTGCGCAAATCGAGGACATTAGCTCTGATGAATTAAATTGCCATACTATCAGGTTTACTACTTTACTGAAAGATGTTCTAAAAGAAGAGCTGTTGAAGATTATAACTGTGCTTACAAAATTTTGGTTATCAATGGCAGTGGTCAGTATGCTTGGCAGAGTCTTCTAGCATATGATGCTTGTGTAAGACTATGTTTGTATTCATGGTCAAGGGGTTCTTCTGAGGCACCTGAGTTTCTCCGTGATGAATGTCGTCTTCTTCGTGGTGCATTTGGGTAAGATATGAGTTTCTTTATGGTTTTCAAGACATGACTTATTTGTTGTATATTGAGTTATTTAATGAGTCTTTTGTATGTATTGTCATAGGTTGCATAAGTTTCTCTTGCAACCTCGGGGTGTTCGGTCGACTGAAGAAAGCAAAACTGTTAGAGTTGACCAAAAGACACCTTTGAAGTCTAAGAACCTGATTAGAAAGTTAAGGGTGGAAGGTAAAACTATTCTTCTTCTGAGAGCTTAAACTAAATACAAAATAAGTTTGTAGCTGCCTCTCATGAATCAGATATTGATATACCTCCTCAATTTTGATTGTAGTAAAGAGACTTCGATTGATACCACAACGCAAACTTAGAGGCATAGATTCGCTCCGGAGTTTAATGAGTACGCCAATGGGGGCAGAGTATTGCCGCCAAGTTTCATCGCTTGTGAAGACTGGGATGAGTTCTATTAAAACGGCTACCCTCTCAGCAGTTTCAGAAGGTTCTCTTTTGTTACATGAAAAACTAAACATTCATTAAACCATTTGAATGATATTTGGTTGTGTGATTTTAATTTGTCTAGGCCTATTAATTTGCATCTGATATTGTCCAAATTTTTTCACTGGTTGGACAAAGTTTACTAAATGGAAGACGATACCTCTATTGATATGAGATGACATGACTTAATCTTGTGATTCTTTCTGCAGAACAATTCTCCTGCTACCTTCAAATGAAGAGCTCATCAGAAGGAGGTCAAGTTGAAGAAGGGTCTTCTGTTTGTTTGCATTCAGGAACTGGAAGCTACCATGTCTTGTAAGCCATTTTCTCTCCGTTGAGATTGCCTGTAATGCAAAGCTGTTTAAATAAATGAAAGCTCCAGAATTTAGTTTCAGAGTTTATCCGAGTATGGAATGTTTTACTAATAACTCCTCCTTCAGCTTTCCCGAGTCTGAAGGCGACGCTCTACTGATAGAAGTTCAAGATAAGAAGAAATCAGTCCAAGGAAAAGTAACGATTCCAATGGCATCCTTAACTGACAATCCGGTAAATATGCTTTTAGGTGTCGTCCTCCCTGTGTTTTAATCTCTTCCATTTTGCTTGTGAGGATTTGCTATTGTGTTTTTGGATATTTAGATATACTGAAGAAACTCTACAATTTTTTTCAGAATGAAAATGTTAGATGGTGGCCAATATACCATGGTGAACAAGACTGTGTTGGCAAGATCCAGCTCTTCCTTGGTAGCACGACCTCATCCGATGAAGACTGTCACATAAAGGTATGTTCATTCTCTAACAAGTCTCCGATTATCTATGTTTTATTCTGTGAAATAATGCCTTACTAATGTTTTGCAAAAATATTGCTGCAGAGTGCACCTGTTGTCGAGACTCTAGCATACGATTTGCTACTAGAAGCTGCCACACGTGCCCAAAGATTCCATTCTCAAAACTTAAGACTAAATGGGACTTGGAAATGGTTGTTGAGCGAATTTGCAGAATATTATGGAGTTTCTGATTCATATACCAAGTTGAGGTAATCACAAGAATATTTGATTAAGACTTGATCTATTATCTAAGATCTTTTAACTCAAAAATATTGCACCAAACATTGCAGATATCTCTCACATGTAATGAATGTGGCAACTCCTACAAAAACCTGCTTACAACTTGTGCATGAGTTACTTGTGCCCATCCTAAGCGCTCGAAGTGAGAGGAGTTTGACCAGGCAGGAGGTAATTCCCCTTTTCTTTTGCTAATTGAAAAATATATGATGCCATCACACCAAAATCAAAGACTTGGAGTCGAGTTATGATATTTTAGCTTGATATCTCTTTGTTCAATAATCTTCCTTACTCCATATGGCTACTAGTTATTGACGACTTGTTCTATCCTTGCAGAAAAGTATCTTAATGGATTGTGAAATAGAGATAGAAAAACTCCTGGCAACTGTTTTTGAGAACTATAAGTCCTTAGATGAAAACTGCCCTTCAGGGTTGGCAGACATATCTGATCCAGTGCAAGAGTCGACTTCAACAGCACTTTCTCCAGCTGTTCAGATTTTTAGCCTCCTTCATGATATACTGACTCCTGAAGGACAAGAAATTTTGAATAATTACCTTAAGGTAAGCTCATATGATTTATAAATTATCAAGACTTTGATGTTCACTATTTTCTTGTCTAATGGAAAACCTACTGCAGACAGCAGCAAAGAAGAGGTGCAGGAAGCACATGGCTGAGACCGATGAGTATGTTTCCACCAGCTCTGAAGGTTTTCTTTTGGATTCCGTTACCATTTCTACAGCCTACCATAAAATGAAGAATCTCTGTCTGAACATAAGCAACGAAATAGAGGCTGATATAAAGATCGCCAATGAGCATGTACTCCCAAGGTAAATGAGCATGTCATCTGGTTTTCATCTTGAGATTATCTCCGAGTCTTCATATTGATTTAGTCTTATGTTCTCATGCTTTGTTTTATCGTTCAAGCTCAATTGACCTATCAAACATAGCCGCTGCCGTATACAGTACTCAGCTATGTAACCGGCTCAGAGCATTTCTATCAGCAGTCCCACCATCTTGCCCACAGCCTCATGTCAATGACCTTCTGATAGCAGTTTCCGATTTCGAAAGGAGCCTCGATTCATGGGGCATCAGGTTTGACATTAGCTTCTTGGAATCAAAATATGATGGCACGCTCATTTATTCTCGCTAATTACCTATTTTATTTTACTCAGTCCAGTACAGGGAGGTATAGACTCTAGGGGATTATTCCATAACTACATAATGGTTTGGATACATGATATGGAACTCAGGCTACTTGACCGATGCAAAGCAGAAAAGGTACTCTCTGATCATTTTGGGTTGATTTCCAAATAACGAAGCCTATCATTTGACTGTAATAAGAAATGATTGCTTGTTTTAACAGGTTCCCTGGTCTGGTGTAATAACAAACCACTCAACATCACCGTTTGCTGAGGACATGTATGAGAGAATAAAAGATTCTCTTATGGAGTATGAAGTGGTGATTAGTAGATGGCCACAATACACATTGATTTTGGAAAACGTGAGCTCTAAAGTTATAAGTTTGCAGCTTACTGGATGGTTACCAAGACTAATTTGGTTTCATTTTTTTCATGTACTCTTAGACTGCCTCAATCGTAGAGAGAGCCATTGTTAAATCTCTTGAGAAACAGTATAGTGATATACTGACTCCTTTGAAAGACACCATTCCAAAGAGGCTAAATATGCATGTGCAGAAGCTGACAAGAAGGCAATCATCAGCTCTCTACTCTGTTCCAACTCAAGTAAGAGCCACTCCATTGAGCATGTTTGATATAGTTTTCTTTACCTTTCTGGCTTATTAGTAATTGTATTGGACATCATTGTGCTCCTTTACCTCTCGTTGAATGCAGCTAGGAACTTTTGTCAACACCATAAAGAGAATTCTTGATGTTCTACATCAGAGAGTTGAGGATATTTTGAGACAATGGGCTTCGTGTCTTCCTGTCGTTGAGGATAAGAAGTCACTCTTTGGAGAGCAGATGAATGTCATCACGGTCTTGCTCAGGACAAAATACAGAAACTACATGCAGGCCGCGGTTGATAAACTTGTCAGCAACGTAAGTTGTTTAACTCCTCGCATCTCATGCCTTCATTCGAATCTATGCCTGTTTTAACTATCTTTGTGTGTGTATGTGGATGGGTGTTTCAGACGCAATCAAACAAAACCACAAGGTTGAAGAAGATCTTAGAGGAGATAAGAGAAAACGAGAGAGAAGTCGAAGTCCGTGAGCGTATGAAGATGTTATGCTCACAGATCACAGACTCAATCTCAAACATGCACGATGTCTTCACAAGTCAGATATTTGTAGCTTCATGCCGTCTTTTCTGGGATAGAATGGCACAAGTGGTGTTGAAGTTTCTCGAGGGAAGAAAGGAGAATGAAGTAGGCTACAAAGGCTCTTACTATGCTCTTGGGGTAATAAAGAAAACTTTAACCACTACACCATAAAAATAGACAAAACTTAGTTTAACTTGAGCTGTGATAAAAATGTGTGCAGATAGTGGAGGACACGTTCGCATCAGAGATGCAGAGGCTGCAAGGGAACTCGTTACAGGAGAAGGATATGGAGGCTCCTCGTTCAGTGATTGAGGCACGTTCCATTCTCTCCAGAGACACGACCAATCACTCTTCTTACTTCTATGTCTAGTCCAATAATATATGTACACAGAATCTCATTCTTTTTCCATTCATTTGTTTTGTTATATCGTACATATAAATATATATAAAAAGACTATTCAACAAGTTTTAAATAGTCTAGAAAATGTTCTATTAGTCTTGAATCTTATTTGAAATAAGAAAAGTCAAGTTGTTCAAGATTTGACTAATCTTGAATTGGATATTGGGATTGAAGTGGTTATTGCCAAGCACTAACCTTTCTAGCTTAGATGGTGAAGAGCTGTTCCCAAATTCAAGAATATAGAATATCGTTGAGTTGATTATCTTGCAGGTCGATGGAAGTCAAAGAAGGTATTTTGAAGAGAGCAGAAGGGAAAGTTCCAGTGAAAACGTTTTGACTTGCTTCAAAAGTCTCCAAGTTGCAGAGTGCACTTATGTTTGGAGGAAGTGTAGCAATGAAATGATTGTCGGTGAGAGTGATAAAGCTGTCAACTCTGTGAGGTTGAGTAATGCAAAGGGGAACTTACCACTAAAATGATTGAAGGTGAGTGATAAAGCTGCCTGTCAACGAGAGTTACTTCCACTAAGCTGATAAAGAATTAGAAGAGGGATCAAGGGACACTAATTTGGTCAGATGAAGAAGGCTCTGTTGGAATTAGACCAGACGAACAAGAGTTGGAGAGGTAGAGTAGTTTTAGTTCCTTTAAGTGTACCGAGCTATCTAGGTATCCAACTCGTTGTAAGCAAGACTCAAGATACGAATCTTTTGCTGCTTAAAAAGACTACTTGCAGAACTGAGTTTGCTGTGGAAGCAGCTCCAACTAAAGTCAAGCTCGACCACTTCACCAGTCTTGGCATCGCACGTGACACCGTCCCATGAACAACAATTTCTCTTCTCTTATCACTTTAGATGCATCACGTGACACCGTCCTATAAACAACAACAACAACTAAAAGCCTCCCTATGAAAAAAAAGTGACAGCATCACTTTAGATGCATATGCAGAATTCAAAAAGGACAAGGCATCAAAAAACTAACACATCATCGACACAAATTAACAAATATATTTCTACTTCTGAAGCAGTTGTAGCGAAGAAGGAAGCCCCCATTTGAAAATCATCAATCTCAGATTTAAGAGAATTGAATTTGGGACTGTAAACTCTTGTCTCTTCTCCTCAAAAACATAACGGTTTGCTTTGATGCTCTGTTAGTATAGTAATTTTCTGCCGAAGCAGCTGAGTTTAGAAATCCATAACACTAAAATTATTACATCACTTTTAACTTAAGCAAACGTTGTTTGTTTGTGTGTGTGTGTGTGTGATCGTTGGCATAGGTGTTTTGGGAGAATATTACTATACTGACACAACATCAAAGCAATAAAAGAGTATGAAGACCAAGATATATATTTTTTTTTTCAACAGTAAATATTATAGTTAAACCCCCAAACTTTCGCTAAATTGTAGTTATAACCCCAAAGTCTCGGCACGAAGTGAAAAAACCACCCACTTGTAGTCTTCAATTCAACACTAAAATAAAAAAGAGGATTACACTCTCACTTAACGATTTCAAAGTTCTCATCAACCGAAGAGAACGCGATAGACTGATGAGAAAACTGTAGAAGCTGAAGAAGAAGATGAGATCCAAGACGTTTCCCGTTAGGTCACGGCCGCATAGAGCTTCCCGCAACCCCCTCGATCCCTATCCATCTCCCGCTTCTGTTCCGGTAAAACCCTAATTTTACCTTCCTTCCTTTTAAATCGCAATTAGAGTTTATAATCAAAAGCTTATTAGTTTCGTTAATAACTTTTACCTCTTTAATGAGTTCTAATTAATTACTTTGTTGATCTCTCCTGCTATGAGTTTCTAGCTTTGGATGTATCTGTGTGGTTTTAGAGCTTAAATTCATAAATATAATCGGTTTCCTCTTTACAGGGTGAAGCTAATGAAAGATTTGCCTCTGGAGTGATCACCCCACACTGTGATGATAATGGTGATGTTCCTAATGTTGAAACAGTTCCAGAGACTTTTGATGAAATTGATGCGCCACCATCCAAGAAGCGTCATTGTCTTGGGACAAGTGAGGCCACTAGAGTAGGAAGATTGAACGTGGAAGCTTGTATTATATGTGACATTTTAGACGAGGGAGTAACTCGCTGTTCTGGGACTGGCTGTCTTCTTTGGTTTCACGGGGAGTGTTTGAATCAAGAGTTGGGTAGTATTAGTAGTAGTGAGGATCTTGCAAAGACCTACTGCCCTTATTGCTGGTTCAAAGTTGTTATGATGAGACACAAATCAGTGAAGGAGAAGGCTGTTGAGGCGGAGAAGGAAGTCTCTAAGTATTTAAGTAACGAGAAGGGTGTTTGTTCATCTGAGAAGGAACAGTTTCAAGTGGAGAAAGATTCTGATGGGTCAAGAGGAGAGGGCATGCCATTAACTGAAGAAAGAGATTATAAACCTGAAGATGATACAGAGAAGTTTGAAGATGCTGAGGAAGACAAGGATGATGAAGAAGCAGCAAAGGATCAAACTGAAGGTAATACAGATGCAAGGGGAAATGGAGATGTTTCACGGTCTTTGTCTATGCAAGAATCGTCTTCAGGAAAAGAGGAAGACCAGATCCAACAGGATGAGGGGCCAAGTAGAAGAAGACGGCAGTTAAGATTGAATTATAGTGACAGTGACATCTCATCGGATGAATCAACAAACGAACGAAATGGAAAACATGTAAGTGATCAGACGGCTCAAGTGGTAACCACCCCGTCAGGGACGATGAAGAATCAACAGAGAAAACATAGCGCTACAACCGAAGTGGCCAAGTCAAACACAGTGAGGTTGTTCCTTTTTCTTCATTTACGTGAACATGAAAGAGTATTTCAACTCATTTCCACATTAAATAAAGAGAGTTACCTCATGGATTTGCAGGGACACTTCCTCTCTCAAGACGGATCAGAGAAAGAGGCTATTTTGGACACCAGAAGAAGAAGAAATGCTCAGAGTATATAATAAACACTAGCATTAGTACATTTTTCTTGAATTTGGAAATAAAATTGTTGTTGATATGTGTTTGCTCTCTCAGGTGGGAGTGGAGAAGTTTACAGCAGAAGCAAGGAAGAACATGCCATGGAGGAAAATTCTGGAAATGGGAGAGGAGGTGTTCCACGAAACACGTACTCCTGCTGATCTCAAAGACAAATGGAGAAACAGGATGGGCGCAAGAGGGAAAAAGACAAACTAGACAACGCATTGACTCTGTCACTGGTATCTTATACCCAACTATTGGTGTCTCATATAGGAGATGAAGTCAGGGTTCACTGACATGTATTATTAACTTTGACTTATGTAGTCTTTTGTTCTTCAATGTCACTCTTTTCGGATGAACGAAGATCGACATGTATTATAAATGCTCGTATGCTAGATGTTGAAGAAAGTTAAATAGAACCCTCGTTCATTTAGATCTCATATGCTGGGAGGGATACATAACATTGTAAAACAGAGAGAATAGATTTAGAGGATAACATTTGCAAATTGGGAGGGCTTAAGACAATAAAGAAAACTTATTTCATAGGCGAATTCATCATCAAAGTCTTGTCTCTACGCATTATGTGTGTGTTTAGATAAGAGTGCCGGTTGGGATTAAGGCGTCCTTGATAACGGTAACAATACCACTCTTTATGAAATATCCATCAGTCTCTCTCGCTGCCTCTTGCACATTGTCGCTGTTTATGATCTGTGCACCAAAGGTTCAGACCAAAACCCTTTTTTTAAGACCAGAGCCATATGTGTGTGTATATGGAACTTTGGAAAGTGTGTTCCCAAATATAAAACCTAACCTTGACGTTGTCACCGATACGTGCGTTTTTGTCAATGATGGCTCTTCTGATGTGTGAGTTTTTCCCGATACCTATGGGTACACTTCCTTTCGCCGTTAGGAGGCTCTTTTCCGAAGCAGTCTAGGCAAAAATACAACAATGAAATAAAAAGGCTGATGTTATTACAATAGTTTATCAAGTGGACTGCAGTACAGATGGAGCTTCAGCTGCATTTACCTCGTAATAGTCAGCTCCCATTAGTAATGAATCTTCAATAATAGCACCTTCTGATATGCAGGAACGGAGTCCAACCACAGAGTGATGTATTTTGCAGTTCTGCCATCAAAAGTTTGGTAAGTCTGTGTGTTGTTGCAAAGCATATCAAGAGGAGCTGTTTGATTTTACCTTGATGACGCAGCCTTCTCCGATGACACTGTCTGTGACATCAGCATCGAGCATCTTAGACGGTGGTAAATAACGTGGCTGTGTGTAGATCGGAGCAGAACGATCATAGAAACTGCATCAAGAGTTCAAAGAAGCTAAGATATCATCCAACAGATACAATAGAGTGTATGATTATTCCAAATGGTAATGTGGTTCGCGTACCTAAAATCAGGAACCGGTTTTTTGGTGATTCCGAGATTTGCGTTATAGAATGCCTCTATAGTACCGATGTCTTCCCAGTAGCCATCATATAGGTAAGCTTGCACCTGCAAAAAACATCATCACAGTTAGCATGTTTTGCTTCTGCATAGATAGCATCATCAACTACAAGAAGATGTTGACTCCGACAGTAAAAATACAAAACTACTTGTTAAACACATGAACTCAAAGCTAGACAAAGCACTTACCCTCAGTCCAAGGGAAGTGGCACCAGGAATAACTTCGCTTCCAAAGTCATTAGCTCCAGGAAACTTGTTTCGTAGTAGTTCAAGCATTACATCTTTGCTAACAACATAAATACCCATACTCGCAATGTAAGGCATCTCCTTGGCTCTCTTATCATCAAGACCTAGAATTGTTGTATCAACCTAGTAAAAGCCAGAAAATCAAAATCTTATCTACAAAGTGGTTTCAAGATGTATGAAACAGAGGATTAGCTTAAGTGTTTTTTTGGGGTTTTCTTTTAACCTTCATGGCCTTAAGTTGCTCCCCTTTTGGTTTTTCGGCAAATTCAACAATACGTCCTTCCTCATCAATCTTCATTAACCCAAAAGCAGTAGCTCGTTCCTCATCCATTGGTAACGCAGCCACCGTGATATCAGCATCAGTCTCCCTATGTGCTTGAATAAACTTCTCATAATCCATCCGATACAAATGATCACCAGCAAGAATCAAATACTCAAGAACATTATGCTCCTCAAACAACCACAAGTATTGCCTCACCGCATCAGCCGTCCCCTACACAAAAATTCCCACACGTTACATAAAAACACACATTCAAAAAAAGCCTCCACAAGGGACAAGATCCTGTCATTTGATTACCTGAAACCAGTTGGGGTTTTCAGGACTCTGTTGAGCAGCAAGGACTTCAACAAATCCTTCGTTCTTGTAACCTCCCATGTTAGTAGCATAAGCTCGTGACAAGTGGCGATTTAGTGAGGCGGAATTGAACTGTGTAAGGACGTAGATCTTGTTGATGTTGCTGTTGAGACAGTTGCTGACGGGGATATCGATGAGTCTATAGTTAGCACCGAGAGGAACAGCAGGTTTGGCTCTCTTTTTGGTGAGAGGGTAGAGACGAGTTCCAGCACCACCTCCTAAGATGATCCCTAACACACTCTGCCATGTAAAAAAACATTAGCTCCAAAGATTCAAGTCTTCTTGGTTACTTAAGAAACAATTAAACCATACAAGCAGTTGGCCGAGTGGTAATACTGGCTTTGGAAAGGTATTAAACGCCCCGGGTTCGAAACATATCATTTCAGATATACGGGCTTATGTGGTCAAGTAATATATGAAGAGCAAGCGGATTTAGGCAGGTCCAGGAATATTATGATGGTCGAGGCTCATATATTAATTGACCACATAAGCCGGTATATCTGAAATGATATGTTTTGAAACCGGGTGCTTAGTAGTTAGTATCTTTCCAAAGACCATCCTAGTGTTCCAAAAATAAAATCAGATCAGGAAGACGAAACTCACACTGCTCGCATCAGGATCAAGACAAGTCTGGGAGTTTTGAGAATCAGAGACGGCCTTAGGAGACACGATCATCGAGTTTCTCACACGGGTGGATCTGAGAGATACCTTCACGTTGGATAAACTTAAAGAGGAGGAGAAAGAAAGGTTCCTCGTGGGAACCGCCTCACTCGAAGCAGCAGCAGCAGCAGGAGGTGGTACCTTAAGAACTCCAGTTGCAGCAGCCATAGACGCCATTGTGGTAGTCTTTATCTCTTTGGCTTAGATATTCGGCTTACGATCAAATCTCAGTTTGCTACAGGAGATCAGAGGCTAAATAGTAGAATTGGAGTGGGACTTTCTGCTTTGTGGATTGTTATTGTGGGAAAGTAAGTAAAAGAAATTTATTATATTTCTGTTTTCGTTTGCGATGGGGTCTTGGGAACCGTTAGCTTTTCGGCTATAATTCCTTTACTGACAATTACGTTACTGACCTTTACGTCTTATATCAAATGACTTAGCATATTGATATACGACGTCGTTAAAAAGTAATAACGGGCCTTATGAGATATTTTGGGCTGATCTTGGGCCAAATGCTAACCCACCCGCCAATTAGTTTGAGGTTCAGCACTAATCAAAGTCTCTGCATCTCTGCTTCTTCTTCTTCCCCAAACTCTAAAAAAAGGAGAAAAATGAAGCTCGTCAGGTAAGTCTCTTTCTCCAACGATGACATTCATTCCATTCTCAAAGTGATATTTTCCATTTTCTGTACGGATCAGGTGCTTGATTGTATCACTTTTAATTCAGTTCTTAGCTAGACTAAGCTAGTTCCAATCCAGAGCCTAGTCATATGTAAGTCTCAGAGTTGTATATGATGTTGCCAAAGGTGTTGATGTGACTATGTGAGCATGAATACGCACTTAAAAGACTGTGAAACTGACTCTCACGGGGAAGAATCCTGACACTCTCTATCATCTAAGCTTGAGGGAAAACAATATCTGCTACTACATTCTCCTGATAGTCTGAACACTGAGGCTTGACTTGTAGGTTACGCACAAGAAGGCTGCTGCTATTGGTAAGAACAATGCTCATCAGCTTTGATACTCTTATTGTTCATTCATTCATGTTGATCTGCTTTTTTTTTGCTTATGGTCTTTACAAGGAAAGGCTATTCAGAGGAGTTTGCTAGGTGTATTTTCTGTTGCATATAGCCTTTGTTGGCTACTACTACTATCTCCACTTGGACAAAAGTTAAGGTCAGTGACTTAGTTTGGTAGAAGAATATGAACCATTGCGTTTTTTATTAACATAAGCATGTACCAGTTTATGCAAGGAAGGAAACAGATTGTAAGCCAAATGATATGATTGTGCACATTCAAATATTTAATAGGCAATGCATAAAGAGTAGTATCATATAGAGATAGCAGAAGTTGATTTGGCTTTTAGAGCTTTATTCATGTGACTGAACATATTGATACTTTACATTTGGTCACAAGCTGTGATATATTCCTCCGTGCAAAACCCATTTCACATGATTGTGCAACTGGGTTCGTGATTGTAAACAGGTTCCCCTATGTAACTGTAGGGGTTGCACGGGTAAGGAAAGGAAGAAGGCACACCGTATCCTTGAGGAGATGGATAACAAGGTGGAGGACATGAATTATAGGGAGGAGGAGGACATGGATTACACGGAGGAGGACATGGATTACATGGCACGGGCTTCTTCACCTCTTCCTTCTTCTTGTCTCCATCTTTCTTATCTCCATCCTTTTTATCTCCATCTTTCTTATCACCATCCTTCTTATCACCATCTTTCTTATCACCCTCCTTCTTATCACCTTCTTTCTTATCTCCATCCTTTTTGTCCCCATCCTTCTTCTCTTCTGGTTTCTTTGGAGGTTCGACTTTGCTTACGCTTACAAGCTCTGCAAAGGCTACCTTCTTTCTGAGCCTTTTGGTGAGGCCGATCATATCAACTTCTGTACCGGTTACCTCTATCTGGTTCCTGTGATCTCCTTTTATCTCCACGGCTGAGACACCTATAAACCATAGCATCAAAAGGTTAGATCCAACATATGTTTTTGGTGAGAAGGTCTTCTTACCTTTAAACTGAACTGCTTTTGTCATAGCTTTTGCTCGGGTCTTGTCATCAGTCATAGTGACTCTAAACAGGATCTTTTGCTGCGTGTGAAAAATGATAAATCTTATTACGTCAATCAAAGAAGACATATAAACACATACAAATATAACTTGTTGTTGAGTATATATATACTTACCTTCATCTTCTTGTTTGCTTAAAGGATTGACTTGAATGTCTTCTCTTGAGTTCTGGGTCTCTTAGAATACTACGTCTGAAGAAATGTCTATTCTACATGGTCTATTCTCTTCTGATATATGAGTTGTTGACGATCGTTAGGATTTCGTTTTCAATTCGTTGTTAACAAAAAGTATATAAAAACCAGTTTCTTATTATCAAGCTTGTTCACAATTCTTTGGTTAAAATACTATATAATCATACATATTTTAGAAATGCCCTAGAAAGTTCTTATAATTCTTACCAACACATCTACTGTTTTCTTATATATCTTTAGTAAAGAATATTTAGTTTAGTTTTTTTTTTTAAACTATAACAGATTATCAACTTGATAAAAACACATGCCAAAGATGTATCACTTGAGAAAATCAAAGAAAACAAATCTTTTGTAAAGATAGAAAATATTATCTTCTGTATGTATATGAAATAAATTATCCATTTGAGTAAGTGTAGACAAAACTGTGGGGTTTTGATTCTTGTTTAGAAGTTGCAAGTCTACGTTTCCATACGTATTAATAACAAAACAAATGAAAAACGACAGAAAAATTATTATAGTAAGCTATTATTGGATGATTGTCTTGCATTACGTAAGTACTCAACCTTGAACCAACTTTCTGACTTTTAAAGTTTTCCAAGTTTCAATGATAATATTGCTGAACATGCCATTATCACTGTCATAAACTAAATTGTCGCCATGTAACGTTTGCATATGGAAAATAGAAAAAAAAAGTATTTCGCAAATTTGTTGAAATCTATAACTCTTATACACATCAGATGTGTTTCAAAAAAAAAAAAAAAACACATCAGATATTATGATGGATTTGTGAGTTCAAAAACTACGCCATAAACTGTGAGTCTAATCGGTATTTATATGTTTTGATTCAACTATTCAAGGATGGTCAGATCTTGTGGGCGACGACTTTACGTTTTAGTCTTTGTGGTTCAACAATTACGACATAATGTTCACATAGTGAGCCTTATAGTAGTGTGATGTGAATGATTAAAAACTTTAATAAGGGTTAAAGAATACAATTTTTTTATATATCTAATATACTATTCTGTAATAATTTGATAAATTAGTTTGGTTCCGTATTTATATAAGTTTATGTATTTTGTATTATATTTCTGATGACTTAATTAATAGATATCAAAAAACTTTAGGAGAATTTTCACAAATCAGAGATCGTCTATGTACCAAGAACGCAGAATTTATAGGCGGATAATCTAACACAGAGTGCCAGGAAACAACTGTTTTTTGTCAATCACATGGATGCAGATCTAACAGTTTGGTTAACAAAATTAGTATGAGTTGATGACAAAAAAAGTCAGATAATTCTCTTTACACATTTTTTTTTGTTTCTATTTTCATTAATTTATCACAGTGACAAATGTCTCTCAGTATCAAATCTATGAATCTATTTACAAGAAAAGTAAGTGAATATCTCATCGCCATGCGTGGACGTTTTGAGGAGCAAGATAAGGGATTATTCATTCATTGGATATATATGGTATTGCTTGTTATACACGTTTTCTTTGAACTTCACAAAGCCCTTTTAATCTACTTTGCCAAATATAGTTTGTCCAAAAAGTAAAACATGCCAAATATAGATTCCTTCATCGGTGTTCCATCGATCAAATAACCTCTGAAAGCTTTCATTTCATCCCCTCTCTCTTTTGCTCTTTCTTTTGCCAAAATCCAAAAAAAAAATCCATCTATTCTCAGCTAAAACAAACAAACAAACTGAATTGTTTTTCAACCGAAACAAATCATATAGCAAAAAAAATTAACAATCATCCCTATTTTTGGCGAAACTCTGATGAAGTTTCTCAAGAGTCTTGCTATTGCATGTTAACCAAAAAGTCCTTGTTAAAATTTTTGTAAAAGGATATTAGGTTTTGATTCTAACAAAAGATGTTATCGTTTCGAATCCCATCTATGGGGGGAACCCAGCCGACAGCATTCGCAGCAAAAATAACAGACACAACAAAGACCGTGGCACAACTCAAGTCAGCTGCAACCCCGGCGCCTCACAGCACAGTCACGTGCGGTTACCAAGCTCACGTGGCGGGCTTCTTCCGCAACGTCACGGTTTTATGGTCCAAGAATCTCATGAACCATTCCCTCACCGTCATGGTCTCTAGCTTAGAAAACGACATGAACTATTGCTGCAAGATCGATCTCGTGAAGCCATGGCAGTTCTGGAGCAAAAGAGGCTCAAAATCATTCGACGTAGAAGGAAACTTCGTGGAGGTTTTCTGGGATCTAAGGTCGGCGAAGTTATCAGGAAACGGTAGCCCCGAGCCGATGTCAGACTATTACGTAGCGATAGTTTCAAACGAAGAGGTAGTCTTGTTGTTGGGAGACTTAAAACATAAAGCTTACAAAAGGACAAAGTCAAGACCCGCGCTGGTCGAGGGGTTTGTATATTTCAAGAAAGAGAGTATTTTTGGGAAAAAAACGTTTTCTACAAGAGCGAGATTCGATGAGCAGAGGAAGGAACATGAAGTGGTGGTGGAGAGCTCAAACGATGAGAAAGATCCAGAGATGTGGATAAGCGTTGATGGGATCGTGGTGTTGCACGTGAAGAATCTGCAGTGGAAGTTTAGAGGGAATGTGATGGTGTTGGTGGATAGAACTCCTGTGATGGTGTACTACGATGTGCATGATTGGTTGTTTGGGAGTTCGGAGTCGACGGCGAGTTCAGGGTTGTTTTTGTTTAAGCCTGTGGCGGTTGGAGCGATGATGGTGGATGAGTATTTTAGCGATGCGGAGGAAGGGGATAGTGGAGGAGGGAGTAGTCCTTTGAGTCGGTACAATTCGGCATCTAGTGGTTATGGACCATTGCATGAGTTCTGTTTGTTTCTTTATGCTTGGAAATTTGAGTGAGAAATGTTGATACACCAATAGCAATTTATTAGTGTTTTATACTCTTTAAAATCTCTTTTGGTAATTTATTTGATCATCTGGATAGCTTTAGGGATCCAGACTAATCTGCATGGTAGTAGATAGAGATGTTTGAAATAGCTAACCTTTTTTGGAGATGGTGAAGCTAGATCCTTATTCACAAAACTGAATGTGGAGATGGTGAAGCTAGATCCTTAATCACAAAACTGAATCTTCTAAAAGACCATATGTTTTTAGTTAATTTGAATAAAAAGGATGGTCTTTTTTTTTTTTGCTAAACATGAGGTATAAAGGAGAGTAAAGTTATTATAAGATAATCATTTTTTTTTCCAGTTTAGAGGATAGAGTGAGCATATATGCATGCACATATGGTGATTTTAAATCCCATATACAAGATTACATATGATTTGGAATGAACTGTTGTTGCATTAACATGATGAAAGTTGAATTTTTCTTTGTTCAAGATGTAAGTTGAGCTTAAATTCTTCAAATGTAGCCTTGTCAAATCAAGTTAAATCCTTCAAGTGTCACAGTTGAAGATTTGGCATATCGTCTGACTTTTTTTGTCAGATAACTTAATGTAACAGATAATCAAGGCCCAACCGGTAGATAGTGACTCTCTTGGAATGGCACTGCAGCAGCAATAGTAGCAGATATTTCCATATGAGTTTTTGATTATTTCACAACTAAAGCTAGGTAGTATTTATTAGCCTTCAGTCAAAAAAGCTAGTTAATATTTATATATAAATAAAATATATTATAGAAATTCGGATACCAATTCAATTTCTTGTTCAATTCTAATTTTGGTTTTTATTTTTCAATTCTAAGAACATAAGATCTGCTAGGAGAATTCATAGTATCTGACCTTGAATAAAACTTTGTTTTTAGATTCGATTCTTTGATTTCAGATAAATATGCACATAACTAGTTGGGTACCTATGTTTTTGGGTTAAGTTGAAATATTAAAGGAGGATAAAGTTTGATGTCAAAAAATGAGGGTAAAGTTATTATAGGAATGACCGTCTTTTGAGTATGTGCTAGAAGTTTATTTGTAGAGAATCCAGTTTTGATCTTGTAATTTTCTTAAATTTTTAGTTGGTAAAATATTCCAAAATGTTTTGGTAAGAGATCCCATATACATTTAAAATTTTCTTTGTTAAAGATGTAAGTTGAACTTAAATCCTTCAAATGCAGCCTTTTCAAAACAAATCAAAATCCTTTTAAACACGACTGTTGAAAATTTGGCATATCGTTTGGTTGTTGTTGGCAGATAACTCAATGTGACAGCTAACCAAGGCCCAAGCAGTAGATAGTCAGATAGCGACTCTCTTGGAATGTCATTGCACAGCAGCAATAGTAACAAATATTTCCTATTGGCCATTGTTTAAACGAGATCAACCTTTTCCCCACTGTTACTTTTTGATTAAGAGTCCCGTGACCAATACCAATATCGTTAGTGAATATAGTACAATAGCTATGTCATTAAATTATAACCTACTATTCAGTCTACAAATTCGGTAATACCTCCACATGCACAATAATTTATAGGTAAAAAGAGAAAGATTATACAAAATTATTTCAAAAAGTAGATACCGACTGCGTGTCAGTGTTACAGATTACAATAAGAACATCTTTTTATAATTGTGTAGACGTATCTAACTTGTCAGATATTATTTCCTTTCTTTTCCCCTACAAAACTAAAATATCTTCCTCTTTTAGGCCAAAGATATTTCTTCATGTGGGTGTGCAAAAAAAAAAGAAAAAAAAAGACAGAACACCAAAGATATTTTAGTTTTGGTAAGGTCAAAGCAAAGACTAATTGTAGGCGTAGAGGATCCAACTATCTAAAAGCGGCACGCTTTGAGAATCCAGAATCGAGAAAGAGCACTAAAAAAGGTTGACGTGTACACTCTAGCTCGCGAGTAGGTCTGGTGCGCGTAAGATAACACTCCTAAAAATATCTGTGGGGTCCCCTAAAAATAAGACTTTTTACACTTTTTCCCCTAAAATTGTGTAGAGATATCTTATGTCACATGTCTACATGTCTCTTTTAGGACAGCCCATACATTGTCTTCTCTATCTCTTCTCTTCCCTTCTCTTCTCATCTCTTCTATTCTCAAAGCTTATTCCTATTGAGAAGATTGTTGTTTCTACTTCTGGAGATATTCAACAGTCTCCATCAGACGTGAGTTTCTTTTTTATCTTTAAACCCTTTGTGTTCTTGTTTAAGTGAGGGTTCTTTGATTTATTAATTATACTTTAGCTGATCTAGAAATGGATCTATGTTGCTATTCTTTGATTCTTATTGTAGTTATATTTTTTTGTGTAATTAGTACACCTGATTATATTCTTAGCAAATCTATTACTTGGAGTTCACTGACTTTGATCTGAAATTTTGAGCTAATAGTTCTGTGATTGTATAGCTTGCTCTGTTCTTTTATGGAAACTTCAACCTTTTATAAATAAATCTTCAAAAGTTTGGATCTTTCTTTCTATTTCTGGACTTGCTTTTGATACAAAGTTTCAACCTTTTCTCCTCTTATGTCAAAGGCCATATCTAAGTCAAGAAGTTGTATACTGTATTGTGGTAACTAACAGAAACGGTTTAATATTATTGGTCAGTGAAAGGAGCTTGCTTGTGTGAGCCAAACATCAGATTGGTTAAAAAAATGGGTTATATGTGTGACTTCTGTGGTGAACAAAGATCAATGGTCCATTGCCGCTCTGATGCAGCGTGTCTGTGTCTTTCCTGTGACCGTAATGTTCACTCTGCTAATGCTTTATCCAAACGTCACTCAAGGACTTTGATATGTGAGCGTTGCAATGCACAGCCAGCTTCTGTTCGGTGTAGCGACGAGAGGGTTTCTCTTTGTCAAAATTGTGACTGGTTAGGCCACAACACTGGAGATAATTCTCATCATAAGAAGCAAACCATTAACTGCTATTCTGGTTGTCCTTCTAGTGATGAACTTGCATCAATATGGTCTTTCTGTTTGGATTTGGATTTGGATTTCTCTTCTGCTGCTGGAGAGTCTGCTTGTGAGCAAGGAATGGGTTTGATGACTATAGATGAAGGCACAGGAGAAAAGAAACCAGGTGGACAAGATGCTAATGTAGATCAGCCTGGAACTAGTTCTGCACAAGCCGCATTGGCTAAGGTAATGAAAATGATTTTTCTGCTTATAATATTGTGGTAGCTTCTTGAAAGTAACTTGTATCTAAATGTTGTTCTTGTTTTGGTTGCAGGGTGTTGGAGTATCTGAAGATGACTATTGTGGCAATCTTATTATGGATGAGATGGATATGGCTTTTGAGAAGTATGATGAGCTCTTTGGTACAGCTTACAACTCTTCAAAAGATCTCTTTGAACATGGTGGACTTGAAAGTCTTTTCGAGAAACATGAGGTTCTTTTCTATTAAGACTAGTATTACTAACATGAAGGATGACTTTTTTTTAAAGGTTCTTACGCTCTCTCTTTGTATTTTTTTCTCCTAATGTAGAGCTTAATCCAAGGAAAGACAATGCAGCAACCAGCAGAAAGCAATGCTGCATCTGGAGATTCGTTCATGACCTGTAGAACTGAGCCAATCATTTGTTTCGCATCACAGCCTGCTCATTCGAATATATCCTTCTCTTGTGCCACGGTTGAAGGTAATAATGATTTCCAAGATTGTGGAGTGTCATCATCGCAGCAGCCACCATGGTGCCCTCCAACAGCACAGGAGATTAGTGCAAACACACGTAACAACGCTGTTATACGTTACAAAGAAAAGAAGAAGGCTCGCAAGTAAGTGTTTAAACCACTTGGGAGATGGGATTTTCATCATCAGTCAAGGTTATTATCATATTGCTAATAACTTTTGTATAAATAGGTTTGACAAGCGAGTGAGGTATGTCTCTAGGAAAGAAAGAGCTGATGTGAGACGGCGTGTGAAGGGACGGTTCGTTAAGTCAGGTGAAGCTTATGATTACGACCCTATGAGCCCAACAAGAAGCTACTGAGGTTGCCACAAAACCCGAAACAATGAAGAACCCATAAAGTGGAGATATTAGATAAAGAGATGTAAGTGAAGAGCAGTTTCAGGATTGGACTCAAGCTCATTCTTTCTTTAGAGGACTCCTGACCAGCAAGACCACCAGTGAAGCTTTCAAACAGAGGAGCAGGATCCTTAAAATTTTGTTCCAAGGCAAGACCACCAATATATACTTATTGGTTATGTGTAAATCCGCATATGCTTTTCGAATGTGTGTACTATAAATCATGTTGAAGATTAGAGTGGCAGAGAAGTCATGTTCTATGTTTACTTCTGTATTAGTTAAATGGTAAAGTGTATTTTTTTCCAAGCCAGCAACAAGAATAATAACCATTTTTGTTATATATTTTGATATTAAATTATCTTGCTTTCAAGTTTTATGCACTATCAAAATAACTGTTTCACATTGATCAAACAGAAAGCTGGCCATACTACAAACTAATGGTAGCTCATCAGTCTTCATAACTCTCATCTCCAGACATTGCGGCAAAATCATCTCCCTCGCTTGTTTCCTGCAGACAACTCAATTACAACTCTCAGGGAAAGAGTATGCAAGCAAGGTGGTTTCAGAACTGTGGATATGAATGAATAGTACCTGTTTTTTGTCCCAGTCTTTCAGCTTTGGGTTTGCTAACATGTAATTATCACGTAGAGGAGCCCAAGCAGGAGCTTCTTCTTCAGTGGAATTTGAAGCTTTTTGAGCCTGTGTCACCCCACAGAATCCCACTAGTAAATTACCAAGAATACACTTACAGCTAACAGCTCTCACTAATGAAAGTGATTCGTTCCCTTAATATCTCAACACACTCAACATTATCAAGATGAAGCATATTCAAAGAGAGAGTAAGAGATAATGTAAGACTATGCCAAACCTTGGGATCTGTTTTGGATGTTTTTCCTAACTCTGAGAAGAATGCTTCTTTTCTTCTCTTCTTTAACACTGAGATGTTCCAACAGAACCAAAAAAAAAAAAGATTTAGAAGCCAAAAACAAGACAGTGGACACAGAAAGATTCATGCCAAAGATGGATATCTAAATCCTCTAACCTTTAGAGTCTTTTGACCTTGAAGCATTCAAACCTTTCTCAGCATGTTGAGCCTTGTTTACCTGTTTGAAACAAAGTCTTGAATCAGAGGAATCAGTCTCTCAGAGACTAAAAAAATGGAAAAAGAAGTAGAAACAAACTTACAGCATTAAAAAGCTTCACCACTGGAGTTCATGGACGAAAACAAAGTCAGTACCAAACAATTATGAAAGAGAGGGAAGGGTTCACTGAACTATAACCATTACCTCCTTTAGTGGCAACACCAATAAGAACCTTCTCATGAGATTCCAAATAGTTTGCAGGTTTAACATGCCCTTTCTCAGCAACCTATAACACAATTGTTCTCAGCTAGTCATCATCAAAAACCTCAACACACAGGAAAAACAAAAAACAAAACTCATACCAAATGTTTCGCCTTTCTAGCCTGACCTTTAGCTTTTTTCTCAGCTTCCTCTTCAGCTAACTTCTGAGCTATAAGATTCTTATGTGCTGACAAAACCGGACCCTGTTGTAACACAAACACTTATCTCATCACACTTTTCCCTTAACTAAAATTTATTCCCTCAGTTTCAAACATGTACATGGAAGATAATTTGTTTCAAAACAATCAATTTTTTTTTCTCGGTTTAATTTTGATTTGGTTTTAATTTTCAAACCAAAAAAAAAATGTCCAGATATGCAACAAAACTACAAAATAACATTTTTAACTTTGGAAATTGTTACAATTAACCGACAAGAAAAGGGAATATATCTTTTGATTTAAAAAGAAGTGTTATAGATCTCTTGTTCTAACAGTTGTTCTACCCAAAGCTTTCTGGATCTCCCTCGTCTCCTCAGGCGTCGTAAAAGTTTGTCTCATACCCTCTCTTTCCCTGCGAAGGATCATCTTTGCTTCTGGTTGGTTTAATTGCAAACGCGTTCCGCAATTGATTTGGTATGGATTCGTCTAGAGATTTGATCAGCAATTTGCCAGATGAGATTCTTGGGAAAATCCTGTCTTTAGTTCCGACAAAAGTGGCTGCTTCCACATCTGTTCTGTCCAAGAGGTGGAGGAATCTGTTGTGTCTTATCGACATCCTTTGCTTTGATGAGTCGATGGTTGTTTATCCCAACCAAGAAGAAACAACAGGTGGTTCACATCGCTTCTTAGATTTTGTTGAAAATACTTTTACTCTGTTAAGAAAATCTCCCGTCATCAAGAAACTCTCTCTGAGTCGTGTACATAACTATGCTCGCTGTGGAGATTTACACCCTCGTGTCAACCGTTGTTTCACACGTTGGATTACGACTGCACTGGGACGTGGTTTATTGGAGCTGCACTTGCACGTCGCACGCTTTGCTGGTGTTGAGATAGAAACAAAGCTGTTAACGAGCAACACACTTGTTAAGCTCACAATATCTTGTGAACTCTTCATTGAAGTTGAGCGTGTGTTTTTCCCAGCGCTCAAGTCACTCTCTCTCTTATCAGTTTCAGGGCTTGATCATCCCAACTATTGCCGGCTTCTCAATGGCTGCCCTGTGCTGGAAGATCTATATATACGTGATGGTGACTATCCTGTGCCGCCAGGTTGCGGTATGGTCGTGCAAAGTGCTTCTATCAAGCGTCTTGTGGTTTATACTGGTATAACCATTCCTACTACCACAGATAGATATGGGTATTACGGTGTAGTTTGTTTTGAAGCACCAAGCCTTGTCTACCTTGACTATTCTAGTTATGTGGCCGAAAATTATGAGTTTATTGAGTTGGATATGCTTGTTGAAGTTAGACTGAGTCTCATGTTATGGGATTCCACGACTGATTATAATGATGATGATGGTGGTGATTATTTTGTTTATGAACCAAAGAAGGCGGCTATATTTGGTGACATTACTAATCTACTTCTTGGTATAAGAAACATTACGACCCTTCACCTGTCTCCTGATTCCCTTGAGGTCAGTTTCTTTTTCCTCTTCGTCTATTGCTTGCTTTCTTTTGGTTTCTGGAGGATTTAAATTAATCTGCTGCTAGGAACCAAGCAAACGAGGTCTCTCTACTTATGTATGTCTGTTTTTTTTTTGTGATCAGACCTTCCATTTCTGCTGTAAATCCATGCCTGTATTCAGTAAGCTCCTTAATTTATCTATCGAGAGTGACAAGGAGAAAGGTTGGCAAGTAATGCCACTTTTACTCAAGAGTTGTCCAAATCTAGAAACATTAGTCATCAAGGTATTGTTATCATTTTTTCTTTCACTTAGATTCTTTTCTTTTTTTTTTCTGTTATTGTTGCTGGTTGTTCATGTCAAACTGGTGTTTGGTTTAAGGGTCTTGTGCACAAAGTAACAAGTAGATGTGGAGATGCATGCATTTGTATCTCTAAGACGCAGAAGAATAAGAGACACATGAAAAAGAGGAAATTTGGGAAAGAGGATGAGATATTATGTTGTTTAGAGACATGTCATGTGAAGGTGTTAGAGATTTCAGGGTATGGAGGTTCTATTCAAGAGCTGAAACAGATGAGACATTTCTTGGGCAAGTTGAATTGTCTTGAAACTGTGAAAGTTGGTTCTAACTTAGACAACAACAAACGCGAAATCTTGTGGGCTAACCTGCTTGCTCTCTCCCGAGTTTCATCAAAGTGCAACCTCCATTTCGTATGATCTTTTTCTTTCTTTTATGATTTGATGTGTTACTGTGAATGTAACTTAACATGATTATTTGATTTATATCATAAAGTTTGTTCCTGAAGGTTCATACATATAAGTTAATTCTTCCTCATAGTTTTGCAAGTTTTTGCAAGGGATCCTGGTAGCTTCTTTTTCTTCGCTGACAAGATGGGCATCAAATTTGAGTTTTGAAAACAATGCGAAAGGTGATTTGCAAGCAAACATAGAGGCCTTATTGGACTGATGATTTGTAAGAATTTGGAAATTAACCAAAATTCAAGGTGTCTTATAAAAAAAAAAAAAAACTGGGATTTGAACAAATTTTTAGGAGCTAATTAGAGTGGAATTTGTTTTTTTTTTGATAACCCAGTATCCGACCACAAAGCGTGATCGACTAGCCCACCGGGCCTAAGCCCATGCCATGACAGGATTTTTAAGCGTCCACTTAAGGGCCCCTGGTTACGCTAAGTGGTCTGGAGCGCCACACCAACTCCGCATGTAAATTATGTGGTGGCCGGGGTTCGAAGTCGGGTGACGGGCACCTCAGCCGAGGTTCCTTTACCACTAGACTACGAAGCCCGGTTAGAGTGGAATTTGGAGATTTGAAGAAAATAAAAGGAAGATGTTTTACTACTACTTAACCAGAAAATATAAAAACGGTAAAATCTAAAATCATCAGGATTATAGTGTCATGTTAAGATACAAAACATCTGAGCTTGGGAATTTGTGCCTTGGCCTTTAGGTGCGTGTAGGTGTAGCAAGCAACTCTCCTCCATCAATCAACACATGTATCTTTCTCGATTACATATGCAAAGCCTGGGACTTAATACACTAATTAGAAACTGCACATTTGATTTACCTCCATTGATCACTCGTATTTTCCCGTAAGAAATACAAAGAGTTAATAAGAAATGACAATAGATAACAAACAAATATCTTAGTAAAATTTACCAAAAAGAATTCCTGTGTACCAAGCTTGATGATACATAATAGTACTCTAATATTGTAAAGGTGACTGCAGAATTTCTGTGTACCAAGCTTGATGATACATAACAGTACTCTAATATTGTAAAGGTGACTGCTTTTTGCAGAACTTTAATTAAGCGAGCAAAAGAAAACTCATCTAGATTGTGACAACAAAAAACTTCAAGTAAATTAAAGTACTCAAAAGACAGAACAATGTGTGTCTCACAATTGATGCCATAAGACAGAAAAAGTTTCAGTAATTCTACTTGCCATTGCAATTTTTTAATCACTGCACACACACAAAGTTCATAAGCATACGAAAATAAGAAATTTTTAAAAAAGTAAAGGATAAAAACTCATCAACTTAATTAAAAGTCTACTAAGACTTCCAGTAGAACATTGGAAAGCTGACCTGAAAATTCAGAGAATATATAGTCACCTTCGACAAAGCGGTTATAGAACTGCAAAAATAGACGTAAAAAAAGAAGTGCGAAGAGAACGACGATGAGAACGATATTTTATTTTCTTCTTTAGATATAACTTATCAGCGGTAGAGTTCAATAAAACGCCTCTAAGAAAAACATCACCAAGATTTATAGAAAAACGGCGCTAGGATTTCATCTCAGATCTGAAATATAGGAAGCAGCGGTGAGAACGGTGGTGATAACGACGGTGGTAAGACGGAGAGACAACCGGCGTTAAGAACGATGGATTAGAGAGATTCGACGGAAATCACCTTTGAGAGAAACGACATTAGGGTTTTTTGAATTTCGCGAAAAAGTAAGTAAGAAAAAAAAACATCTTATATATGTGTGGTAAAAATCCGGTTAGGTTTAAAAGTAAATTGCTAAAATCAAAGGTTCAATCCGGTTTGGACGATTTATTATTAAGTCGTCTATTGATACTATACATCAGACTAAGTCGTTTGCCCTAAACCTTAAACCCTAAACTAAATTGACTAAATTAACTAACTAACCACATTATGAAATCAAATTATACTTAAATAGTGTTTACTATAAACAAAAATAAACACACTTAGGTAAATTTTAAATTTTTCAAAAAAACATCTATACTTTTGAAAATCTAACCCTAAGAAACACATACAATACTACAACATATGTTGGCAAACCCTAAACCAAAGAATATCTTGACTCACTACTTTCACTCATCTATGTTAAAAACAACTAATTTTGTTATATCTTAATTTATATCTCTTAAAACATATGTTAATTACATGATTTCAATTTTTTACTTATCTAAATATTTTTACAAAAATTTTAAATTCTTTTTAAGAATAAGTATACTAGACGACTTTCAACTAAGTCGTCTTTATAGAATAGTTACGAGGGTTAAAAACGTTAAAAAAAATCGGGTTTTTTGTTTGTTCACAAGTGGCTGGTTGTAATTTCAATAGCTTTTATGTTACTTTTGCATTTGATTTATGTTTGGGTATACTTTTACATTTGAAACCACGTTTTGAATCATATTTGGCAAATTTCATTTTTTTTAGTTCGAGAATTCTTTTTTTTTTTGCAATCCAATTTAATATTTAAACTTACTATTTTACTAATTTTAGTATATATAAAATTATGTTCATTTAATATTTATATTGTGTTTATTTTAATTAAAATATTGAATTTTTATCAAAATCTAAAAGTATCTTAGAAATTATTTTATTTTAAATTTTGAGAAGAAAAACACTTAGATTATGGAGAAAATTTAAAATTCTAAAATTTAATTTTATAAAAAAATAAAATTATTTTCCATTTCAGAAAAAAACTAAATTTGCTTTTTAAAACTTTGATTACACAATTTAAGAATATCTACAGTTTAATTACTTTTATTTCTAAAACTTAAAACAAAACTAAAATTGTTAAGATTTTTGTGAGTTTTTGAATTTTTTTATTTCACTTGAACTTATTCACATTTTGATTAAAATAAACATAGTTTTAAAAAGTTGTGTATAGAGCAAAATAATTAGTTAATGTATTAAATTAGAAAAAATTACGTGTTAGAAAAAAATAACGAAATTTTGTATTAGTTTTGTGAAAAAAAATAATTAGTTGATGTAATTTTGTGGAGTTTCCTTTCATACCTTTGTAAAATAACTAAAGTTTCGGGTTAGTTTCGTATTTATTTTAAAAAGAAAGGGTTGACTGAATAAATACAATGTTTAATTATTAAGGAAAATTACCAAAATAACACTTTCAAGATACCACTTTTCAACTTTACACTAACCAACTTTACCATTAAAATTTTAATACTCAAACTACTATTAGAATTTAGGGTTTAGGGTTTTGGGTTTAGGATTGATAGTTTAGGGTTTAGTGTTGATTTTTTAGGGTTTAGGGTTTACTTTTTAGGGTTTAGAGTTTAGGGTTTAAGGTTTATAATTGATATTTTAGGGTTTAGGGTTGATTTTTAGGGTTTAGGTTTTACTTTTTAGGGTCTAGAGTTTAGAATTGATGTTTTAGGGTTTAGGGTTAATATTTTATTTAATATTTATTTTATATATATATATAAAGAACAAAGATATAAGAGTCTTTTATCCTTTAATAAAATGTGTATTTTTGAAAATGTTCATTTATTAATGGTAAACATGAAAAGTGGTACCACCAAAGTTGTATAATTGAAATTCTCCCAATTATTAACTACTCGTCTTATTTTGGGTCAAAGTCTACTTTTTCTTAAAAAGGAAGAAATTAATGTAGAGAGATTTACATAGACGTCGTATTGCGCTCTTCATAGTAGTTATTATCGTCGTGTTGCTCTTCATAACAGTGATCGTTCGCTATTCACCGACGAAGACAAAACACTCTGTTTTTATACGACTCTCTCTCTTCCCCTCAAGTAAGCGATCCCTTTGATCTCTCTGCAATATCTTATTGAATCTGAGATGGTTCCTTTGTTGACTCTTTACCGCGTTAACAGCTTTAATCTTACGAAACCGTTTTGTAGGTTTCGGATGGCTCATACATCAGATTCTGTAAATCCCAAAGGTATCATACTCTTCTCTTCTTGATTCATGATGATGTGTGTTAAAGAATGTTTTATTGTGAAACGAATGTTGTTGGTGCAGATGTTTGCATCGTGGGTGTTGCACGAACTCCAATGGGTGGCTTTCTTGGATCTCTTTCGTCTTTACCCGCCACAAAGCTTGGATCCGTAGCTATTGCAGGTATGATTGGTTTAAAGCAGATCATGTCTTTGTGTAGGCTTATGTTATTGACTTTGCTTTTGCTTTGACTCTTCTCAGGTGCTTTGAAGAGGGCAAATGTTGACCCGTCTCTCGTCCAAGAAGTTGTGTTTGGCAATGTTCTTAGTGCCAATTTGGGTCAGGCTCCTGCTCGTCAAGCTGCTTTAGGTGCTGGAATCTCGAACTCTGTTATATGTACCACTGTTAACAAGGTTTGTGCTTCAGGCATGAAAGGTAAAGACTTGCTCTGTTTTTTTTTTTTTTTTTTTTTTTGTATTTTAAATCTTTTAGACAATACATTCTCTCGGTGGTTTCAGCTGTAATGATTGCTGCTCAGAGTATCCAGTTGGGGATCAATGATGTAGTCGTGGCGGGTGGCATGGAAAGCATGTCTAATACACCTAAATATCTTGCAGAAGCAAGGTAATAATGATTTGGTTTTTACACTCTTTATCATAGTTTCTTATTCAAATTTTTTTTATGTAGAAAAGGATCTCGGTTTGGTCATGATTCGCTAGTAGATGGAATGCTTAAGGATGGACTATGGGATGTCTATAACGACTGTGGGATGGGAAGCTGTGCAGAACTATGCGCTGAGAAATTTGATATAACAAGGGAGCAGCAAGTATGTTGTTCTTTCATTTTTCTTGAATTAACAATCATGATGGTTATTCAAAATTTGTCTCTCGTTAACTTATTATTGGTAGATACTGCATGGATCTTCTATAACATTTGGTTTGTATTTAGTTCTTGATTATAAACGTTGGTAGTTTACCACTCTCTATGCAAAACTGTGAAATAACTAGGTGATTGATTGATTACTGTTGTACTGATGAATATGTAGGATGACTACGCTGTTCAGAGTTTTGAACGTGGTATTGCTGCCCAGGAAGCTGGCGCTTTCACATGGGAAATCATCCCGGTTAGTATACGTTTGTATGGTATTTTGGTTAATGCCATATACATACTGCAATGATAAATTGGTCATACAGGTTGAAGTTTCTGGAGGAAGGGGTAGGCCATCAACCATTGTTGACAAGGACGAAGGTCTTGGGAAGGTGATTTACGTTCCATTTTGGCTATATATATAGCTTATGCAGTAATGCCCAGACATATGTTCCCTTCTTGTTACTCACTCGTTGCATAACATTTTAGGCATTGGTATCTTTTATGTATAAGTCATTACGTGTCACAAAATAAACTGATGGTTTGATTACTCCAAAAAGATGTCTAAACTAGTGTATGGTGCCTTAATATCTCAGTTTGATGCTGCAAAATTGAGGAAACTCCGTCCAAGTTTCAAGGAGAATGGAGGCACTGTTACAGCTGGAAATGCATCTAGCATAAGGTCCTTTTCATAGATGACATGGCCTTTTATTTTTTAAGAACCCATATATCCTTTTACATGGATCTTGTTTAGACTTGACCACTTGTTTTTTGCTTAAGTAAAGTTTGTCTCCCTTTGACAGCGATGGTGCAGCTGCACTTGTCCTAGTGAGTGGAGAGAAGGCACTTCAGCTAGGACTTCGTGTACTCGCAAAAGTTAAAGGTTATGGTGATGCAGCTCAGGTACATTACTTATATAACTTGTCCTTCCCTTCTTAGATACAACATTTTAGATGTCTCATTCCACTCACTAAGTGAAATCCAAACCCTGCAGGAACCAGAGTTTTTCACTACTGCTCCTGCTCTTGCAATACCAAAAGCTATTGCACATGCTGGTTTGGAGTCTTCTCAAGTCGATTACTATGAGATCAATGAAGCATTTGCAGTAAGAAAAAAACATCTTCTTCCCCTAGACATAGACTTATATTTGCAAAGGCTAATTTTGACTGAGCTGATTTTTGCAGGTTGTGGCACTCGCAAATCAAAAGCTACTTGGGATTAGCCCGGTCAGATTTTTTTTCATCACTGAGTCTCTTATCTTCTCATTCAGCTTTCTGTGGTTTCCTAAACATTGGGTATTGTTCTGTTTTTTTCTTTCCCTTTAACAGGAGAAGGTGAATGTTAATGGAGGAGCTGTGTCTTTAGGACATCCTCTAGGCTGCAGTGGGGCTCGTATTCTAATCACATTACTTGGGATACTAAAGAAAAGAAACGGCAAGCACGGTGTGGGAGGAGTGTGCAACGGAGGAGGAGGTGCCTCTGCTCTTGTTCTTGAACTTGTTTGATGCAATTCATGTTTGCTATTAGTCGACCTCTCAATAAAAGGAGAGTGATCTTTGATGTTGTTAAGTTATATATGAACTCAGTTTTTTTTGTTTAGTATTAGGTGACTTCATTATAATTTATGAACCGATTTATCGGACATAGTGATATTATATCCACTCTCTACCACATAGTTGATGCTCTGTCCATAGAATTTATCAAAACGTCAGAACGATTATTTGATGTATATGTATCAAAGGAAAAAGAGTTAAGACAATTCTGTAAAGGTACAAGTCTCTGCACATTTGAGCTGGATGGAAAGAAAGAAGATGAAGTGCTTATAAGGAAAAACAGTGAAGCTTTTCTCTATACAAAGTTTTTACACAAAACTCATGATGAGATATCTCTTCCAAAAAGTGCGCTGATTCCTTGCCCCGGATCACTTTGTTTAACAAGAGATTCACCAACTAGAACCTAACAACAGAAAAGGTAAACCACAATAAGGTAGCTGATCAGATAAACAGTTAGCATATGTAGTAATAAGCATTAAGTTTGTGAAAGCTTTACTGCTTTAACACCGGCTTCTTGTACGAATGCAATGTCTTCTGGAGTGAATAACCCTGATTCTCCAACCACCTATCATGTAAAAGACAAGTTGAGGTAGGTGTGTGCAAGACTGCAACTGCAATGCATTTAAGTGAAACCAGGGGTTGTGAAATACTGCTTACAAGGATGTCTTTTTGACGGATCAGTTCACCACGCTCTCCTTCCAGGAGCCTCTTTGTGATACCAATATCAACCTCAAATGTTTCTGAAAGAAGAGTGGTAAAACAGATCAAGAAGGATTGTATCTCTAGTTTTTAAAGAATGTCTCAGTTCACGATTTTACCTAGGTTACGGTTGTTGATACCAATGAGCTCAACTCCTTCAATTGCAAGAACACGATCCATCTCCCTTTCGTCATGAACCTAGTGTGGCATGTGGTAACCAAGTGAATCAGAGAAACATTAACTGGATAAGAAAGAGGCAGAAGCATACAAACCTCCACAAGTGTAGCCATTCCAAGTATTTTGCAAATCTTAATCATGTATTTGATGTCAAGGTCAGGTAACACGGAAGCAATCAAGAGAACTGCGTCTGCGCCTTTGCTTCTACCATAGTATATCTGCCATGCCTCTATGATGAACTCTTTGCAAAGCAAAGGGCACTGCATTTTATAACCGACAAGACATCAGAACTTTGCATCTCACAGTTATAATAACAACGTATCTGAACAGGTACAGAGAAAGCCAGAACCTCTACACCAGCATTCCTTATAGCTTCCAGGTTCTCAAAGCTTCCCTATTATCACATGGAAACAGAAACATGTCAAAGAATGCGAAGCTGCTACACACTTGAAGGTCTTCTTCAGGGTATCAAATTACCTTGAAGTATTTCTCATCTGTCAAAACACTAAGACATGCTGCTCCACCCTTCTCATAAGCTTGAGCGATTGCAACCTACGATGTCAAGCCCTTAGAAGCAATTCTTTCAAACCAAAAATGGGAGAAAAGGGGACAAATTCTTACAGGGTCAAAATCCTCTCTCAGGATACCTCTGCTTGGAGAAGCTTTCTTCACCTCAGCAATTAAACCAGGAAGACCTGTTCTTTGATGAGCAGATCTAAGAGCACCAATGAAGTCTCTAGGAGGAGAAACATTTTCAAGAGCCTTCTTCAGAGTATAGAGAGGTCTCTTCTCCTTCATCTGTAAAATGTCATCTCCACCTTTCTGAATCAAACCACAACTCAAAGAAGAAGAAAGATAGAAAGAAAGAAAGAATGATAACCTGAGTAACTTCTTTATCCTTGTGCCATACGATCTCCTCCAAGATGTTGCGAGGAGTGTTACCTTCGTTCTGTAACCGAAACTCAAAAGGACCAACGTAATGTAATGGAGGACCAGTAAGTGGTCTTCTCCTTATCCTTATACCTTGACTAGCAACTACTTCGTCTTGGTACATACCAACTTCTTGCTCGCTTACTTTACCTTCCAATGCCGAAGAAACACTTTCAGAACCTCCCGTGATTCCAGACTAACACAGAAACAAAAAAAAAATAAAAATAAAAAGCTGCTAACTTTGTCAACATAATTACATAGTCTTCAGTGTTCAAACAAGCAACAAAACGCTTCCATGAGAGACAAGAAGATCATGATGGAAGAGAAAGGAACCTGTTGGGCACGAAGAGGAGCACAAGAGGAGGAGGAGGATGTGGAGAGTCTACTATGGAGGTAAACGGTAGAGAGACGGCGTTGAATGACGGATGAGGGGAAGGGCTGAAAGGAAAGAAGTCCTTCCATCTTTTCTGAGTTTGACTATCGCCGGTGAATGTCTGGTTGCTTTGTAAAGTGGAGAGCGGAGGAGATAGTTTTGTGCGGCGGATAATCACTTTGCAAAAAGACAATGAATGGGTCCCATTTGAAGCTGAGTCAGCGACGGATATTTCTCATCGTGGGTAATATAGTAATAAGTCCCATTACTTATTTCTTGCATTACATAAAGATATTTTGTTGTTAGAAACGACTTTGGGTTTGATTGGTAGAGCATTAGCATAAGCATTGTGATTTTAATTGTCCGATTAACATTTGTTAAAGAAGCATTTGGAAAAGCATTTACCAAATGCTAATGTTCTTCAAGTGTTATTTGCTCAATACTTTTCAATAAAGCTTTTGGTAGAGCATTTGCATTTACAATATATGAAAATTTGTAAAATAATTATACATAATTAATTTTTTGTAGTTTAATAATATAAAAATATTTTTATAATCAAAAATAGTTTTGTATTTTAAAAATTAAAATAAAATTATAATTAAATATTTTAAATTATTTAAAAGAACAATATTTCACATTTAAAATATAATATAATTTATATAATTACACATATCATTCATTATTTTTAATAACAAGCATAACATAATATATATTTCTATATTATAAATATAAACATATATATATATATATATATTAATTATACATTAATAAATAAATTATATGACATATGTTAATTTTTAGGATAATTTTATATATGAATCATTCACTGCTCTATCAATAAATAATAATAATAATTTATATATAAATTATATATAATTTATTTATTTAGTAAAATTAAATATTTTTATCTCCAAAAATAATTTAATATTTTTTAAAAAACTACATTTTTAGATAATTATATTTTACATATAAACTATAATATAATTTATATAATGAATAAGATTCATTATTTTTAATAACAAATATATTATAAATATATAAATACATTTTAATATAAATATTTATTTATATTAACTATTATAATAATTTTTAAAATTGTATACTGCTACTACTCTACCAATCACTTTACTAAAATTTTTACTGAAATCATACAGCTTTTATAGCATACAGCTTCTACAGCATAATGCTAATACTTTATCATCTGATGTACCAATCGAGGCCAACCAACTTTTTTTTTTTTTGATCAAAAGAGGAACCAACTTTGTTCATTTTTTATTTTATTACTAGAGTTTCGGGAGTTTAGATCTAATACTTTTCCACAAATTTGAAACTAATTTTCAGAAATCCTTTTTTCTTTTAAATAACACTTCATAGTAGTTCTAAGTTCTAACCGAAGCATAATAAATAACATCTAATACTGCTACCAACCAGCTGACAAAAAGAAATACTGCTACTAACCATCAATATATATATTTTTGTAACAGTACTAATAATCAATATTGCTTTGATAGTTTGTTCATGTTTCATGAGTGTGGTAAAGGTTTAGGCTTATCTTAACGATTGTATGATCATTTACTTTATTTGTAAGATGTTTATATCAACAAGAAATATATATATATATATATATATATATATATATGGATAAAGATGGTGGGGTGAGTACATGGAAGTTAATATTTATGTCTGGTAAAGAGAGGCGTTTTTCTTTATCAAGCAGAAGCATAACATTGTACTTTGTTATCACATCTATAGCCTTAGAACATGTAGAATCATAATAATGATAAACCCTTTGAGCCAAAGTCACCAAAGGAGTTGTGTGCACTAATGTTGTCGGGAACAATGATCTCTTAGAGAGGGAGGGAAGAAGGGAGCGAATACAAACACATGAGCGACACATTCGGTACTGATACCCAAAAAGGCATGGCAGCAAGAATGTCCAATACTCCCGATTTGTCCACTTATTATCGATCGGAATATCTCTGGGATGCAGTCGGGGATAACTTCTAGCGATGACAAACAATCTGATGGGTCCTCTGCAGGTGTAGGTTGCGAAGGAACCGTTTGAGCTGTACTGAACACGGTCATGCATACTACAACTGGAAGAAGGAATAAAAACAGCTTGTTCATCCACATTTTGATTATCAAATGAGTTATCGAGAAGTTGTGTGTATCTGATATGAATATTATAGTAGTTAGTGGTTAGATTTATATAGGATGGAATTGAAAATGTGAAGTTTCATTGCATTGCATATTTTGTGAACGTTTTTTTTGTGAATTAACGTAGGCACTCTTGGAATGACCCGAAATAAATGTGACAGTTTGTTTATTTTTGTAAGTGGTTCCTACTAATTATTTATTTCATTTCTTGATAATTCATTACTACCTTGTCTTTTTTTCTATCAAGTTCACAACGCTCTTGCAAAATTGAATTTCTCTTCTAATTATTTGTTTTATTTAAATTGACGCTTTACTTGTCTTACTTAAATTGATTTAGTAATCCAATCACGGTACTTTGACAATTTTCTCAAGGAACTAGGTGAACACCTCACGACAAATATGTTCCAAGACTTTCAAATACCATACGTTGTTTTTCTTAATCAAGAAAAACTTAATTAGTGTTTATTTTCTTTTATTGATAGCCATAATTGTAAATAAAAGTTTAAATAGAGGTTTTATTTCCAAATTTATGGTACTCACAGATTAGATTAAAATAAATTTCCCTCAAAAGCAACCTAGTTTAAACTAAGCAGTGGTACATCAGCATACAAGATAGTGTTTTGATGAAATGAGAACATTGTGGAAGGATGTCATTATCAAACTTAAGGCAAACTAATCAGTGGCGGATATAGACATGTTTTTAGTTAGAAGCACACTACTAAAAATAACAAAAACAATCTTGAGTTGAGGGCACTTTTTATGCTTATTTATTAAACTACAAGCAATTTATCAAATTAATCTAGCTTATTCAAGAAGATTTAAAAAACAGTAAGGGGTACATGACCCTGTACCCGTATATATACATCCGCCCCTGAAACTAAAAAATAGCAGAGTATTTGTAACGCCCCGACCGCCCACGGCTAATGGTCATTCACGTCCGCTCTCTCGGCCCGTGGGTTTCATCCCATTCCAACGGTCGGTCCGTTAATTGTCCAAGGCTCTAGAGTCATGTTTATTGACCTGCAATCACCACATGACCTTTCCCCGTGCTTTGGCCTCACTTACACGGTATCGCAAATCACTTCCCGATAGATCACCTATCTTTTGACTACTCTAGCTTAAGCATGCTTAATTCTGAAGTTCTTTCTGGATGTGTTCCCGAAAAAGTAAGTGCACTTTAATGATATATGTAGACAAATCAATTATCTTAAATCTTTCTATATAACAAACCGGGATGTTACAGTATTGATTTTTCTAAATTTTGTTGTGAACACCCGGATCGATCACGAGCATATGATTTTGAAGCATTTGCCTATATCCCTCAAAATATTAGGAATATATAAATACTCAAACTTGTAAAAGAAAAATTATATAAATTCTTACTAAATTGTCTATAAACCTAAAATATCTCAGGACTAGGGCTGTGCCTGAATACAAGCCCATCAAACATGTGCTTTGGGGTCAACAGTATTAAATAAATTTTAGGGGCCAATTTGTCGAAAGATTAGTTGGTTTAGATGGTTGTGTGGTGGTTCTTTTATCAATTTGGTGGCGGGTTCGATGCATACTTACTACCATTTTGCAAAAAAAATATTATATTAAAGGGCAAATTTTTTTTTTCTGGCCCCCAAAAAGTCAGGCATGGTCCTGCTCAGAACCAACCTTTTGTGAACATATAACACTATCTAAATCGTATTTTGTACTGTTTATGATGAGTTTTTACAGTTTAAACATTGTTTCATATCATTTACCCCACATTTAATAATGCAATTGATATTCAGTAGTCTTAATCTTGCTTATACTGTTCGATCTATTTGATCTACACCTGCTAGATTCCAGTGTCAATATTCGACCCTTGGAAATTCGTATACCAAGTGACAGGTCACTCTAAAGTTAGAATTAAAGAAACAGTAATCACATGATGTAATGAATTAGACTAGTAACCCCCTCAAAAAAGTTTGTAAGAGAGGTAGTTGCTCGTGGAAATACAAATAAAAGTGTGAAACAAGAAAACGTGGCTCGAATGTAGCCTGGATTATTGACCAGATGCTAGCTAATGTTGTCCACATTCATCTCCTGACTCTTTCCTCTTTTCTTCTTCTTTTTTTTTCTCTTACCTTCAGCTTTTGATCTCTTCTTTGTTTTGGTAAACATAGAAGTGGCATGTGACCCTGGCCTAAGTGGAGCCACGAAGATAGGCACGACACGTGAGCTACCGTCTGGATATCATATCGTCTTTCCCTCTAATTACTCAATGTTCATCTCTTTAAAGAGTTTGTGAAGAGATCATGTATGGGGTAGACTTTATTATTATTGGAAAAATGGTTTTGCTTTTATTTTTTCCCAAATAATTGTTGTCATACTCATATCTTCGTTGGTTCTTATCCGGAACTATAAGACTACACATGAATAATCAATTAACAAGGAAAAATAAAAAAAAATATTATTATTATCATATTTATTATTATATTTTATTTTTGATATGTTTTATTGACTGATTTGGCTGGCCAGGGAAAAACATACTGTTTACCATATTGCATAATCTGAATTTAGAATGATATTCGACTAATATTAAAGATAGCTAGATCCCATGCTATTTGTCAGAAGTATATATTAAAAAACAGGTCCCTACATTTTATTGAAAATTTCTTAGCTAATAAAGTCACAAAGGAACAACCAATAAAAATGCACTGTTGTATTGCACTTGCGTAATCAGTTTTTTCTCATCCTTTCAAAACAATTATAGAAATTGTCACAATCTTTAAAATTAAATATAGTATTATAAATGGTAACGCATCTTCATACTTGGAACGTGTCTTAAGAATCCTGATTTACTCAGATTTTTTTCTTTCTAAACTTGTGGTAATGTGATTATAACACCACGTCTTGCCTATATATCACACACGCAACACCAACATCAAAACGTCACACAACAATTCTCTTATCAAACCCACAAAAAAAAAATCTAATCTTTGCGAACAATGAGTCCTGTGGCTGAGAACAAATGGGTTAAGGTAAAAGAATCTCATCTTTTCTATAATCAATTATCTTCTTCTTCTTCAATCCTCACAAAGTTTAAATCTTTTGGTTAAATGATAACCAGGTGGGTCAGAAAGGAGCAGGTCCAGGACCAAGAAGCTCACACGCAATCACCGTCGTGGGCAACAAAGTCTACTGCTTTGGCGGCGAGCTTAAACCAACCATCCACATCGACAACCATCTCTACGTCTTCGATCTTTCAACTCAAGAATGGTCCATCGCCCCCGCAACAGGGGAAGCTCCTTTCCCCTGTTTCGGTGTCTCCATGGTCCCCATCGGCACCACCATCTACGTCTTCGGCGGCCGTGACGACTCTCGTAAATACAACGGCTTGCATGCTTACGACACGGTGACCAACAAGTGGGAGTTGCTGTCTCCCGTCGACGAAGGGCTTCCCGGTCGGAGTTACCACTCTATGGCCGGCGATGACCGGAAAGTTTACGTCTTTGGCGGTGTTACGGCCAAAGGGAGGGTTAATACTCTGCATGGGTATGATGTTGTTGATCGGAAGTGGGTTGAGTATCCGGCGGCTGGGGAGGGTTGTAAAGGGAGGGGAGCTCCTGGGCTTGTGGTTGTGGAAGGGAAAGTTTGGGTTTTGTTTGGTTTTGATGGTAATGAATTGGGTGATATTCATTGTTTTGATTTGGTTAGTGGACGGTGGAGGATCGCCGTGGAGACTACCGGGGATGTGCCGCCGGCGAGGAGTGTGTTTCCGGCGGTTTCTTGCGGGAAGTATGTTGTGATATATGGTGGGGAGGAGGAGCCGCATGAGCTGATGCATATGGGAGCTGGGAAGTTGTCTGGGGATGTTTATAGGTTTGATACGGAGACGTTGGTGTGGGAGAAGGTTGTGGATGGGGAGGGAGGTGGTGAGAAGCCGAGTCCACGTGGGTGGTGTGCGTTTGCTGTTGCGGTGGTGAATGGGGAGAGAGGTTTGTTGGTTCACGGTGGGAATAGTCCGACCAATGAGAGGCTTGATGATATGGTGTTTTGGGGTTTTTAGTTTGTCTTAATGTCAGTTATTATTCAGTTACTTTGTGGCTTTTGTCGTATGTAAACTGCTTAGTGTGTGTTGTTTTAAGGTGTTGTGTAAGCTGCTAAAGTGTCTGAGGTCAAGGAGGTGTGTAGTTAAGTAAGAATCTGTGCTACATATTTGGTGTTTTAAGTAATTTCATAATAAAAATCTTGTTCTCAAATGACTTGGCGATAATAGCAATGCTTAGCTCACACACGGGTTTTTACACCTACGAACTGACGATGAAACACTTGTCTAGAAACTAGTTTTAACGTTGGTCACATATATGGATCACGGACGTATCCGACATCCATTAGACTTATACAGATGGCCTTGAAAAGAACAATGGCTACATATGTCTACTGAAAACACATGGCGAATTAGCTAACTATGAATACGTGTGACTCGTTCACGGATGGCCACAAAGTTTTTCAGTGGCCTATATTATCTTGTGGAGATGCTTTTAGAATTGTTGTTTCGGAATATATATGGTTATCCCGATTCGATATGTTTGTTTAGAACAACACAATCTTTTATTTATTTGGGCAAAATAACAACACTATCTTAACCACTTAAAGAATCCATGTCGTTGTCTTTTTTATCACTATTGACGGGCCCTTGAGTGAAGGGAAAAGATGATTGCGGTGTCCAGATGAGGCTCATGGGCTTTTTATATTGAGTGACCAGCAAATACATTGAAGTAGTTAGTGTTCAACTACATGTGATTTTAGTCACAGCTTAATTTAAAATTGTTGTAAAATTTTCATACTAATAACTTTAGCATTTAGCTATACTAAATTACATATGTGGTGTCTCAAGGGTAAAGAAGAAGTAGATGAAGTTTAAAACCACAGAACAATTTTTCTAAATATATATGATGCAAATTTTTATAAAAATACGCCAATTCGATTTTCTTAATCTTTGATATCCAATTTTTTTTGCTACTCATTAAATACGTCAATTAATTATTTTTAATTTTAATACTCAAACTATATTTATTATAATAAAAATACTGATGAGTTTTAACAAAATTAAAAAAACTCTCAAATTAAATGATTTTTTAAAAAAGTTTTAGGCATAAAAGAAATTAAATCATGGATAAAATTAAACTTTTAAATATTATTTTTATTTTTAGTTTTCAATATCAAATTTAAATTATTTTCTGAAACCTACTACTAACTTATTTATTTTGTATTCACAATTAACTTTTCTAAATTTTAAAACTTCAACCACATTTTTTTCTATTTTTTATTCTTAAATTTTAAAATTAAATTAAATTTTAAGATTATTTGACTTTGCGAGATTTTTAAATTGTATTTGAAATTTATCAATGTTTTAAATAAAATAAACATAGTTTAAATATTAAAGTGAGCACGGTTTTAAAAGTTAGTATATTAAATGAATGAAATAATTAGTTGAGGTAATAAAATGGTTAGGAGGAGAGTTAGGCCCTAGTGAGAGTGATTATTTGTTTGTTTGTTTGTTTGTTTATTGGGATGTTTATGTTCACTTTTTTTTTTTGATAAAGAACTTTGTTTACTTAATCATGTTCACCCTTTTTCTTCGTTGGTTTCTTCATCATTTGTACAGACTTTGAGCTTTTATTTCTTTAGCCACCCTTAAACTTCTGTACTCTTTTGATCAAATCCTTCTTAATTGATATTGTATTCGTTTAAAATATGTACATTAGTTGTATATTAACTTATCAAATATTTTTTTACAAAAGAAAAAACTTATCAAATACTTGACGAAGAAGTGTCATCTGTCTTTTCTTCGCGTTTTTTCTTTACTTATTTTAACGTTAGGGTTGACCTAATCCTTGCCTTGTGTTCTGCGCTTACCCTCGATCTAAGTAACTTATTATATTTACAATAGATATATCAGAAAGTCTAGCTAGTTGATTCAGAACTCTAATTTGACATTGGATACCAGTTCCTAAAACTGACATACTATCTCCATATAGCTCTTTTTATTTTGTCAACTACTACTTTTTTCTTTTCTCAAGTATTGTTTTTTTCCTAGTGAATTTGTTTATATGAGATCTTAGTTTCTATTTATATCTATAACGTGTTGTTGATAATATAGATGTGATAGTGAAAATTTAATAAATACTGTCTTAGGATTTTAATACAGTAATCATTATGAAATGTGAAATCTTGTTTGAGTATTTCAATCTTTTACCAGATTCATGACAAAGTCCTAGCGGCTTCTATGCATATTCATTGGCGGGGTTTCTCGGATGAGGCTAGCATATGAGGTCAGTCATCGAGGGATTTGAGTTTTTTTTCATGAGTTTGATATACAACATTAAAAATGAGATTTATCTTTTAGTATAGAAACAATTTTGTTTTGATGAATTTGTTGGGAGATCAGCCAGAGCACGAGCGCAACCGAGAGAGACACCATTGTTATTTTCATAAAGCAATATAATAAAATGTTGACTTGTTCCCTTTTCCAGGAAATTATATTAGTAAATCTGAGTCAATACGATAATTATACAAGGTTGACCAGTTAGATGATGCACATGTCACACTTTTTACAAAGTACAAACGCTTGTCGTTGAAAGAGTATAAGTAATTATTAAAAAGAAACTAAATGAAAGAACATCATATTTCTCAATTATTTGATATGTTGATATTTCATGATTATGTTCCTGTTATTTCATATGTTTTCAACATTTCCATAATTAGGAAACAAAAGTTTGTAATAAGAAAATCATTATAATAGATAATCAACAGACTAAATGATCCATAATTTTGTACAGAGAATACATTTTGATTATGGGTAAGTAAGTTATACGTAAATATACACACACAGTAATGGTGTATATCATATATGGTGGCTAGGACATCTGAATAATACTGGAACGAATTTTGGATTTGCTATTTTTAACGAAATCCCAAGGCCAAAAAGACATGCTATATGTTTGATAGATGCTTCTTGATATTTTTCATTTAAAACTTTCGTTCATTTTTCTTTTTTTTCATGGCATTCTATTTTGTTTTCTGTTTGGGTGGCAGTAGTTTTTGGATGATAGTGTACGGCTATTCTTCGTTGAAAAGGAAACATATATCGCATCGAACCAAAGTTCTAGCTATTTAACTAATGGATCATTTCTAGTGACATAATCAAATCCAATAATTTTCCTGAATAAGAGATAAGAAAAATGACAACTGCATGCCCCTTTAATATGATTACCAAAACATAAGTTAATTTCGAAAAGTGTTGTTAATTACAGAGGCGGAGGCAGTAAAGAAGGAGTGGAGTCAGCTAATCCCACTATTTTTTAAAATATATTTGTTTTTGTTTTTAAAAATCTGTATTGGCCTTATTAAAAAAAAAAATTAACCCGAGAAAAATATGATCCTATTATAATAGTTAAAACATTAAAATTAAAGATAACATTTAATTATATAAATAATGTATTTATACTTGTTATTTGTTAAACATTAGATTATATTTATTTTAAAATAAAATTTAGTTTTTATCTTAAATGTTAGTTACATCCACAAAAATTAATATTTCTATTTGAATAATATATGAATATTTTTTTTTAAAAAAAATTGTACTTATTATTCAACTAATACAAGACCACGAGAATTCTCATGCTCGACAAATAATTTAAGGATAAATTTTAGATTAGCTTTCTATTTTATTTTGTTATATTCTCTTCTTGCATATATTATTTTATCAAACCAGAAACGCTTATGGTTTCCAATAAAAATGTTCAGAATTTTTGTTCATGATCTAAAAGTTTTTAACAATTAATTTTATTTTGGAAGTGGTCTACTTTCAAAATTTATCAGACAACTAATGATTCTAAATCTGCAAATAAAAATCTATCTAAAGTATGATAACTTCTAAGACATGTATGAAGATGGTCAAAACAATATTACGAAATCACATGGATTGATCAGTTTCTATACTTACTTTATTTATTATCTAGGAAAATATTCGAAAATATAGTGAATAAAACTATGATAAACACTATTATAAATAAGTTTCAAACAATAAGTAATCATAGAGTTTTTTATGGTTTACAAATTATGCTTTGAAAAAAAATTCTGACTTGTATACAAAAAAATTCTGGCTCCACCACAGGTTAACTACATATACGTAACATGCATATATACCCTGTGTAAGATAAACAGATAATACTACAACGGTCCTGAAACAAGAAAGACGAGAATGTGAAGAAGACATATGGAAGAACTCAAAAATAGAAAATACAAGTATAAAAACAACAAGAAGAACGAACAACAATGTCTCTTTTACCTCGAGAAGATAACCGGTAACAAATATATACACTAAGACACGCATTTGGATATGTATATGTACATTTGTAAACTTAAAAATAAAATAAAAGAGGGCAGGAAAATGAGGAAGATATGTATATGCAAGTCTTGGTGTATATATACAGTTTTTTATTTTTTTGGACAATAAACAGTTTTTTATTTTTTTGGGACAATAAACAGTTTTTTATTTGACCAAAAAAATAAAAAAATAAACAGTTTTTTAAAAAATGCATAAATAGGAGAATATGTATATTTTAAAAAGAAATTGGAAGAGCATCGGATTTGCAGTCCTCTCTCGTGGACTCTTGTCCTTGGACCCTCCTCATTTCACCTCGATTCCCATTCACAAGTCACAAATCTTATTTCTCAATATAGATGTTCACATGCATACATTAGGTATATATCAACAAATATCCGTTAATTACACTCTCAATATTCTATAATTTTTTTTTGACAATTTCCTTATTCAACATCAATATCAAGTATACATTAATGTTTAACAAGAAAAGGAAGTATAGTGTTAATCAGAAGCTAGGATAAATGCACGTGAACACTTTGCAGTGAGATATAATCTCTAAAATAAACTAACGCCATGGTTTGATATCGTAGGCATTATTGTTATAGGGGTGAGATATTCAGCTAGCTAGTAGTTGATCACGTACGTAGTTCAATGCAATTTTCACGCAAGGGAAATAATTAAAAGTTAAAAAGAATTTGGGATAATGTCAAAAGAAAAACTCTGGCTTGAATGGCAATATATATAGTTTTTTTCATGAATTATTAGTTTTTGGAATTTTGTTTTTGGTTTTTAGTTTTTAATTATTTGGGGAGGTTGCTGTAGGTTTTAGTTTCCTTTTTTTCTTTTTGTCAAAAGGATTTTAGTTTCCTACTGAAAACAAGTCTGAATGGCAATTTGTCTATCTTTTTGTTATGTATAGATTAGAAAGAAAAGAAAAAAATCTAAGACTATTTTCGATGAATTCTCAGTATATGTATACCTTTAAAAAAAACTAATAGCTAAATTTTTATCAATAGATATAAGCCACATAACAATAACATGCACCTGGTCTGTTTAATCTATAAATACTAATATTTGTATACAAAACACCAAAATACTTGAAAATGCATATTTATCAATTTTCTCTTCACCAGTGTAGATGCATAGATCTAGATGTTGTTGTTGTAATTTTTTTTCTTACGCAAGAAAACAAATATTCTCCGGGTAAAAATACTTTCATTTTTTGTGAGTACAATTGGTTGGTTAGAAATAGTCAGCGAGAGGTTTGACTAACATTACAGTTCAGAAAGCAAATAAGTCAAACGAAATATCTATTTTTAAGCGTGGATTAAACAAAGAACATACTCGTCATTCCAAATCATATAACTTTCTACGTTACCCAATAGCTAGCAATATCTATTATCAGAAGTAGTTTTTTTCCGCATATAGTAACGTTTGGCAATACTTTATTCATAATAATATACTTCAAAATTACACAGTACACCATAAGATTAGTTACCAGTTCGTCTTGATTAGGTTTGAAGTTTCAGGCCTCCCTCTATCTCCCTTTCAAAAGACAAACACTGATCCCTAATATGTATATATTAGAGACTTTAGAGTCACTAATAAAATAATATATATACACATATAAATAAGTCTTGCATATTTCCAAATGATTTCTCGATTCATTTGTTTACTTTAGAGCGATCAATATCTAAATGTAGTTGGGGCAACATATTTGTCTCGTCTCCATAATAAAGAATTTCAAAAATCATTTGAAACTATTTTTGTGTTAGCAATACAATACTTTGAACATATATTAGTATTACTATCCAATTATGCTCGATCATTTATTGGATAAACAAATGCAGCTTTGTATCGGTTGTTAGGTAGTTCCATTGGCCATGCTAGGATAGAAAGATATGCAAGATTAGCGAAGCAAAGAAACAAATAGTTATATGTTATCTAAGACCAACATTATTGCTGGGACATAATTTTGAATTCTTAGCTTTTCTTATTATTATTTTTAGAGTAAGAGACATTGTTAAGAAACAATAGCAAATATGCACATTATTGGTGGAACTTTATATCATCTCTTAGTAATTAACATCTTAATTTTAAGACATAGTCATTTCAAAGATAATAAACATTACAAAGTTGCATCCTTGAAGCCAAAACAACAACAACAACAAAGTTCCAGCAAACAACAACCATCACCACATAGTAATACACACATACAAACAACCACCAAACTAGCCTCTCTTGCTGCTAGAACATTTCTTTAGTATTTGGCGGCACTCTTCGCTTTCAGGACAAACACACAACAGAGGAGCAGTTTTGCCATCTCCAACGACATTGAAGACCACTAAGCAACCAATGTCGTATCTGTTATCACAACAGAACTTCGTCCACCCTCCTCTGATGTAATACATGCTCTTTGATTCGCAAAATAACAAATTCGCAACCCATGAGTTTCCCTCCTTGTTCACTAGTATCACCTCCTGGCATTGTTTGTTCAACACACTACATTGCTGCGTAGCTGCCGCAGGAAACAGCTGCAAACACATAAGAAATGAAAGTTAGTCTTGGTTAAGTTTTGAATTAAACACACATAGACCAATAACTACTTACAAGTATGTCTTCTTCTAGGTGCTTATCCGTGACCTCAACCAAGAAACAATACTCAAATGAGATAAAATCAGCCCTTGCTCCTGATCCTCCTGATCCATAAGACAAAAAATTTAGGAATCAAAAGAGGACAGTGAGTTTTAATTGGAACTTACTAATCTCACCTGCAGCAGCAGCATGTGAGGAAGCTTCGGCCTTGATCAAGGGAGGACGAGTATAGATAATCTCACAGCAGCTAGGACCCATCGGAGTTACATGAAAGACCATGTGTCTTTCTTTTTTGAAGATGACGATGTCACCGACGCGAAGGTCATGTGCTTTGGCGAATGTTTCCCAACCTCTGGTGAGTCTCGTCCCTTCTTGTATCACCTCCCAAGTCTTATCGGAAGCGTCCGATCTTAATTTCCATGATGTCTTGTTCATCTTCCCTTCTAAGTGTTTTGCGAAGAAGGTGAGTGGTATGTCCTGAATTCAGAGAAGAGTACGTTAAGCACAACTAAACATTACACATATACAGCGGAAAATAGGGAGAGAGTGTCTGTACCAAGCCAATATGGAAACCAGGGAGCATGGGCTTTACAAAATGAGGTTCATGCGGAGCTACCCGAGGAGACATCTACAAACAATAAACTAATGAAAGACACTTATTGCATCTATCAGTCAATACCATATAAACATTTAATCACAAACCAAAAATCATTTCTTAAATGAGCACACCTACTTGTTACAGAAGTTATTACGATCATAACAACCAAAAAGCAATCAATTAATAAGTACGAAAACATAAACCTATGGTTCACGAGTTGTGTTCAAACTCGACTAGGTACTCATCAAGTAAATGAATAAAAACATTGCCTTCTAACACCAATAACTAAACCTATGGTATACAATCAAACACATAGACCAGTAACTAGTTTCAAGNTGTTACAGAAGTTATTACGATCATAACAACCAAAAAGCAATCAATTAATAAGTACGAAAACATAAACCTATGGTTCACGAGTTGTGTTCAAACTCGACTAGGTACTCATCAAGTAAATGAATAAAAACATTGCCTTCTAACACCAATAACTAAACCTATGGTATACAATCAAACACATAGACCAGTAACTAGTTTCAAGCATATTTACCAAGAAAAACTCACTGATCGAACACGGAGGATACAATCAAGGAAAAAAACTCAGATTGCACTAAGTATACAATCCGTCCCTTTAACCAATTCATTACAAGAAACAGACCAATCAAACACAGAATCACCAACATCAAACACGAAGTCAAACCAAACCGTCAAAAACAGACCAACCAAACCGTCAAAACAGACCAACCAAACCGTCAAAACAGACCAATCAAACTGGAGTCCAGACACAACGCATGCAAAAACGAATCAAAACAAAAACAAAATCAACTAATGATTTAGATTCAGACAAGGAACACATACCTGTTGTAGATTCGATGCGGCACGATGAGAATGAGAAGAGAGAGACGAGAGAGAGAGCAGAGAAATCGGTCTGTATCGCATGCAAAAACGAATCAAAACAAAAACAAAAACAACTAATGATTTAGATTCAGACAAGGAACACATACCTGTTGTAGATTCGATGCGGCACGATGAGAATGAGAAGAGAGACACGAGAGAGAGAGAGCAGAGAAATCGGTCTGTATCGCCCACGAAATCGGCGTCTCGACAGAGAGAAAAGAGAAACACCGATGAGAATGAAATCCATACCAAAAGTCGACTTCCCTCTACCGCTTACGTTTCCCTTTCGCGAAGTGACACGTGTTCTAAGGACCAGGCCCAGAAACTTCTTAATTAGCCAACGTCTCTTTCTTTTAAGGCGAGTTTTGATTTATTTTTGGGCTGAAATTGGGTTGGAAACGAGGCTAAGAAGCCCCGATAATCTTGGTCTAAGTATCTCTTAGAACAAAAAGACAAGTAATGGTATAGACTAGGGTTTTAATAGCAACAATAACCACCCAACCAACATTAATGTTTATTATTTTACAGATTGAATATAAACATCACTCCCTCTCTGCTTCTCACTCACACACAATGTTTTTACAGATATATTTATATACGCCCGTGTGATTTCAACAGCTGTATCAACCTTCTCTCTTTGAAACACAACACAAGTCTCTCTCTCTCTCTTTCTAGTATCATGTCGGAGAAACGCATTAGAATGGTCGAGAAAAGTAACAAGAGACAGCGAGTGAAACTTGTTCACAAGTTCTCGATCAACGACCATCACGACGTGCTCGTAGAAATCCTCCGGAGACTAGACGGCCCTTCGCTCTGCTCAGCTGCTTGCGTGTGCCGTCTTTGGTCGGCCGTGGCTAGAAACGACTCAATATGGGAAGAGCTCTGTTTCCGACAAGTGTCACCACGACCTTCACTTCCCCTTCGCTCCATCGTGTCGGCTCTAGGTGGATACAGACGTCTCTACTTCCTCTGCATCCGTCCGGTCCTCGCACGGCTCCCCAAGATCATATGGAGCCGAGAACAGCTTCAGCTCTCACTCTCTCTTTACTGTGTCCACTACTACGAGCGCCTTCACGTCGGCGCGTGGCTTGGAGACGCGCCACCTTCTTCGCTTATGTTCCTTCGGGAACCCGTCAACGTCGTGTGATACGTCCCGGAACGGCCAATTGATAAATTATTAGTTCTCAAGATTGTATTCTTTATCATATTGTTAGTTTACTCCGATTTATTACAAGTTTACGAGATTTCATCATTACATTACAAGATTATTATCAATAAACGTTGGAACTCTGTTTCTTTTCTCTCTAGATACTGCCAAGTGCCAACGTGTAGCTGTTTTGTCTCTTCTGCTTTTATAATTTCTTGTAAAAAAAATCTAAGCTCAGTTCATTAATTTCATTTTTTTGGTTTGATGTGAAGAGACGTATAATACTATAGTCAAACACTTGACATTTTAAAAGCAAAGAAATTAGCGTCTTAAATTAGAAGTATGTTATGATAAGCAAAATTAAAAGTATGTTGTAAATAAGATGTGGGAAGATTTGGATATCTTTGTGTGTACTTTTGTTGTAGTAGTATAGATTCGTTAGAAGGGGGTCAAGTTAGATGATGGACCACAGAAACAAAGGCATACAATTTCTTTGTTAATCCCTTTCAAAATATACTAAAGAGGCCCATTCACAAATAACAGCCTGCCTTTGATTTTGACATTCACACATCTACATTGGCCCATTTAAGTGATCTTTTTATTTATTTGCAAACTTAGGCTTAATGTTACTAACAAAGTCATCTTCGCAACTGGCCCCAATGAAAGCTTATGTATTTAGCGATTGCAGAAAAATAAGTATATTTTTTTTTTGTCAAATGAATACAGAAAAATCTACGAGGCTTTAGTAGCGTCAAATAAGAATACAACCATTGGCATATTGTTGTTAAACGTTGGTAGTTATTATGTTAAACAAGCGCTAGTCTTTCAGTTCCAATCCTGATGCTTCTTCACTTCTATATATAGAGTAATATATATGTAGTTTTCGTATCGTTTGATCAAAAAAAAAAAAAAATGTAGTTTTCGTATCCTAATATTCATCGCTTTTGTTTTGTAAAACGAGTGTTTGAAGCCTTAATATACAACTTTAATTACTAATATTTCATAATTTGTGGCGTTTTTCTCACTTTGTTGATATTGAGTTGTTTTTTATTATGTAGTTCTTGATTGGTTAATTAGTTGATTTACTTACGATAAAAAAACAGAAGAGAATATTTTTTTTGTTATTTGAGGAGAAATTGGGCTTTCTTCCCGGTGCCCCGAACTAACCTTTGACTTTAAACTGAGACATGTTTAACCCATTCTCCCCACCGAGTCTCGAACGAGAAGCACAAAAGAATTGATCCCTATGCATAACCACTACCCACGCACACCGGTAGTAACACAAAAGAAAGTTGATTGTGCAAACAACAGAGTCTTGAGTTTTATCTTAAGTCTTTTCTACGAGTCTTATATTGAACTATCTAACTCTTCTTATTGGATAATTTTATCATGAAGAAGAACTTGTTTATTGGTAAAGTGTATATGTAACCACCTCGCAAAGGTTGATTATAGAGTCTTTCATTGCTATATTACATTAATGTTTATTAGAGATTTCTCCACTTATTTCTTCCTATGTTGACTTTGAAATTTAATGCCATGTGTGTGCTTGTTCACATTTGTGTGAGCGTGTTCACAATCACGAACCATCATTCGTACTAAATCCAAGAAACAAAAAGTTGCATGTTTCCTCTTGGGTTTTGAACTAGGGGAACACGAACACCTTTCGTTTAACTTGCATGAATGCCTCGCTGAATCAGTTCCTTTTTATATTATTATATTGTTGATGAGAAATTATACTTTTATGGCATATAAATGATCAAAATTGATAAAAAAAATGGTATGGCTTTTTGTTTTCAATCGTCTGGGATTAATTTTAAAGAGGTAAACAAAGAGTACAACAAACAAAATAGCAAAACAAATTGAATTTTAGATATTCTTAATTTGAGAATTAGAGATATTATTTATATGAATAGTGGATTAGGAAGATTCCCAAAAGTTAAACTACATTTCCCTTTCCAACACCAAAAATATAGTTTCGGTATGGTCTGATAGAAACAGAATTAACTAGGTGAAGGTTTCCACATTTGGTTTTCAGTTTAATTTCAGTTTGGGTATTTTGATTTTTTCTTTTAAGTTCTAAAGATTGAGGAACCGTTTAGTTGTATACATAATTCTGTTCAACTTCAGTTATTCTATTTTGGTTCGATTTGGTTTAGATATTAAAGTTAAACACCGACTTGTATCCAAAAATCAGGTCCAATTTGGTTTCAGTGTTTTAGTAATTTTGGATAATATAGGTAAAAACATTGGATAATTCAGGTTTTCAGACTAACTATTAGGTAATTTAGATTGTTCGGATAAAAAGATTGGAGAATTCATATAATTTAAAATAATTTTGGTAAAAACATATTTGGGTAATTCACATTATTGGGTATTTTGGTTTATAAATAGTATCTTAGGATATTTTATATTTAGAAACTAAATATAATTCATGTCTTAGGTATATAATCCTATTTTAAAAATTCAGATGCTTATTATATTTTTGGTTTGGTTATGGTTCAGTTTTGGTTTTTCAATTCTAGAAATATAAGATTCATTTGGTTGTTTACAAAATTTAGTTCAGTTTTGATTCGAGATAAATGTAGCTATGTCTAAGCTGAACCAAGAAGAGAAAATGAAAAGGAGTTAGCATTGTCTTTCCTTGAGTTCACAAGTCCATGTAACAGACATTTTACCTATGGTGTCCTTGGATCCCCTTTTCTTTTCATGAAAAGCTTATAAAACGACAAAAAATAGATTTCATGTATATGTTTTAAACACGTCTCATTCAACATTTTGTTAATCGTTGTCTCCATATTATAATGGGTTGGTTGTTAGAAAAGAAGAAGAAAAGAATAAAGAACGGCAAGGGGGTCACGATGACACAACACTTACTTAGCAAAAAATAAATTAAAGCTAAAAGAAAGCTGATAAGTCTATTAAATTTCTACAAAATCTATTAGTGCTTGAGAAAATCTTCGTTTATTCAATACTTTCTTGGTGCTTCGCAAAACTGAATCTCCACCTAAATGAATTGAATTTATCTTCAAAGATTTTTGGATTGCATTGTGTCAACTTTACTTATTTCATTAACAACAAGAGGTATATATATACATGAGATTAGTAGAGAATCTCTACGAGATAAGTATGAATTCTAACTAATCAATATCCTAGATAAGTACAACTTAAGAGATAACCATTATCTATACCAACTTCATAGTTTTTGTGTATTAACGGAGTCGCAAAATCCGCGGATAGTCCAAGCGTCAAGTATATAATTTATAAAAATCCGCAGAGAATAAAATTTCATTATACAATTAGGCTGTTTATATTTGACCACTTTTACACCAGTATACATGTATATGTTTTTTTGTATCTTTCCTTATGATCCAACATGTATCCGACCATGGATGTATATCGGTTTTGATTGAACGCTTCGTTTTTTACTCATCAAAATGTTATCCTAAAATGCAAACTAAGCTAATTAGAAAACAACTTCTTACAGACGCATGGAAGCTCTCAAAATCAACATTGCTACGTTTTTCTACAGTCGTGTGTACTGGCATGGAATCACTAAACATAGTAGTCTGTTTACCCGGTCAACTTTTTTTGCTTTTGTTTTTGTTTTTGTTTTGTTTGTGTATAATATTAATATTGTATTAAAACTAAAATATATATCTTTTCACACCTTTTTCCTTATAATATGATTCGTGATACTGAAAGTTGAAAAACCAGATTGTGACAAATATTGGAGTAAGGACATGTATCTTCGATAACTGGACGGTTAATAATAATAAAAATGTTCTGGTGGTGGTCGAGACATGTTTGAGTAGTAGTACAATCATATGTAACACGCATGGCCGAGATTCTATTCTCTCTCTCTCTCTCTCTGATAAGATTAAAGAGTGTTACTCTATTATAAAGTAATTCGACCAAGTACCATGTGCCTTGTCTCCGACAACTTTCTCTCTCTATCTCTCTCTTCTTGATCTTAGCTCTGGTTCTGTGGTTCACATGGTACTTCAATAAGATTTTCACTAATTTTAAGGTTTCTCATCTCAGAAAAAGTCAGGTTGGTACTAACAATTCTGTTCTTAATCTCTGTTTTCATGAGTGGCTGCAGCTATTATTAGAATTGGTTTGTTTATCAGATACTATGCCGTTAATTTAATATAATAGAGATATCTTGTGGATCTGAGTTACAAAAATAGATGTTAAGCAATTTTAGTCTTGGCCATGTGCTTAGAGCTTCTACTGGATGATATTTTCAGATGAGTCATGTCTGAATTTTTTTTCTTCTACTTATAGTTTTGCAGATCATTTTAGGGTTTGGATCATACAAGAAATGTACAAGCATCCAAGACAAGAGATAGAGTCTTACTCTTTGCCTTCTTTTGAGGCCAACTCTGTTAGGAAGCTTAGCTACATACCGGTTCACAACTCCCTTAAACGGTATTGCATGCTCGAGCCATCACTTGACTCTCCTGCTTACAATGTTCTCTCAAACGCTACGGTTAACATCTCCACATATGAGGACACATCTGGCTCTTGTGTGACGACAGACGATTTTAACGACAAGATAAAGGAGCTGGAGACAGTGATGATGGGACCAGACTCCTTAGACTTGGTCTTCGACTCCTTTGACTCTACTTCATGTCAAGACACTAGTAGCTGGAGATCAACTCTAGAAGCCATCTCGAGAAGTGATCTAAGAGCTGATCTTGTTTCATGTGCACAAGCTTTGTCTGAAAACGATCTTATGATGGCACATTCAATGATGGAGAAGCTGCGTCAGATGGTATCTGTTTCTGGTGAGCCTATCCAACGTTTGGGAGCTTACTTACTAGAAGGCTTAGTGGCTAAATTAGCTTCATCAGGTAGTTCCATTTACAAATCACTTAACAAGTGCCCTGAACCGGCAAGCAACGAGCTTCTCTCCTACATGAACATCCTCTATGAGGTGTGTCCTTACTTCAAGTTTGGTTACATGTCAGCAAATGGTGCCATTGCTGAAGCCATGAAGGAAGAAAACAGAGTTCATATTATAGATTTCCAAATAGGTCAAGGGAGTCAATGGATTACTCTTATCCAGGCTTTTGCAGCTAGGCCCGGTGGGCCTCCTCGGATACGGATAACTGGTATTGATGATACGACTTCAGCTTATGCTCGTGGAGGTGGGTTAAGCATTGTGGGAAACAGACTTGCTATGCTGGCTAAACAGTTCAATGTTCCATTTGAGTTCAACTCGGTATTAGTGTCAGCGTCTGAGGTCAAAGTTAAAGACCTTGGAGTCCGACCAAGGGAAGCTCTAGCCGTCAACTTTGCCTTTGTGCTTCATCATATGCCTGACGAGAGCGTGAGCACCAAGAATCACCGGTACAATATAATGGGGGATGTATTGAATTGAGGATTTTAGAGTGTTTGAGTTTTGTTTTAAAATCCATTGTTATTCAACTAAGGATTTCTGTTTTTTTTCTCAAATCATGTGTTATCGGATATGACATTTTTAAAAAATCATCATAAATCACTTGCAATCCAGTGTTATTCAATTAACACTTTATTAAAATCAGATCAAATACACTGTTATTCAAAGACAAACAATTCTAAAAAGAAAAAACTATGAAAAGGATTTGAAGTTAACTTTTTATCAATTTTAGGTAGAACAATCATGTTAACAAAACTCACTTGAATACCTGTTATTTCGAAAGACTCAAAATTAATCTTAAAATTGATTAAAAAAAACGACGACCTGCTACAACTGCACCAGTCTCCCCAAAAACCTGAATTTACAGCAGAAAATTTTACTCTCGACACTTCTCAATCTCGACGACGTCTCTCCACTTTTTTCTCAAACCACGACGGTGACAGTAAAGGTTCTGCGGCCTTCGTCGATTCATTATCAGGATTCTATATACAATACACTGAGCTGTATAGTAGACTCAGATTTGTTATTAAAAAGATGTAGCTTCGTTTTAGGTTATGTTTTTATCACTAGAACTACGGAGAAAAATGTTACCGGCAAGATTAGGGACAGAGCTCCAGCAGCCACGACCGTGATTGGTGATGTGGTTGAGAAGCTTCTCGTTTTCTTCAGGAGACCAAATCCTTTTTCTCAGCTTTTGCAGGACATTATTTACCACTTGTGAAGAGAACGCAACAGTCCCATCTTCAGACAAATCTCGTCTTCTGACGCTGCTTTCTTTGCTACCATTGATCGCTCCATGCGTGATCACCTCCTGTTAATTCCAGCCTCCTCATCTTCCTCGCCATCGCTCCGCTTCTCCATCGCTTCTTCTCCTTCCCTTACCAGCCGCCTTGAAGCCCCTTCTTGTCTTTGTTTATGTTTGCTGTTGGTGTTCTTGTCTCTTCTTAGTTTTTTTCTTCCTCCCTCTTCTGTAGTAATAAGTGGCTTGCCACAATCTTGTAAACTGAAAATGGTAATCAATCTTAACATTCTTACTAAAAAACAGCAAGAATGTCTCCCCATTTAGTTTATTAAAGTTGCAATGCTGCAAGGAACCACGAAAATGAAGAAAACTGTTTCTTTTAAAAGTATTGAAAGAAGAAAGTTGTGAGTAAAGAGAATGTAACTAAAAATTTTGAAGGCTGAGGGAAAAAGAAGAGAAGGTGGCCAATATCGATTGTCTTGCTCATTCTACATAGTTCTGTCTACAATGGAGCTTCTGTGAGCAGTGCTTTTTGTTTGTTTTTGCAGTGATATGTAATGATAGAATCAACTGCAGTACACGTTGCTTCAACCCTTAAAAGCTTGAGGAATTATTATTTTGTGAGATTACTTGCTCCAAATATACAACTTATAGTAGTGGATTGGAGCTCTAGTTCTTTTCTTCCACCATAAAAGCGAGGAGAGCTCTGCATTGCATCCTCATCGATTCACTAGGAATATCTAACAGACGTATCAAATTAACAGAAGTAATCTTTACGGAAGAAGAAATGATTTATGAATTCTTATTTCATGTTCTTAAATATATGAAACAAAATAGATTAGTGATGTCAAATGATCTCAAGTACTCTGAAACTTAAGAGGAAATCCCACCTAAGTCTTTGTTTTTCTTTTTCCAAATCTCAACCATAAAATGAAATTTAGTTCAAATCAATTAAAACTCCATTTTTTCTCAAATCCACGCAAATCTTTAAAATCCACACTTCAATACATCCCCCAATATATATATATATATATATATATTTTTTTTTTTACTTTAAGGCATTCAAATTTAAAAGCATAAACTTTTACAAAATAAAGTTTTTAAGTCTTATAGTGAGATAAAGCTTGCATGAAACAATCTTCATAATGGTTTAAATCTCATACCTATGAAATCTAGGTAAAAATTAAAGAAAGCCAATAATGAAATGAAATTAATATTTATTAAAAACATAAGAGCATGATTAACCACCATAAGAGATGGTTCTTAACTTTTCTTAATAAAAATCTAAGAAAAACTAAGAACCGTCTTTTAACCGAAACTAAAAATCTCAGTTAAGAGATTGGGTTAATCATATGCTTGCTTAATCTTATTGATAACGAGAGTATACAATATTTATAGTGATTACAAGGAAGTCTAGACCTAAGGTTATTTACATAATAAGTCCTCTTAGTATCGATCTCTTACAAATCATGGTCTAAGATGGTTTTTGTGTAGTTTACTTTCTCTTGACTTGACTATATATATTTTTGTACAGGGACCGGTTGCTAAGAATGGTGAAGAGCTTATCTCCAAAAGTGGTAACTCTAGTGGAGCAAGAATCAAACACAAACACAGCCTCATTCTTCCCGAGGTTCAAGGAGACAATGGATTACTATGACGCCATGTTCGAGTCGATTGATGTGACTCTCCCAAGGAATCACAAACAAAGGATCAATGTGGAGCAGCATTGTCTAGCAAGAGACGTTGTGAACATCATCGCATGTGAAGGAGTTGATCGGGTGGAGCGGCATGAGCTACTAGGAAAATGGAGTTCACGGTTTGAGATGGCGGGTTTCACTTCTTACCCGTTGAGTCCACTTGTGAATGCCACCATTAAAAGCCTTCTCAGGAACTATTCGGATAAATATAGGCTTGAAGAAAGAGATGGAGCCTTGTATCTTGGTTGGATGCAACGTGATTTGGTCGCTTCTTGTGCCTGGAAATGACACGACACAACGAAGAGGAGTTTCAAAGACTCAAAGTGCTTCTACTTGCATGCAATCTTGAAACCGTTATAAGAGTTTTATGTTCATGCATTATTCAGTTTCGAGATATGCAAGGTTCCTTATATAATTCAGAAATAATGATGGTATATATGCGCATAGACGCTATGCAAATTACGTATCTATTTTTATAGTTTGCCTTCTGACGTAAGCAAAGGTTAAACACACACACAAAGATCCCAAAAAACGCTATTTAGACCTTATCATGACCAGATAAAAAGTCTTTGTTTTCTTAAAACTAAGTATCTATTTTCGGAAAAAAATAGTATTACTGTTTACGTCAAACACATCCTAAAATATTTCCAACAATTTAGGTATCAAAAGCTAAAAAGGAACGGTGGAGAAGAAAGCCAAAGTACAAATCTCTCTCTTCCTGGTGACTATAAAATGGCAACCAGAACGAAGGAACAAAAACATAAATAAAACTAGTGGATTACAAAATCAATAAATAAAAATAAATAAATTGTAATCCCTAGTAAATAAAAACAAATCTTATAATGGGTGTACATTCTGGAGTATCCGTATTAATTGTTGTTTGTTTGTTAGGTTTATCAGCAAATGCTAAAGATTTCACCATCAATGCTCCTCAAGGTTCTGATATCACCAACGTAAGTTTCTAACCATCATCATTTGACTAACATTAGTTTTCTTGTCATCCAAGCAAATTAAAATATTTGGGATATCGATGCAGTTATTGTTGAAAACGTTCAATGAGGCATGCCAGTGCCCGACCAAGAGCAGCGTTTTGATCCCTAAAGGTGAATACAAGCTTGGGGCAATAGAGATGATGGGTCCATGCAAAGCTCCCATAAGGATTACTATTCAAGGCACTGTGAAAGCTGACGGAAACATTAACGGGAAGGACTTCTGGATCGCTTTCCGCAGGATTAATGGGTTTAAATTAAACGGAGGTGGTGTCTTTGACGGTGAAGGTAACGCTGCATGGAGGGCTAACAATTGCCACAAAATGGCATTAACTCAGTGCAAGAAACTCCCTATCGTATGTGTCTTTCTATCTCTATGTATACACATAATAAGAGCACCTCCATTAAAGGGTTCTTAGCTTTTTTAGTTAAAAGTTAAGAGATGGTTTCTTATATTCCGATAAGAATCCCGCTGTAAGAACCCACCAATGGATATGGTCTAACTCCGTAAATAGCAAATTTGTTTATGTTTTGTGTTATTGTTGAACAGAGCATACGTTTTGATTACATCACTGACGCTAAGATAAGAGGCATAACCTCATTAGATGCAAAGAACTTCCACATTAACGTGATTGGGGCAAGGAACATGACAATGGAAGAAGTCACAATCATAGCCCCTGAAGAGAGTCCCAACACCGATGGAATCCACTTGGGAAGGAGTGATGGAGTCAAGATCATCAACTCAATTATCAAAACGGGAGATGACTGTATCTCTGTTGGAGATGGGATGAGAAACCTTCTTGTCGAAAGAGTTACATGCGGTCCGGGACACGGAATCAGTATTGGAAGTCTTGGATTGTACGGACACGAGGAAGATGTCACTGGCATCAGGATCGTGAACTGCACCCTTGACAACACTGACAATGGTGTAAGAATCAAGACATGGCCCTCTGCTGCTTGCTCCACCACCGCCTCCGGTATCCATTTCGAGAACATTATCATGAAGAACGTTACCAACCCTATCCTTATCGACCAAGAGTACTGCCCCTGGAACAGATGCAACAAGAATGTACGTACACAAGAAAAACTAAATGGTCATAGTCTAGTGATCATATGAACTACTTTTGTATTGGCTAATTATTGTTTTTGTTTTTTGTTTGTAGAAACCATCAACAATCAAATTGGTAGACATAAGCTTCAAACAGATCAGAGGAACATCAGGGAACAAAGACGCTGTTAAGCTTTTGTGCAGCAAGGGATTTCCGTGCAAGAACGTGGAGATCGGTGACATTAACATTAAGTACACCGGAGCCGATGGTCCACCCACATTCCAATGCTCAAACGTATCGCCCAGGCTTACGGGAATTCAGGTTCCTAAAGCCTGTAGCAGCCCTGTGACCAAGCTACCAGGCCAGTAAGAAGCTCTATGTGATACCCAATACACAATCTAAAATGTACACCCTACTGTATGTTATATTCATTCATTTGATTTGTTTTATGAAATAACCAAATCTTTTTGCCAACAAATGCGTCTTTGCTAGCATAACATACATCATTCTTGTGAAAAAAAAATACAAAAAATTAAACATAATAATTGGTAACTAAGTATAGGGGTGAGTAACATAATTATATAATTGCTACTACTACGTTAAAAAATGCACCAAACAAAACGAGTATGTAACCGAATTAGACAAACAACCTGGGAGTTACTGATGGCTCCGTTAAAGCACACGGTGAATTTGATGATAGCGTCTTAGGGGAGTCCAGATAAATTGATTATAACTTAACAATTCAGCAGCCACATTCTAGAAATTGCCAGAGTTAAATTACATTTACATTAGTAAAAAGAATTTACATATACATTGACTTGGACAGGTGTAACTTGAAAAACAGATTATTACAGAAGGAGTTTTTTTATTAACCTCGGCATATTCTGATTCTATGGAAAGATCCAAACTGTGCAATCCATGGATACTCCCAATAATAAAGTTTTAACATGACTAAACATCTCTTTTGCTTTGGTGGAAATATGGTAGCTCACAAAAAATTATATGGCCACTTAAAAAAAAAAGAGTAAGAAAAATCGTTGTTCACACGAGCTTAATTTTGTCATCTCAGCCACTATAGACCAAAGACAATTTATACAAAATGTGGCCAAGTGCCGCCTCTGCTCACGCTGAAAGCAGTGGTTTCTTTAGTTTGTCCCAAGTGCCGCCTCTACGCCTCACGAATATGAATATCGACTTGGATAATAAGTTCTGGTCGTTTAATTAAGTACACGCTTAGTCAAACCATGCATGCACGTAAGAATAAAGAGTTTCGGATTTTTTTGGTTGTGGACTTTTGTAACAAGAGGAGTAAAGCTTCACCAAACCAAACTCATCAGGCGATGTTGTTTAGTAAAGTTCAGAGTAGTTGGACATGTTTTCTCGTCTCGACCCGTTATGACTCCAGTTCATACGTAATTGAATTTTCCAGTCATAAATCCATATCCGTTAAGTAACTATCCATTTGGCATATAGTTTTGTTTTGTTAACGGCATATAGTTTAATATGTTCCAACGGTATAGAAATATGTCTTATATTGGACACGGCACCCCAAAAAATGTCATGTTCTTACTATATATGTACGTGCAAAACAAATAAAAACAATAATTTTAGTCCTAACATCTAAATATACTGTTCTTGTTAAGTTGAAAGCTTCGTTCGACCTATCGATGTAGGTACATATTTGTTGGGACAGATGTTAGCTACATCCATTTCTTGTCGACCAAAAACATATCTAATGCATGATCAAATGATTACTCTTAAACATTATATACTATACTGTACTTAATTATAATCGACTAAGTTTATTTTAAAAATATTCTAATTATGAATAAAAAGTAAAATTCAAGAGTATTGATATATATATATATATGGTGTAGATATCTTGTTTTTACAGCTAACATGATAAGACAGGATTTGTGTATGAACATTCAGTGATCGATACAACATATCTTGTACATCCGTGGTCCTTAAGCCTAAGTTAACTAATTTGAGGATAGCTAGAGTGGTCTATAAATACACATATAATCCTCTTATCTTCTTTAATTAACAATAGTTTACTAAAACTCTTTCAAAATGTCACATTCTTTCTTCCATTTCATCTTAATCTCTCTTTTCCTTTACACCAATTGCAATGCACATCGCTACTACACATTCACGGTGAGTTTGTATCAATTAAGCCAGGCGTTATAAACTAGCTAACTCTAAATTCAGGAAAGTTAAAACTAATCAATCTAATAAATTAAGAGTTTATTAATATCAGGTTAAGGAAGTTCCCTATAACAAACTGTGTAGAGCGAAGAAGATTCTTACCGTTAACGGTCAATTTCCTGGACCAGTTTTAAAGGTTTACAAAGGAGACACCATTTACGTTAACGTTCGCAACCGAGCTAGTGAAAACATCACAATGCATTGGTAATTATCTAAAACCCTTTTTTCTTACGAAAATTATATCAATTACAAGCAGATGTGGTTGAATAAAAAACACAGGCACGGTGTAGAGCAGCCTAGAAACCCGTGGTCAGATGGACCCGAGTACATCACGCAGTGTCCGATTCGACCCGGAAGTCATTTTGTGTATGAAGTCATCTTTTCAGTCGAAGACACGACTGTTTGGTGGCATGCGCATAGCTCTTGGACACGAGCCACTGTACATGGTCTGATTTTCGTATACCCTCGGCCCGGGACATCCCTCCCTTTCCCTAAGCCGGATCTAGAAGTCCCCTTAGTTCTTGGTACAAAACATTACATATACAACTTTTTGAATAGGACAAAATATTGAAAAAACAAATTAGACTTGTATATATTTGTTGTTGCGTATGTTTTTCTTAAAAATTTATTTCATAAAAACTGGATAGGAGAGTGGTGGAAGGAGGATGTGAGAGAGGTAGTGGAGGAGTTCACGAGAACCGGTAGTGATCCTAATGTGTCCGATGCTTTGACTATTAATGGACATCCTGGTTTCTTGTATCCTTGCTCTAATTCAGGTGTTTTTTTTCTTTTTTTTTTTTTTTTGCATTTTTCTCTTTAGAACACATTTATCTCAGCATCCCATTAGAGAGTGCTTAATTTTTTTTCTTTTTGATTTTTTTCCAGATTTAAAAAAAAAAAGAAAAAAATAATTATGGATCGCCACGTGCTGTGAGACCCACAGAACAGACCAAACAACAACGAAAATCGGACGCTTATTCTGCAGCTGGAAACGTCGACTTTTATCTTTTCTGTGGCTCTTAATACGCTTAAATTCTTATACAGATTTTAACTAATTATTTATTTATTTTCTGAACTTTTAGATTTAATTATTAGTCCCAAAATGTTTTTTTTTTGTTTTCTACAAATTTATTTTTATCAAGCTGATATATAAATGTAACAAACAAATCTCTGTTTGTGTTTAATTATTTCTGGAGCAAATGTTTAAATATTTGAAAAGTGCTTTTTGCATGCATATATGTTTTAACTTTTAAACTTACGAAATAAATTTTGTTATCTTAAATATATGTTTATATGTTATATGTTAAACAGATACATTCGAGCTCACAGTAGAGAAGACCAAAACCTATCGCATTCGAATGGTAAACGCAGCAATGAACTTAATCCTCTTCTTCTCAATCGCCAAACACAGCCTCACAGTGGTTGCTGCCGATGGTCACTACACAAAGCCTCTACACGCTACTTACATCACCATATCTCCAGGGCAAACGCTAGACATCTTATTACACGCGGACCAAAACCCAAAACGCACTTATTATATGGCTGCCAGAGCTTACCATAGCAACCCTGTCATCAATTTCAACAACTCCACAACTATCGGGATCTTACGTTACATCTCTTCAAGCAAAGCCACAAAGTCCTCTTACCCAAACCTTCCTAATTACAACGACACTTCAGCAGCTTTTGGATTCTTTACCAACATCAAAAGCTTATACTCAGGACAAGTTCCTGTCAAAATCTCACGTAGAATAGTCTCGACAGTTTCGATAAATCTTTTAACGTGTCCTAATAACTCGTGCCAAGGTCCAAACGGGTCGAGACTAGCGGCGAGTATGAACAACATATCGTTCGTCACACCAAACCACGTGGACATACTAAAAGCTTATTACCTTCACATTAAAGGCGTTTACGGAACGCGGTTTCCTGCGTTTCCGCCGCTGGTTTTCAACTATACCGCGGAGGATCAACCGTTGTTTTTGCAGACTCCGAGGCTTGCTACGGAAGTAAAGATGATTAAATTTGGAGAAGCGGTTGAAATGGTTCTTCAAGGGACGAGTTTAGTAGGTGGTGGAATCGATCACCCCATGCATTTGCATGGTTTTAGTTTCTATGTTATTGGTTTTGGGTTTGGTAACTTTAACGTATCTCAAGATCCTTCCTCGAACTATAATCTCAAAGATCCTCCGTATAGAAATACGGCTACTGTGCCAAGAAACGGTTGGATAGCTATCAGATTCATAGCTAACAATCCTGGTACGTACCTTACATAATCATATAACCTTGTATACATAGATTAACCGTTACACTAGTGGCTTTTTCCAAGTGTTTGAACTGTGGTATTGTAACCAGTCTTGTTTGTAATTGTGTTTGTAGGGGTTTGGTTCATGCACTGTCACTTTGATAGACATCTTACTTGGGGTATGAATGTTGTCTTCATTGTCAAGAATGGAAGAAGGCTAAACCAGCAGATGCTGCCTCCACCGCCTCACTTGCCGCCTTGTTACTAATAATTCAACCGTTACCATTTTGAGTATAATGCAAGTCATTGTAATTGATGTAATAAGCTAAATTTACCAAAGATACAATCCTAAAAACTTTGTTTTATAATACTAAACCAAACCATTGTCACTTAAGGTTCCTTGGTTAACGTGGAATAGTACTCATAATAACTTCAAAAGCTTAGGATAAGGGGTGATGTTTTGTTTCCCTCTTGCACACTGATAAGTTAATCAAGAGGAGATATCTCCATGTCTTGTGTCATACCATCATCATCACGAGGAATCTCTGCGTGATGGAGTCCCACTGTGTAAGTTGAGTGATACATGTGTGGAATGTGACCCTGTTGAAGCGCTATAGCCTTGTGGTTCCAAGCCCAGTCCTTTCGGCTCCAAAGGTACAGAGGTGGCGGTATATTGTTCCACTGCTCTATCGTTTTGTTATTCACATCTATGGACCCGGGCAAGTAGAAAGACTACAAACAGAGCACAAAAACAGAGTGTTATTCCAAAGCCATTGGTATAATAAAACAGAGAGTTGGATTCATTTGTAGTACCTTTCCTGCAAGTAGATATCTGTCCTCCCAAGTCAAATCATAATCAGCTATTGCATCGACCCTGATTGTAATAGATGAAGAGCCAGAGTTAAGAAACGTTTTGTTATTGAGACTATGTATTTGCCTATTTTTTACCTTTTTGTTTCACTTGGTACGATGAGGATCAGAATCTTTGGTTTAAACTCAAGGGCCTTCATGATGAAAGTGTTTGCAAGACTGGATTTGAAACCGAAAGGAGGGTTCAATCCCATTATCTGTACATATCCATAAAGAAGAAAGATCTTAGTGAGAGATTTAAGAAGTGCATCTTAAGTTCAGGATGTTGTTTTGATTTTTGTACCAGTCGAGAGCCATCGGGTAACTCTTCTTTCTTCACAGTCAACCAATCTCTCTTCTCAAAGTTGAATGTATTCTGCCATGGAAACATCATGTTTCAGAAACAACAACGACTAACACAAAAAAGTAAAAGAGTTGAGTCTTATACCTTAGGTAGAATGAGATCAAAGTTCTTGAAGAAGCAAGACTTCCCCGTTTTCTCAAGCTTTTCTTTCATCAGACAACTCCAGTCGTTAGAGCCACAACAGAAGTCCACTATTGTATCTCCATTTTGCACATAACAGTGGAGCCTCTCTACTATCTGCATCATTAAGTTCAAATAAACCAGTTTCAAATAATTATCTCTAAACCGGTAGACTCTAACATAGGTTAAGAAAACAAAAAAAGATACAATTAGCTCACCTCTTCAAGCTTCTCTAGCTTTGTGAAGTGACGACCAAATGATGTGTAGCGCATTCCATGGAGAAAAGGAGAAAGATAAATTTCAAGCTTCGTCTGCAGTTCACAAAACATGACTGAGCAAACTCTCAGATGATAAAAAGGATTATGAAAACTAATGGTGATTAAAAACCTTATGCTTCATGAGTTGGCCGAGAAGATCTGGATCAAATATTGCTCTAGCATCTTCGTCCCGCCCTGCTTCAAACATCTTTAATGCAGCTCGAGCGGCCTGCAAAACAGACATTAGGATTCAGGGCGCCGACACTGCTAACTAAATAGCATACTCTTGTTTCTCATAAGAAACTGCAGTGACATACATTGACATGAGTTTCAACCAATCCTGTTGTGATGTTCTTGCCAATATCATTTCTTGATTGGTAGCATCGTACATGGGATTCACCACGAGACTTAACAAACTCATCAAAATTAAACTTAGAGTCCACTTCATCAATTATAGATAACACCCTGTGTAACCCGGAGAAAGTCAAATGATTAGTTTAAACTATCAATAATATGTAATATCTTGTTGTCTCACTGTTGAGTGGAAAGAGAGAACATCACCTTGACTCCACATCCTCGTTGTCTACTTCGTCAGAAGGACCTTCTTCCTTCGACAACCTTTGTTCAATGCTCTCCATCTTGCGTTTATTAAGATAGTCCTTGACCTTAGAACTCATCCTTGGTTTCCTAGATCCACTACCACTAGTCCCTTCATGATACTTAGAACCCATCGCCATACTCGGAACATCCTCTTTGACAGGCTGAAGACCATGACTTAGTGTTCTTCTTGGGCCAGATACATCAGGAAAAACTAAGTGGTCTCTAGGTGGAGTAGCAAGATCACCTACTATCTCATGGTTCCTGTTCAAAAATAATATGAAAAGCTATGCACATTGCGCAGATCATCACATCAAAACCTGCTTTAAGATGCACTCAGAATATTCTAAAAACTTACAAACAGTATATCAGAATGCGATTGTATGGAAGCAGTTTCTCCCAGGTTCTCTGAGGTGTGTCCTCGTCACAGTTGAGTTCAGAAGTAATCTCCCTGAGTACAAAAAAATAAAAAGCAAAAATATGACGGTGATATACATACATGGCCATTAGATGATTGAGGAAAAAATAAAATGAAATAATGGTTTACCTAGGTAAACATTTTCTGTGATAAGCCGTTGGGCAGCGTCTGCATACAGCAAAATGGAACGGAAATAGATTTTTGTTTTCACTTGTCTTACAGACTTTGCATATGTGTAGAGGACAGAAAAAAGGATCTCTAGCAGAAATCTTGGCTTGAAGTTCTTCTGTTTTGATTTGATCACCATCTTGGAGAAGCTTTGCAACACATGTTGGATGATAGAAATGACCGCAATTTGAAGCAGAACAAGGGAAGACCTTTCAGAGAAGTAAACAGTTTGAATTCAAATTGAAGATTTTAAGTATAACTAAACCGCCTAGTATTCAAATGAAGAATGATATAGTGAAAGGCTATAATACCTCTTGAGAGGAATTTGCATCAGATGATCCCAATTGGCCACAAGCATAGCACTGGTGCTGTTTGTAGAGACAGTTGTTACAGAAATACTCCCTAAGTGTCTACATATTCAGCAAATTAACATTAGCATGAAGTCTCACTGTATTAGCATGTTAAATAGAAACTCTAAAGGGCATTCACAGTACATGAACATGAACCCCATCGAATCCAAGTGATTCGCACGATGTATCAACTCCATCAGCTATGGTGGGATGGAAAGCTCTCAAGCAGCTTCCTTCACAACTGAGTTCAAAGCAAAGAAATTGAATTAAATAATTACAGCTTGTGAGGAACACTAAAAATACTATGAAGCTTGACATACCACAGAATATAACCACCATTGTCACAGATAGAACAGACTGTATCAAACTGCAAGTTCATCTCAGTATCATCATCGCTGCTGTTTTCCTCGTCTAGCATATCATCAACAATGAAATTCTGTTCCTCTTGTGTCTGAGCATCTTCATGATGTTGCGTTAGAAGTTCCTTAATAAGAGAAAACAATAATTAATCTCAGGTAGAAAGAGAGTAAATAAACCACGTCTAACTAGGTCTCTCACCACTTCGGTAGGTGCTATTTGTGAAGTCTTCTCCAGAAACCTACGCAAACACTGCACACAATAAAACGTGTTAACTACGAAAAATTAACCAAGTCAACCCAATATCATAACCTCCAAACGAAGATAAGAAAAGACCAAAGAGAATCAGACCTTTGATTTTGTCAAGTCCTCATCCATTTTCATAGCTCGACAAACCAAAGAAACATGATCTGATAAGTCATCTTCTGAAGGTTGGATCCTGAGCAAACAACAAGATTCACTCAAAGATGACATAAAAAGGAAAACACATCAAGACAAACTAAATGAACATCTAAACATACCCATCCACTTCGTGTAAACTGTTCCACACATCATCACCCGATGCCTCAGGATTCCTTTTAACAAAGTGAAGACACTGAAGCGTAACCAGAGTTGTTCTAACTAAAGCTTCATAACTCTTTTCTGGTTTTTGCAATGTTATCCACCGCATCCCATGTAGAAGCACTTCGATCTTGGGATGATGTTCATCAGACAGATCAAACTTCCACGCTTTGGCGAGCTTACAAACAGACTCATTCCCACTATCAGTGCTGCCACGCAGATACACAGGCCCTACGGAGCTACCAGTGGGATCTCCGTCATCGTCCTCGTCGTCCCATTTGACCGGAAGAAGGGAAAACTTGATAGGTATGTCGCTTTGATCAACGAAATAGTATCCATCAACGTAGTCAGGTAGAATCTCTCCCTCTTCGTCTGATGAAGCCATTAGATACCTGAAGAAAAAAAAAACATAAAGTTTCAAACTTTTTAGCTTCACATAGCAAAAACAGTTAACCATTCAAACCCAAGAAAGAAAGACAGTTAATTTATCTTAAATCATGACGGAAACATAATTTCTAAAGGAGAAATTAGCACAAAAATCTGAGAAATCAACGAGATGATACAAAACAGAGCATCAAGGATACTAATTTCGTTCATCGTCTGAAAGTTTCTCGGATACCTAAAATAAGCAACGAAACGAAATCTCAAAGAAACCAAAAAAAGGAAGAACGTTGAGGAACAAACTCACATATCTTATAACCTAGCTACTAAGCTACTTCAGAAAGCTATATAATGTAGCTGGAGAGAAACCGTGGGAAAATAACTAAACGAAGAAGCAAAACCCACGAGTTTTCAAACCCTATCTTACGAGCTAATTCCAGATTTTCCCTTATTTTCTCCAAAAAGACGAGCAAATACACAAAAACAGAGTATAAAATTGTCAAAAGAGAAGGTAAGGTACGGTGATCTTGGTTGCGCCGGAGGTTCCGTACGGACGCTTGCTCGCCGAAGACTTTAGTTTCCGTTCACAGAAAAGAGAGGAGAAGAAAAGTGACTGTGAGAGAGAGAGAAGAGAGGTGTGTATTTCCGTTAATGGGAAGAAGACGAAGAAGGTGTTGGGAGTGTGACTTTGCTTTCCCGTACTATTTAAAACCGTTTTAGGCAAACAAAAACTAAAAAAGTAAATACTTTTTTTGTTTTTTAGTGGACAATGACCAATTACCCCCATCACATGTTAAAATCGTTTATGGGCTTCCTAATCGGCCCAATAAGAGGACTTTAATGGTTTCATAGAGGAGGAAGTTTTGTGTAACAAGAAAAAGGTAAAAAGAAGTCTAGAGAACTTACTGATGTGCAACAAGACCAACTCTACTTTGAAGGCTGCCTTTTATTTTCAAAGGTTCAACTATGATTAAACAATGTTTCACCACATTTATCTTTGTCTAGTCATTCTTTTTTTTTTCTTGAATCCCTGGTTTGTATACATGTTTAAATAAGCAAAGCATTACTCGAAGAAAACATTGTTAAACATATACTAATATGCATCATTTATTTATTATTAGTTACATCATTAAAACTGACGATATTGTTTAGAAAAAAGATCCCTTATGATTATTGCGAACTTAGAGCACTGAAACTTGGAAGAAAAAAGCTGAAAGAAACATATAGTAAATGTAAATACTGCTTAAGAAAGTGTTTCGGTTAAAGAAGACTGTCTATACGAGACGGCAATCTCTTGAAGAAGTTACTTGGCAAAGAAGGCAACTTGCTTCTAAACTTCGGATGCCTCAGATAGTACAACCCACCAGCCAGTGTCATTGCTTTAAACGGCATAGCATAAAGGACCACGGATGCAGCCAAGCAGAACAAGATGAATAGGCTTGTAGCCCTAGGGTCTCGCCAGCTCAGAAGCGACTGAACTCTCTCTCCCTGAGCTGCTATATCTCCAACCACAGTCTGAATCCTACCCGCAACACTTCTGAGCCGGTCATACCTAAGCCTCACCAAGTCCTGTGACCTAGACGTTGGAAACGTGTCAAACTCCTCATCAAGCTCATCAGGATTAACAGCTTCAGCCCAAGAGAGTTTCATATCCATGTGAGGAGGGTGTCTAGGCCTGGACTTAAAGTTCCATAATCCAATAAAGAACATGTAGAGAAACATTGTGGGCAAGATAAGTTCAGGGTACATGACTAAAATAAAGAACAGGACATGAACCAGAACAGAAGTAACTGGGTATCTCCAGTTGCAGATATCCTCAAGCCATTTCCCAACTAAGAAATAACCGGAGAGAAGTGACATTATGCGGAAAAAGTTGGCTTTGCTTCTTCTCATGCTCCATAGGTGAGAGTCTACATCCAACATGTACTCAACAACCTCTTTTCTAAGCGGCGGCTCAGCTCGTCCCAAACGGGTTGCAACTATGTTCATGGCTTGGTACCTTAACCCATCTACTTGGTTAACCGTGAAAGGGAAAAGATAGTGCATTTTGGGGAGAAGCGGGTGGGTATAGTTGTAGATGATGTTGGCTAAAGAAAGAGTTGTGAAACGGATCGATATCTGGAGGTCACCAGTTTTCTTTAGGCCATGTGGTTGCAGAACAAGAAGTGGAAATGAATGTGTGTAGATCTTGTGAGCCTCTAGTGTAGACAGCCTGATTCTAACCTGTACCAAGGAATCATATAAGTAAACTAGCATTTTTCCCGCCAAAACCGTAAAATCACGTTTTCTAACTAAACTCATAGAACCAAAGAGAAAAAGCTTTATAGAGAGAGAGAGATCATTACCTTTCCTATTCTTGCATCTCTAGAGGAGCCATTACCGGACTGAGCTGAACCCAAATGACAATTATCGAAAACTCCAAGTGTGACAACAGTACAAGGATCATAGACTTCCCATGTGTACTGCTCGTTCCATCTTGGACTCAGTGAATCAAGAATGGTTCTAGTTCTCACCCATTTTTGCCCATACTTAGCTACACAGTACGCATCAGTGCTTCCTCTACCCTCTTTCAACTTCATCGGCACCAACCCTTTAGCTCCAAGTATCCCAATCTCCAACATTCCCACAGGCTGCTTCCACAGCTGCCTAGCCGTTGGTCTTGTGTCACTAATATACATCGTTGACTCGTCCATCACATGGTACCCTCCTTCAAGACATATCCTCAGGTGAATCCTGCTCGAGAACTTATGTTCTTTCCTCCTTGGGTCTCCTTCAAGAACTCCTGTACCGTACTTGTCAAGATTGAACCAACGAGAGTGAACAGGACGGTGGTCTAACCTCTTCTCGAACATGTTCATCGGCAAGCTGATTTTACCAATGACTTCATCTTTAGAAGTGTGTACACGGTCTTCCACAGAGATCACTAGCTGCTCTTCAAAAGGTTCAGCAACCACAAAGACAAGATCTTCATTCCAGAGAGGATTTGTTGTCTTCACAGGACAAATCTTGGTCTTGAGAGTTTGCATACCGACATTAGCTTTAACAAAAACATCAGGAAGACGGTTTCTATCACTTGGGATCATGTCTTGAGCTTCAATAACATTGACTCTTAAGTACCATAGCTTAGGAGAGACATATACTTTGGATCTAACGTTGAACACACCTTCTCCATGAACAGAAGCAGAGTCAGCATGCCATGCTTCAGGGAAAGCTTCATCAGCTTGAGTTCCCATCCAGACAGCAAGCATTATCTCTCCTCTTACTATCTTTCCTTCTCCTCTCCAATCCTCTAAACGGTACCACTGTGGAGCTAAAGGACTGTTTGGTGGAACCCTTGTTGGGATTTCATTAAGATCAAACACTACTTTTCCAAGAAAGTCATCTCTACCTAGTGTCTCCTTGTCCTTGACAAAGACTTCAAGAACCGATGAGTGGATCCGTTCTTTAGTAAACGCGAAGACTTGGTTCCATTCAGGAAGAGTTGTCTTTCTGTCAAAGTGTTTTGTTCTTCCCTTGTAGTTACCAAGCTTCACTTCCACGTAAGGATCACATCCACCAGTGATTAGACCAGGTGGAAGCTCTTTGGCTCTGACGACCCGAACGTAGAGATAAAACATTTGTTCCACTAGATCGTATGTGCCTGTGAATCTCTCTCCAACGCTTGTGTTTGGCCATCTCTCTCCAAGTTCCAGGTTCATGTCTTTCACCTTGAAGTCTTCTGGGTCAATGTTGTCACCATATGGTTGCAAGTGGTTGGCGTTGTGAGGGGGCTGAGGCTGGTTAGCTCCACGTGTCTGCTGAGAGTGAAGCTGGTTAGCTCCACGTGGCTGCTGAGAGTGAAGTTGGTTAGCTCCACGAGAGTGATGTGTGTTGGCTTCTTGCGGGTTTTCACGAGACCGTAGACGAATGGAATGCATAGGTGCGGGTCGAGGAAGGACTTCTTGTCTATGTAGTGTTTGAACAGGTTCTTGAACTTGTTCAGGTTCTGCTTCTTTCTCGCTGACAGAATCAGGAATATCTTCTTGCACTGCTGATGCAAAGCTCTCTCGAGAATCTTCTGTTTCAGAATCAGTGATATCTTCTTCTATTACAGCAGAAGAGGCTTGCGTTGAGATGGTGTAAGGTCTTGAAGGGGAAGGAAGAGGAGAGCGTTGGTCTTGTTCAGATGATGAGATGTAGAATTTGAGACCAATCTCACCTTTAACAGAAGCGAGAACTGATTTCTTCTCCAACGTGAAGCGCTGGTACACTTGGTCACCTTCTTGAACAATGTTGGAGAAAGAGATCTTGACTCTACCGAGGAAGCTTCTACCTGGAAGAGGTCTTCTCTCGTGGTAAACAGAGACTTCAATGTGGTGGTTGTGAAGGTTTCTTCTCACTTTGTGGTCGTAATCAAAGTAGAGTTTCTGGTCCCAAACAGGGTTAAGACTTTTGGGTACGGTTCTTGTTTTGCTCAACTGGTTGAGGAAATCAACTTCTACAAAAGGACTTGCTGAGCCTTGGCCATCTCTGGGCATAAGGTTTTGAGCATCAACAACGTGGACGACTAGTTTGGTTGTGTTGTTTCTCATGGTGAGGTTTTTTCTTTGCTTTCTTGGGTGTCAAGGGTGATTTAAAGAGGGAAAGAATCATTAGGGGAGAAAACCCAATTAGGGAAGAAAGGAATGTATTCTGATTAAACTATCAGAAATAAAGTTTGTTTGTGTGTTCAAGTAAAGAATGGGATGAGTAAGAAGCTGCTTTTTTTTTGTCTGTGATTGAGCTACAAGCTTTTGTATGATTCTCTCTAGGAAGATGAGTTTTGGAGGAAAAGTATAAAGCCTTCTTTTCCAAGTGTAAAGAGTTTTGGCCTCTGCAAATGATTACAAATCGTGCAAATTCAGGTATTGGCACATGATTTGTTTCATTTCTATGTTTTTTTGACACCTACTTGTGGCAAATTAACTTTGGCTGATTCTGGAGACTTAAGCATGAGATGTAAACTTTCTTTTCCACACAGATCAAAAATGTGACTCAAAGGTAAGATTCATTATTGCATTTCTTAGTAAGTTTATAACAAATAAATTTATGCAAAGCTCAAAGCAAACAACGGCTTGACTTTGTTCTGTGCTGTGAGAGAGTCAAAATTACAATATGGACTAACCTGTTTTGAGGAAAACACAATGTCATGGCTAAAAAGTGTATGCTCGCTTTCAACAGTCAAAACATAACACGTCCTAAGTGATTTTTCTCATTCTTCCTTTTGCAATGCCACGCCCTCATTGTGCCTGCGCTTTTTGGAGAACTGGTAACAATTAAAGCAGCATTGTCCTATCTCCTATGTCTGTAGCGTATCATGGAATGAGATTTACACTAACAGGGCAACAAGAAAGACCAGATTGAATTGAAATGATTCAAATGAAAACCCCCATTTGATGCACCTAAAGCTCACGTTGATACAGTCAGATGCAGAATGTGGTCTTCTTTCACACTCTCTCCACAATGACCTGTTTGGTTTCACTGTAGCAAACATTGCAGTCCAACTTACTACTGCCACCTCGGTCTCTGACCTACCGGCACCATATCAGTGTCTTCAACTACAGGATAAAGTTCAGACTCTTCTTCTTGTTCATCTTCAGACCAATTCGGATAAACAATCTTGCCACTCTTCATCCCCACATCAACTTCAACAGATTTCCTATACATCCCTCTACTTCTATCAAGCCGCCCTTCATTCATCATACTCGCAAACTTCTCCCTAATATCAACAAGAGGATGCCTCTCAAGTAGCTTCCGCCTATCATAACCCTCTCTAAGAATCACTGTCTGCGTATCACACTTCATAGAAATATAGAAAATTCCCGGATGCCTCTCAAACACTTTAGTAAACTTCTGCGGAAGCGCAAACGGTTTACGAAGATTACTCACGTTCTTCCTCTCCATCTTCTTCCCAATCGTCAGATGAAGAAGCTCGTGAAACACTCCAACGTTTCTCTTCTCTGACAAATCAGTTCTCGCATCCAAATGAGACGCGTCGACGTAAGGCGACGTGTAAGGTAGTCTCTGCCATTCTTGTAGCCACTCCATGCTCTTCCTCTTTAACCCAAACCCCCTCGTAAACTTAACCGGGAAAGCCATACCATCACCATCACCATCACCATCACCATCACTCCTAAGTTGCAAATGAGAAACAGCAAGTCCTTCATCCCAATGTAACAACTTCAAACCGATAAGATCACTAGACAACTCAACCAAACTAAACAAATCTTGATGCTTACGAACCAAAGAACCTTTATAATCATACGGTAAACCCAAATCCCATCTAAGATGATCAACAGAATGTAGAGGAAGTGTTCTTTCACTCGTAAGCATAAGAAGCTTACACAGCCTCGACAAAACATCCTTTTCATTCACACTCACAACATTAACTTCTTCATTATAAAGATCTATCGCCTCGGGGGTTAAACCGAAACAAGGAACACGAGTACCTGCACTATCACGACAAGAATCTTCCACGAAGATGTTTGGGTATCTCCTTATAAAAGCAGAAAGCTTTAGCTCTTGAGGGAGACCGAGCTGACCTCGGTGAGTGTTTAGGTGAAAGATTGGTGCTTTGGAGTCGTGAGAAGATGAGATGATTGAAACGAGGTTGGAAACTGCTTTGAGATGTTTTTCGCGGACCACGACGGCGTCGAGTTCCTTGTCTTTAACCCATTTTAGCTTTACGTTGACTAGACCACATGTCTGAATAAAACCAAACCCTTGTCTGTGATTGAACAAACTAGTGCAGTAACTAACCGTTCGCTGCAGCAACCACCGCATTGGTCAGGAGAGAAATCCCTAGTTTTGATTCTCCACTAGATTGAAATTGGATGATTTGAGAACGAGAGTATCAACTCTACGTGGTCGAAGGTATGTTGATGGGTAAGTTCATCAATTTGTAAGTGAGTGTTTGATTACAACTTTCCCGATTGACTGCAAATTACAGAGACGAAGAGGAAGAAGAAGATTGCTAGTTGTGTTTTGTTATTTTAATGGGCCGATGGGCGGGTCGGGTCGGGTCAGGTTTAGCGGGTTCCTATGAAATGGTCAAATCTAATTGAGTTCAGTTTTCGGTTCGGTTTTCAGTTTGGCATTTTTGTTATGATTTTCCGGTTCTAAAAATTTAGGAACCATTTGGTTATTTACAAAATTTTTATTTTTATTTTGGTTCGATTCGGGTAACAAAGTTGAGAATTCTGGTAAAGAAAACTGAATCTAACTCGGTTCGTTTTAATTTCATTTTTTCAAGTAAATTCGGATAATATGGATAAAAACGTTGGGTATTTCGAGTTTCATATTGAATTTTTGGTAAATTGGGTTTGTTCGGATAAAAATGTCAGGTAATTTTGATATTTAACAAGAAAAAAAATATTTGGGTTACACATATTCGCATTTTCGAGTATTTCGGTTTATAGATAATATTTCTAAGATAATTAATTATTAGAAATTAAATATAATTGATATTTTAGATATATAATATGTATTTAAAATTTTTGGATATGGATTCGGCTCTAGTTTGTGTTTGTTTTCATGGTTCTAGAAATATAGAATTTGTATAGTTATTCATGAAATTCGGTTTGGTTTCTATTTTGGTTATTTTGATTCCTTATTATTTTGTTCTTCGGTTTTAGAATCTATTCTCAAATTGAGAATCCATAGAATTATCCTTTCTTAACTTAATTAAAAAAAATAGCTTAGTTTATTAGATTTACTGATAATAATTCAATCGTTAAACGTTGATAATAGCTTTCGAGAAGAGATCCTGACTCTCTAGCTAATGCAAACTTCCACTATTGGTATTGCTTTTACCATGGGGACATATCTTACCTTTGTCAGCAAATTCATTTGAACCATTTCATTTCTCACTCTCACACTTCCTATTCCTTCATAGTTGACATGGTGTCATTTGCCATCTTTACCTGTCCACCACCAATGTGCCCCTGTTTGATATTGTGTAGCAAACTACAAAAGACTACTTGATTTTTTTTTTCTGATGGGTCGATGGGCCCATTTAAGGGTAATATGGGCGGGTCGGGTCGAGTGGGTTATATGAAAAGGTCAAACCCGGTATTGTGTGGCGAACAAAACAACAGAAACTGCGTCTTCTACACAGTTCTCACAAGCATCAACAACAGAACAGGGCTTTGCTAGGGTTTTAACTGGTCTGCTCTGTCTGATGATCTGGACCCTTTATCACTCCTACTCAGTAAATCTCCATTGAATTCAGACAGAAGACATATCTATCGATAAAAAAAAAATGCTCCCTACCAATGGCGCGAAGGTTATTCGCTTGATAGCTCGTCGATGTCTCTCCTCATCGCGTGTACAAGATTTCGCCAATCAGGTTGGTTCTTATCTCTCTCGCTCTCTTTCGTTCTCAATCTATCTCTCCTTCTCTGAGTTTGGAGTTGTGTTCTTTGCAGAAACTCAGAGGAGTAGCTGTTGGGAGTTATAGGAGATTGAATACAGGTTCTGGCAATCCTGCCAAAGTTCTTGGAGATCACGCTTCTAAATCTGGTAAGCTTACAATCTTAATTCGCTATACGAAAGTGTAATTCATGAGCCAAATTAAGTATTTGCCAGAGTGGTTAACATTTATATGTTCTTGTAATGTTAGGGCATGATCGGAATTGGATAAATTTTGGAGCTTTTAATTCTAATTTTGGTTCAGCAAGATCTATTCATGGAACAGGTAGCATCGGAGCTTGATTAGTTCTTACAGTTTGTAGATTGCTTTTGTAATTGAATCTACTAACAATAAAGCTGTGTCGTTTTGGATACCAGGTTCTTCATCTATGTCCGCTAAGGACTACTATGAACTTCTTGGAGTGAACAAGAATGCCACAGACGGTGAAATCAAGAAGGCTTATTATGCGGTAGGTACATTAAGGTTGAGTGTTTGTATCATTTTAGTTTGTTTGTGGCCTGCTGGTTTCTCTTTAATTGATGCTATTGTTATTTCAACTTTTTTTTTCCAGCTGGCTAAGAAACTCCATCCTGATATGAATAAAGATGACCCAGAAGCTGAGAAGAAGTTCCAGGAGGTCTCAAAAGCATATGAAGTGAGTTTTTCTCCACTTCTTAGACGAAATTGTTTAGTATCATCTGTTAGATTCTTATACTGAAGGGGTTAATTGTTGTTTTTTTTTTTGGATTAGATTTTGAAAGACAAGGAGAAGCGTGACCTTTATGACCAGGTACATAGGCATCGAATGTTCTTGCGTTACTCCTCCTTCGATTTACCTATTAGAGATGTGATCTAAGTTTGCTGTAATGTATCTGCTGCAGGTTGGACATGAAGCATTTGAGCAAAATGCTAGTGGTGGGTTTCCAAATGATGGAGGAGGCTTCGGTCAAGGGTTTAACCCGTTTGAAACCCCTTTTGATATCTTCGATGTAATACTTTTCTTTCTTGGTTTTCATCTAATGTGTTCCATTCAAAAGAATATGCTGTTTGGAGTTTTGAATGCAAATGATTACGTTATCAACATCGAATGATTACACCCTAATTTTTTTTTTTTTTTTAAATATCAGCTCTTCAACAGAAGCAAGCAAGATTTTGGAGGTCAAGATGTCAAGGTATTATGGTTTGCTTATTTTTTTCAACGATAAATTTTGTGCTCCACGATTCATTTTTTTTTTCCTTATATACTCTTGTAAGGTTTTGCTTGAACTTTCTTTCATGGAAGCTGTTCAAGGATGCTCCAAAACTGTGACTTTTCAAACCGACCTGGCTTGTAATACTTGTGGTACGCATATATTCTTACTTCAAACTGCTCTCTCTCTATCTATATATATATATATATATATATATGTTGGTATTGTATTTGTTTGTTTATTTTCTTCCTCTGACGTTTAGGTGGACAAGGTGTTCCTCCTGGTACCAAACGTGAAAAATGCAAAGCCTGTAATGGCTCTGGGATGGTCAGTATAATGTTACAAAACTCTAGTTTGACCACTGTGGTTATCATTTTTTTTATAATGGTTTTAAGGTGAGACAGTTATGTTTTTCAGACAACAATGAGAAGGGGTATATTAAGCATCCAACGAACTTGCCAGCAGTGTGGTGGAGCTGGTCAAACGTTCTCAGTATGTCATATATTTGATCATTGCATTTTTATATCATATACACAGTGCTTCTCTGTGTATATATTCATATTATGATTGGTCTGCTCATTAATGTCTTTTGTTGTATACTACTAGAGTATTTGCAAATCCTGTAGAGGGGCTAGAGTGGTTCGAGGACAGAAAACAGTGAAAGTCAATATCGATCCAGGTCATTTATTTTTTTCATATCTATAGTTAATAAAAAGTTGTTTAGTCTTTATGTCATCGACTTATTCTATTGTACACATTTTTCGTTCAGGTGTTGACAATAGCGACACATTAAAGGTGGGAAGGGCGGGTGGGGATGATCCTGAAGGTGACCAACCTGGAGATCTTTATGTTATTTTCAAGGTGATTTTACTGATTTCTAATGGAAAAATCATGTTAATTATGTCACTGCATCCTCAATATCTCGACTGTATTTTACTTTTCAGGTTCGTGAAGATCCGGTGTTCCGCAGAGAAGGATCAGATATTCATGTCAATTCGGTTATCAGTGTTACCCAGGTGAAATAACATGCTCTTGTCAATTCATGTCTCTAAAAGTTCGTAGCTGCTTTAGCCTTCAGGATTTGTTTCTAGCTTCTAGTGCAGACAGTATCTGTGAGAGCTCTTTACACCTTTTTTTTTGCTAACAAAGTACATTATTCCTCCTTTTAATCAGGCCATTCTTGGAGGAACCATTCAAGTTCCAACACTTACCGGTGATGTTGTCGTGAAGGTTTCTACTAATTTTCTCACTTTTAACTTGTTCTAAAATTCTCGCATTGGTTGCTAGTTAACTACGGTTTCGAGTTTCATCTCCCACTTAGTGTAGTTTAGGGCGAGTCTTGGAACTTCTCCAGCAATCTAACTTGGAAACTCTTTTATTGCAGGTCCGTCCTGGAACACAACCTGGTCAGAAAGTAGTGCTAAGGAATAAAGGTGAGTCTTTTTTTATAGTGTAGATAAGTTCAGTTGATCTTTAGCTAATTTAGTGAATGCAATATATGAGAAAAAAAACAGTTTCTCAAATCCATTTGTAATTGTAAGTTAGGACAGAGTGAGAAAACCAAGTGTTGAGTATATTCTTGTGTGTTTACTTATCAAACCACATCCTTTTTGTTTGCAATACGAACAGGTATCAGAGCAAGAAAGTCAACTAGATTTGGGGATCAATATGTGCATTTCAACGTCAGCATCCCTGCGTAAGTCCCACAAATCCCCATGTAAATTGTGTAAACACATTGGAATCTCTTCATATGTTTTGTTGATGTTATTTGGCAGGAATATAACGCAGAGACAGCGTGAACTGCTTGAGGAGTTCGTTAAAGAAGAACAAGGTGAATATGAGAAGCGCACTGCTTCTGGATCTTCCCAGTGAGAAAAAACTACAAAATGCTTATTAGCTGGAAACTATTCATAATGGCAAGTATCAATCAAACCTTGGATCTTCTTCTTCTTAATCGATATATCAGTCAGACATGGTTGAGATCATGTGCGTTAGGATTAGTGAAAGTATTGTTTTCGTGTTTCCTTTAACTAAATCTGCAAATGCTACAAGATAAAAAGAAGAACCGATGCTGTTATTGCCAGTCTTTGCTTGTTAAAGTTATATAGATACCTTTCATCTTTTGGTTCTTGTCTATCCGTTTGTCATTACTTCCTCTCAAGTTTTATGTATCTGCTTTTCCACGTGGACGTGATTTTCTCAATCATACTGCAGTGAAACTGGATATCTTTTTAAAATGTTTTCTTACTTTTTTTTTTTTTAAGAAAGGGCTCAAGTGTTTTCTAACTTGACGAAAGAGAATTGTATAACGAACGTTGACACCACTATGCGTGTTCTGTCCGGTTCTTTTAACGTCTGATGTCGTATAATCACCTCTAACTGAAATAAAATGTGTGATTATAGGTAACTAGGTGTTTTGCCCGCACATGCGGACATAATTTTCGTACAATTTATTATTAGTCTATATTTTATTAATTCAAATCAATATAATAAGTTATGATTCATATTTTAAAATTAATTATAAATGACAACACTCACATAATAAAATATTTTGAAAATATATTTTTACAAATGTGTTGCTTTAACTTATTTTAATTATAATTTTTTCTATCTTAATTTTTTATTTCTATAATAAAAACATATTTTCAAGATAACAATATAATACATAAGAAATATCTTATTTTCTCAAAATATAATTTTTAATAGAATTTTATTTTATTTTATAATAAATTTTATATGAAATTATTTAAAATATGACAAATAATCAAAAGTTATCTGAATCATGAAGAAATTACAAATCAGGTAATTCACTTAAATTTTCTAATAGAAAATATATGTTCAAGATAACAATCTAGTACATAAGAATTATCTTATTTTTTAAAAAAATCTAGTATTATTAGTATACATTCGTTTTACTATTTATTAAATTATCTATGAAATTATTAAAATATGATAAATAAGCAAAATATAAAACCATGGAGAAGTTGATAAATCAGCATTGCTTTCTTTATATTTAACTATCAATATTTTAACTTAATTATTAATTTCTATGATAAAAAGAATATATTTTAATTATTAATTTCTATGATAAAAAGAATATATTTTAAAGATAAAAATTTAATACAAAATAATCAACATATTTTCTAAAATATAATACTATTAATATAAATTTGTTTTTATTAAATAATAAATTGTTTATGAAATTATTTAAATAAGGTAACAAATTTACCTAAAATCAATGAGAAGTTGACAACTAAGCAAATTTATTTTTTATATAATAGTATATAATTATTTTTCAAGGTTGATAAAGACTTAATCATATAATATAAAAAATTAAAATAAGGATAATTATCAAATAAATGAAAATAATTATTAAAATATGAAAATAAGCAAAATAACCTAAAATCATGGAGAAGTTGACAACTAAGCAAATTTACTTCTCAAGTAATGTTTAATTATGATTTATATTTAAGTATTATAATATAATTTTTATATCTTAATTTTAAGTTCTATAATAGGAAAATATATATTCAACATAACAACATAATCCATAATAATTATCTTATTTTAGAAAAAAATATTAAATTATTAATATAAATTCATTTTAATTATATTTAAATATTAAATTATTAATATAAATTTGTTTTAAATAAATATAATAGTTTTATATCTTAATTTAAAATTTAAATTTTATATACAAAAATATATTTCAAGATAACAACATAATTCACAATAATTATCTTATTTACTAAAAATATGATATATTCATATAAATTCGTTTTATTTATAAACAAAATTATCTAAACTTAAGGAGAACATGACACCTCAGCAAATTTACTTCTTGAATAATAGTATAGATATGACGAACAAATTTAACATTTTTATGAAGAACTACCATCGTTATTATCTGATTAAAAAAGTATAAACGGCAATTTTAATTATAAAAGTGTATATAGAACAGTTTCAATATCAATTTCTAAAAGTAGAAAAAGAAGATTCTCTTTTATACAATGAACATGGAGCGTCAAATACAGATACAGACACCCAAATCTAGCACTCCATCTCCCGCCATATCACACAGAACAATAAAAACACGCTAACTTATTTCTCTCTTCCTCCTCCTCGCTTTTGTCGTAAATGGAGTTACCAGTTGTAGATCTGTCTCGTTACCTACAATCCTCCACCAACCAATCGGATCCTCATCTGGGAACCGATCTCCTCGAATCCTGCCGAGAGGTGAGTCGGATCCTGAAAGAAACCGGAGCTCTACTGGTTAAAGATCCGAGATGCAGCGCCGAAGACAACGACCGATTCATCGATATGATGGAGACTTATTTCTCCAAGCCCGATGAGTTCAAGCGGTTGCAAGAAAGACCTAATCTCCACTATCAGGTTTTCCTCTATTTTTTTTATTACAAAACCAGTCATGTGTTGTGATGTCTTGTCTGAACGAAAGGTTAAATTTTTTTTTTTTTTTAATTTCACGATTTGATTCAATTGTTGTTAAAGTTTACACCTTTTTGATTTGGGTTTAGGTTGGTGTGACACCGGAAGGAGTTGAGGTTCCGAGAAGTTTGGTTGATGAAGAGATGCAAGAGAAATTTGAGAAGATGCCTAAAGAGTATAAACCACACATTCCTAAGGGACCTGATCACAAGTGGAGGTACATGTGGAGAGTTGGTTCTCGTCCATCTAACACACGCTTTAAGGTATCGTCTCAATACTATTTATATGTTTGTTTATGAATAATTACTTTGTGGTTGATTGATTAGAAGAAGTGGCTTATGTTTTAGGAGCTCAACTCTGAGCCTGTGATACCAGAAGGTTTTCCAGAATGGAAAGAAGTGATGGACTCTTGGGGTTACAAGATGATCTCAGCTGTTGAGGTTAGGCACTGCCTTTAGTGTTTTGTTTGCATCTGATGCTTGTTTAGTTTTATAACTCATGAGGTGATGTTCAGGTTGTTGCTGAAATGGCAGCAATTGGGTTTGGTTTGTCCAAGGATGCGTTTACATCACTCATGAAGCAGGTCAGTTCCTAGGCCTTGTAATGTTGGTCTTTTCTTTCTTCAGTTATGTTTACATTTTTGTGAAAACAAAAGGAAAAATCATTGTTCAGAACACTTTCATTTAGTTTAAGTATTGGTGAATGGTTGAGGTGGAAAGCAGGGTCATGTATGGATTTTGATTTATTTAACTTTGAAGAGTACCCTTTCTTGTGGAATATCAGGGTCCTCATCTTCTTGCTCCAACGGGAAGTGATCTTAGCTGCTACAACGAGGAGGGGACTATATTTGCAGGATATCATTATGACCTCAATTTCCTAACTATTCATGGAAGAAGTAGGTTCCCTGGTCTATATATTTGGTTAAGGAATGGTGAAAAGGTTGCTGTTAAAGTTCCTGTAGGCTGCCTCTTGATTCAAACTGGAAAGCAGGTATGGAGATGTTACCTCATGTTGTAATAAGTCTTGAGCTTTGCAATAAAAGAAACTGTGCTAACTACTTTGAGGTGTTGTTGCTGCATTGAGCTAAAGTTTTTGGTGCTCATGTGTGCAGATAGAATGGTTGACTGCTGGAGAATGCATTGCAGGAATGCATGAAGTAGTTGTCACGAGCAAGACTAAGGATGCAATCAAATTAGCAAAAGAACAGAACCGAAGCCTATGGAGAGTTTCCTCCACTGTAAGTCTTATTCTTAACTAAGTTCCTTATAAGTTTTCCTGACGTTTTGGCTTATCTGGAAGACTTGTTTCTGCATGTGTTGCAGTTGTTTGCCCACATAGCCTCAGATGCTGAGCTGAAACCTTTGGGACATTTCGCGGAATCATCACTGGCAAGTAACTATCCGGCGATACCCGCAGGAGAGTACGTTGAACAAGAGCTCTCTGTTATCAATCTTAAAGGAAAGAAGTCATCTACATAACTTTACTGTTCTTCCACAAACCAGTTGGATTGTCAGGTCTGAAACATCTGCTTTTGTTGAAGCAGCTGATCTTGATAACTCAAAATTGTGTCAAATTTGGGATTTATAGTTGCTTAATCTAAGCATTTCAAATGTTTTTATCTATTTGCGTTTTAGTTATGTCAGTGAAAACCAAACACATGATATCACAATTTGTTAAACCATGCCCCTATCTATATACCAGTGTTCTAAAATCATCCCGCCTAGGTGGCAAATCAAACCAAACCAAAACATTTGTTTCTGAAAAGTTTAATCAGTAATTATAACTATTGCATAGCTGATTTTTTGAACATTGCTATATCCCCTATATATTAATTGGGAAGCATTTTTTAAGTTACAACTTATAGTACAAAGCTGACGTGTCAGTCTCTCAGCCTTTCTCAAAGTGGACATTAAATACTTTTTTTTTTACTAGAGAAGTTCTTTGTGCGATGGACCAACTTACATTATGTATGTTGTGTATATAATTATTTATTGTAATGTAATGTTAGACGGAAGACAAAATCCCGATCTATTTTTTCTCTACTTTAATGTATACGTTCTCTCTGTACTTTTACAGAGATAAAAGTATCTTCATTGTTAGTTCCCAGAATTGTATTAATATTACTGACATTAGCTAGATCAATATCAACCAAAATAGCAACAACTTCTTCCAGTATTAATAAGAAAAATCTAACATAAAAACATAAAAGTTTTTTGACCTAATAATATTTACTTATCTTCTGGTTCAGTGATGGGTTAATACTTCCAAAGGTATTTTTAATATGTCTACATAAAATTGAATAATTTTGTTATTTTAGATATACTATAACCACGACTAAACATAATATACACCCTATACACTATGCAATATTCAAATTTATTATAAATCTGTTACCCCGCGCTGTGCGCGGGTTATCACCTAGTACTAATGTAACAAGGTTAAGCTTCAATTGTCATAATCAAATAACTTGTATGTTTAACTGAATCAACAGCACTTTGAGTATATAATGTTACAACTCTTTAGACTCTATCATCAACAGCTTACATACAAAGTAGACACGTTATTCATGCAGTCAAAACAGAGGAGGTAACAAAATCACAAAGAACACACAAGAGTGATTCTATGATGTTCCACAACATCCTTTTCCTTTACCTTCAGTCTCTTCACCAGGAACAACAATCTTAGTTCCTTGCAAAAGTGAAGAGTCACCTCCAGATTCTCCTTCCTCATTAGCAACAAGATTCTTTTTGCTCACTATTCTGTAGATCTCAGTCAGAACTGTGAGGAAAGACGGCTCAACATTGATCGAATCAAGAGCTGATGTCTCCATGAAGAAGAGATTCTCTCTTTGAGCAAACTCTTTGGCATCCTCTGTTGGTACAGCTCGAAGTGTGCCGAGATCAGTCTTGTTCCCTACAAGCATGATCGCAATGTTTTTGTCTGCGTGTCCTCTCAATTCTTCTAACCACCTCGCGACATGATCAAAAGACTGTCGTTTTGTTATGTCGTACACAAGCATTGCACCTACTGCACCTCTGTAGTATGCACTCGTCACCGCTCGGTACCTAAAAATAATTATTAGAAAAAGCTAATGTTTATAGAAACCCTAAAACTCTACAAAAAAAACCTAAAACGTTGTGTTTATAGATTATTTGACAAGTAACAAGTATCTACGACTCTTTACCCTTTAACACGCATTAGTGGATAAAAATGATATTTATTTATAGCAAAAAAACAAATGGAAAGTGTACCGTTCTTGACCAGCAGTGTCCCATATCTGAGCTTTGACGGTTTTATTATCGATGGTAAGTGTTCTTGTCTGAAACTCGACACCGATCGTTGCTTTGGACTCGATGCTGAACTCGTTTCTAGAGAATCTAGCGAGAAGCTGAGATTTGCCAACGGCAGAGTCGCCAATCAAGACTACTTTGAACACATAATCAATCTTCTGGTTGAAGTTGGAATGAAGATTTGACATCCTTCCTTACCAAAACTCAGAGAGCTTACGTAGCTCAAAGAGCAGATCGTATGATAAACTTAAGAGTCGATGATGATGAAGAGAGAGTCGAGATCTGGTTAAAGAGAATGAATGACCGGGAAAAAAGAATTATAAAGAAGAAAAGTGGGTTTGGAGCATCGGTAGACGTGAGGGGAAGAAACGAGGAGGGAACGTCAACCAAGTGGGTCCCCACTTGTGCTTTTTCTTTATTTTATCAATTTACTTTAATATATATCACGGAAATTTTGGTAATTTAAGGGGTGGCCAATGCCATTTAGAAAATTAATGTACCAGTTCAACACTCAACAAGTTTGATTTAGAGATTTATTGTTGCCTCAAATTGGAAAAAAGAATCAATTACTACAGTATTATTTCCTAACAGGTTTGGATCGGATCTTATTGGTTTTTGAACATAAACAAAGATAACATTTTTGTATGACAAAGAAAAAGTTATCAATAAAAAACTATGACATTGGTTGCAAGATCTCTGTTTTGAGACCATTTATAAGAAATAAATGAATAAGATCTCTGATTTTATAAAAATTAGGCTTAATTTTTCATTATTATTTTTGATGTTGTAAAGAGGACAAAATAATTTTTATTTTTTCTAAAAAGAGAATTGAAAACATAAGAGAAAATTAAACAAAGGATTAAATTTCTAGATCACTTTTTTTAGAAACATAATAACTATACATTAAAATGCAAAAATGTATTAACAATAATATTTTTGTCATGACCCAAACTCACCCAAATCACAATTCCCAGTTCATTACCCAAGCCCAATCGTTTTGGCCCAAGGTACTGACTATAAAAGCCAATTATTCACCTTGTTTCCTCAGAATTGCATGCAATAGAGAGAGAGAGTTTGGAGAGAGAGAGAGTTTAGAGAGAGAGTTTGAGAAAGAGTGTTTGGTTTTGTAGAGAGAGAGTCACCTGAGCTCGTCACCGGAGACACCACGACCAGAGTACCCGTCCAGCTCGTCACCGCCGACCCCCAACCTAGGCCACCATCGTGTTCTACTCGTCGAGACGAAGCCGTAGACCCCGAAAACACCGAGATCGGACACCGGAGCCGCCGTCACGCGCCCCCGCAAGTTCGCCCTTCGCGCGCGCGTGTGAGCCACGCGCCGCCGCCTCTCGCCGGAGCTCCGCCGTCGCCTCGCCGGAGCCGCCGCCGCCGGTCGCCGTCCGGCCGCCACCGGGAAGCCGTCGCCGTCGCCGCCGCTCCTCCGCCGGTAAGCCGCCGCGTCCTCGCCGGACCGGTGACCGGAGTCCGGTGACTCGCCGGTGACTCGGTCAACTCGGCCGAGTTGACTCGGCGAGTCAACCGTTGACTCGGTCAACCGGTTTAGGTTTGGTTAGCTTGGTTAGGTTTGGTTAGTGTTAACCGGCGGTTAAAATTAATTGGAAATCGGTTAGGGTAAACCGGTTTATTTAATTAATTGATTTTCGGTTAAGGTTAAACCGAATTGAAATCGGATTAGTCTGGTTCAATTGAAATCGAATCCGGTTAAGGAAAACCGGTTGGTCCAATTCGATTTCAATTTGGTCAAGGGTTGACCGGCTTGGGTCAGAGTTGACCGGGTTGACTTTGACCTGCGAGTTGACTTTTCCGTAATTGTCCGTTTTCGACCGTTCGAAGGTCAAACTGACTCGGAATTTCGATCTGATTTCAGATTTGGGATCTATTTGAGCAGCTGGAGTTCATAGAGCCCACTTTTCCCCTGTTGCTAAGGTGAGGGTCTACTTCCGAACGATTCGTATGTGACTTAGAACTTTAAATAAATATAATTTATTTCTATTGTGTTCCGTCTGCGTGAAATCGAGTCTGTCTTTGCTTGATTAGTTTTAGGTTGCTTGCTTAAACCGGAACTAGGTGGTTAGAGGATTCAACATTGATTGCTTCACTTAATGTATCTTTAGTTAGAATTGTTTGGCCGGATACAGAGACGGATTTCTGTATGTCGGATTGTATGAGGGACTACGGACGGCTTCAGTCGACCGGCCGGGTCGTAGTCTAGTGCGGTCGATTAATCGTCTTCGGGCGGTGTCACTGGGTACTATCCCAGCATTGTAGTCCCGCTAGTGGTTAGCGGGCAGCGAGTGCGCGACTCGCTAGGTCCATTGTTTGTTGCTTGGGTGCTTTAGGTGCCATGCTTGTACATTTTAGATTTAAATTATATTTATTTGGAGTGCTATGTCCGGGTCTACGGACTTCGGGGTAGCATCCCATACCTCACTGAGCGACTCCCCTGTTGCTCACCCCTCTTTCTTCCCCTTGCAGGTGAGACCGATCAGCAGGAGTGATCATATCGGACCGGTGCTATTGGNGAGTGCTATGTCCGGGTCTACGGACTTCGGGGTAGCATCCCATACCTCACTGAGCGACTCCCCTGTTGCTCACCCCTCTTTCTTCCCCTTGCAGGTGAGACCGATCAGCAGGAGTGATCATATCGGACCGGTGCTATTGGGCTTTTGGGCTTCTATAGTATTCTATCTTATCTTATCGTATTTTATCGTATTTTATCGTATTGGGCTTATAAGCCTTGGACTTTTATCGCTTATGTTATTTCAGACTTTCGGCTTATGTTGCTGACGTTATTACGGATGTTATGTATTGGGCCTTGGGCCATTTTATGTTTTGGACTTATGTGGCACGGTTTATGATCGACTTTTAAGTATTATTATTAAATCCGATGTTTTCAGTAATTATTATTATTTATATTATTTTTGGAAGAATCGGGTGTCACAATTTTTTTCTGTTAGATTTCAAGGTATTATACTTACTTTTATCATAAATTTCAATTTGTAATAATTTAATTTTACATATTTATCAAGAAGCCTCATTTTTTATTGGATGATAAATCTCTCTGGATCTAGATTACAATCCAAGCATAGCACCGAATCATAACCACATGCCACGGTTATGAAAAAAAATAAACACATGCCACGGTCGGACCGGAACGAACCGATCACCGATACAGAACCGGTTCGTATATCGATCTGGTTTTTATTGGACTACAACAAACCTAATAACCGTAACAGAACAATTGCGACGACAAGACAATTTCACCCTCTTGTCTGTGACCGCTATTCTCTTCCACTCGTCTCGCCGTATTCGTCTCTACCACCGTGAGTCCCTTTTCGATACTTTCTCTACTTCAGAAGCTATTCTTCTTCTTCGTTCGCCTTCTTTAGATACTTCTCGTCTCTTATTACATTTACCTCTAAAATTTGTGCTTAATTCATGGTGAAATCTCCTGTTATATGATTATTACTCTATATACTTGTATGATTGTTTTTTTCTCTTGAAGATTGGCTGTCATTAAAATAGTTAGAGAACCTTAGATTCAAATTTTGCTGTATTTAGGTCTGAGATTGATGTTTTATAGCTTAGTTTCGACTTGTTTGAACACTGTGATGTATCAGGGAAGATATTAATTGATTTAGATTTTGCTATCAATTTCAGCTTTGCGATTAGTTTGAGTTAAGATAAATCTGATGAAACGTTTTCATGATTCATTTAATGTAAATGCTCTTTGATTTGATCAATCCATGTGTAAGGTCATGTATAGTGAAGTAGTATACGAGTAAGAGATTCAAGACAACTGCTGTTTTATAATATTGTGTCTTACTGTTATGGTATTAAAAACTCATTCTATTTTGGGTTGAAGCTAATGTATACCTTCTTTGTATAGTTGATTATCAGGTGGTAAGAAGCCATGACAGTTTTAGATGCGTATCGTCCTCCTCTGTTCAGGTATGTACCTAAGGGTTTCAGTTTTTTTTTTTCTCTTGTTTGATGAATATGTTCATCCGCAGCGAGCGATCTTAAGCTTCACTGTCTTTTTGTTATTCGTATTCAGTATTGCCCCTATGATGGGATGGACTGACAATCACTACAGAACCTTGGCACGTCTTATTTCAAAACACGCATGGCTCTACACGGAAATGTTAGCAGCTGAGACCATTGTTTATCAAGAACACAACCTGGTACTCGATGGACAAGGGTTCTTTTTCTTTTTATTACATCTTGAGTTTATGAGGCGTTTGATTTATGTGTTTACTTTTGTACTACTCAGGACAGCTTTTTGGCGTATTCTCCAGACCAGCATCCCATCGTTCTCCAGATTGGTGGAAGAAGTTTGGACAATTTGGCGAAAGCAACTAAGCTTGCTAATTCGTATGGCTATGATGAAATTAATTTCAAGTATGAGTGTCTGTTTCTAAATCTTTTTTTTCCATTGAGAGATTATAACAACTGGTCTTTTCCATTTGACTGTGCCTTTGGTTTACTGACATGCTGGTTTTTTATGTAGCTGTGGATGTCCAAGCCCAAAAGTAAGTGGGCGAGGATGTTTTGGTGCTGTTCATATGCTTAACCCAAAATTTGTTGGTGAAGCTATGACTGTCATTGCTGCAAATACCAATGCATCCGTCACCGTTAAATGTCGAATAGGTGTTGATGATCACGATTCATATAGTGAGCTTTGTAAGTATTTCCTTACACCTATCTATATTCTCGTGTTTATCTTTAGGCAATGACATATAACAAGTTTTGTAGAGTTCACTTATCGTTGTGATTGGCTTACTTTACCTCTTCGATTTTATTATTTGTATTCAGGTGATTTCGTTCATATAGTTTCTTCACTATCTCCTACTAAACATTTCATCATACATTCACGAAAGGCGTTATTGTCTGGACTTAGCCCATCAGATAATCGTCGAATCCCTCCCTTAAAGTGCGTGCTGGCTATGTATCTCTTATGGTTATATTACTCTTAACACAGCTTGCTTCCAAAGTTTATCTCACAGCTTCATCTGCACTTGTACTTCTCAAATGCAGATACGAGTATTTCTTTGCCTTATTGCGTGATTTCCCAGACTTGAAGTTCACAATAAACGGAGGCATAAACTCTGTGGTTGAGGTGAGGTTTATTTTGATTCCAAAATTGCAGCTTAAAATCAAATATTTACTTCTTACATTAACCTGTAGGCAGAGGCTGCATTAAGGTCTGGAGCTCATGGCGTTATGCTTGGGCGTGCTGCATACTACAAGTAAGTGAGCCTTTTTTTGTATGTTTTTACATTTGTGTTCAGCATCACATGAGTTTTTGTTTCTGTTTTATGTAACAGTCCTTGGCACATCTTGGGGCATGTAGATACTTTAATATATGGAACTCCAAGCAGTGGGATTACAAGACGACAGGTTTTGGAAAGATTACTTTTCTAAAATAGAATTTGCGACAGTTTTAATTGACATCTAATCTTTATATTTGTTATCTTTAAATGAGTTTTAGGTTCTTGAAAAATATCAAGTCTATGGGGAGTCAGTTCTGGGGAAATACGGAAAAGGCCGACCAAATCTTCGTGATATAGTGAGGGTAATGGTGTTTCCAAGGCTCTATCATTATTACATATCCGATGAGACAAGCGTTATAACACAAGTTAAACCTTTTGCTTGCAGCCACTGATCAACCTGTTCCATTCAGAGATTGGAAATGGGCAGTGGAAACGTAGAACCGATGCTGCTCTACTGCATTGCACCGTTAGTCACTTCTCGGTTACTTTTGCTCTACCAAAAACTTTGTCACCTTGTTAACTTACTCACCTCTTGTGTTTGCAGACAATGAAATCATTTTTGGACGAAGTGTTACCGGCAATACCCGACTTTGTCCTGGATTCATCTGCTGTCAAAGAAGCGACCGGGCGTGAAGATCTATTTGCGGACGTACGACGCTTGTTGCCTCCACCTTACCAAAAAGAATCACCCAAAGAACTGGAAAATCTGCCAGGATCTCTAGTTGTTGATGAGGAATGACGAAAGTTTTTGTTATATACATATATTTGTACTCAAATAGACCCTTCTATTTGACCAAATCATGAGAAAGATGCTTAATGTATAAGCCATATAACAAAGGATATCAGCTCCATGTTTCATTCATTACAAACGCTTTATCTTAGCAATGTCTTCAACCTATATGATTCAGTTATCAATGTACAATACAATGTTACACTGTCATCATTTGATAATTTTTTCGGTTATCTGCTGGTTTTAGTATAAAATTTTATACCGAACCGAATTAAATAATCGATAATCGATTCTGAAGAAAACCGTTTAAACCAAGAAAATCGAATGAACCGGTTTAAACCGAAAGATACAGTGATGATGATCTCTTCAATTTGGATCCAAAATCTTCCTTTCAGCCCAAAACCTTCCCATATCAGAGCCGCGAGAAATGGTGATGGATGCGACCAACCACGACGCCGATATCAACTACTCTACGAACTGGAGACTGTCTGGCGGTTCCCTCACAAACTCCATCTCCTTTGAGTCATCATCCTTCTCCACTACCACCGGAAACCACGAATCCGACGACGGAATCCTCCCCGCCGCCGTCGATCACACAACCAAGTCACCGCTCCTCCTCCTCCCTCCGGTTCCTAACGAATCTCCTTGTGAAATCACCAGTACGGTCCTTGATCTCCCTTTCCTTACTTTACTTCCGATTGTTTTGTTCATCGTGATTTCAAACTCCGATACGGTTATAAACCTATAGTTGGAATAGATCGTAAATGTTGAAATCGATGAGAATTAGGATTGGTGATGGTTTTGGTGAAATGTGATTTTTTGGTGGCAGTTACATTTGCACAAGAGCATGAACTAAGGCAAGTCTATATCCGAAGTACTGCACGTGTATACGAAGTGTATTACACCAAGAAGAAGAGTGATGATAGAGAATACCTCTGTACAGTTCGGTGTGGAGTTGCAGTGAGAGAAGAAGATGAAGAAGTGGTTAAGATCATCCCTCTCAATGAGTCAGCTGCTCCCAAGAGTGGACTGGAACCGGTTAAGGATGGTGATTCAGTGGAAAATGGCGATGGACCGACGAACGAAGATGATTGGGTTGATCTAGGGCAACAGGTAATAGGAACTTGGCTTTTAGTATCTTTATAGTATTATAGAGGTATTGGTGTTTGCTTGTCTGTGTTCTTTTTATTTAATAGTTGGTGTTAATTGGGGGGAAATGGTTTTCAGGATCTGTTTGAAGCTACTGCAGAGATTGATGATGCAGAGCCTTGCGTTTCCATTACACTCCGTCTTCTCTCGCTTCAGGATAAAAGATGTGCGCTTGTTGATGAGGTTTATGTTTTTGCTGATCCTGTTGATCCAAGTGAGGCAGACAAGGAAGAAGGAAATGGAAATGGAAACTCGTCGAGTAGTGCGCTTATGGCTATGTTTATGCCCGCTCTGTTACAGATGTCCCGAGGAAAAGATGTCAAAAAGGAACAGGATAGACAAGTTTCTGACAAGTCCAACGGCACGATTCCAGGAAGTTCAAGAAATTTGAATAAATCAGATAAGATCGTGAATGAAGTTCAGCAGGAGACAGATGTCATTGGTGCTAATCACAGAGGAGTGAGCTTACCAGTTTTAGCCAATACTGTTTCAGAGCATGCTGGAGCTACACGAGTACCTGAAGCAGAAATCAGAGCTGATATGCCTTGCAGTAATGTAGAGACTATCCTCCATCAGCTTGTTGACAAGGTAAGCAGATTAGAAACTATCTTGACAAGTTTCGAAGATCGGATGTTGAAACCTATCGGTAGTATTGATGCAAGGCTTCAGCTAGTAGAGGAGAAACTTGAACAGCTAGGCAAGAAGTCATTTGAATCTGAATTGCTTGTTCAAACAAAAGTACCCAATCCGGGTTCTCAGGGCAGTGATACAAGCAGAACTCCTGAAAATCAGTTGGATGGATCGAACAAAAACACAGATGATCCACAATTGGCCTCTTGTGCTGAAACAGTTGTCCCTGACTCCGTTAGTATAGACAATACTGAAGACTATGCTGTTGTATCGCCAAAGAACAGGCTAGATGATATTCTTACAAAGTTTGTAGAACCGGGGAATGAAGATCACTCAATCTCAGGAAATGAGATGATTTCTGCTGAATCTGAGATCGGTAATGAGGAGGTTGGTCATTCTCTTGAGAAAGGATCTTTTGAAGAGAAGCCAAAACGCTCATTGTCTATAAATCATGCTTTAGCATCTGCACTTGCTGGATTATTGTCTTCAACTTCAATCAAGGAGGGAAAATACAGCCAAGCCCTGATAGTAACAGCCCCTGAATTTTCAGATGAAGATGACATGGAGACGGAAGAGAAATCTCAGACTGGTTCTCATCAAGACAAAAACCCAGTTGCAATAGAGGATTTGGGAAACACATCATCTGCTTTGGAGAGCCCAACTTCTTCAGAGAAAGAGCCTGGAATTACTCTCTGTAATGAAGAATGTACTCAGGAGATGATTACTGAAGTTCCTGAAACACTGGGTGATGATGTGGGAGAATGTTGCGATCCTGAGACAGTGGTTAGCGTCAGTAACCATGGTTTAGTTGGAGATACAGTAACATCAAGCACAGAAGCTGAATATTACACCGAGAGGGAAAACCGTAGTAATGAGAACGAGCTTGGAGAACCCGATTCTTTGGATCACGAGCCCGAGAATTCAAATGTAACTACTGATTTGGGAAGTTCGAGTTTCGTCGCTACTAAAGAAAAGCCTGAAAAGGATGATCTTTTGAAGAGTGTTCTCGGTTTTCAACCTAATACCTCGTCGGTCGATTTCCTAACTCCTGTTCTGGATGTGAAGTTTAATTCAGAGAGAAAAGTCTCAGACATAAATTGTCTCTTTGAGTCACTCTTCACGGAAGAGTTTAAGAATGTTCTAGTAGATTGCGACAACGGAGGTTTTGGTGATGATAACTTGGTCTCTGTCGAAGATGAAGAAGAACTAAAAGGCCCACCGACCGATACACTTTCATCTCTGGAGATGGATTACTATGAGCCAAAGGAGATGCATCTACAGTTGAATGGTGAGATATCAACAGCAAGTTTGATATAATAGGAAAATCTGAATTCGGCATCAAATTCTTCATAAGTTTGTAAAAAACAATCATAGTTTGAGATTTTGGAACTAGAAAGTAGAAACGTCCTTTTGTTTTGTAATCTTCGTAAAGATCTTAATGAAGCATAACTAAATACTATGGCTTGTAGCTAATAATCATGACTATTCTTTTCCTGTCGTTTTGATCCCAATTTGAATTCGTCTCTCGCCCAATAAACTTGAAATGGCCGCCGCTAAAATCATAATACTTGTAATGAAAAAGCTGTCATAATTTAAAAAAAAAAATTGAACCGAAATTGAACTAATTAAACCAAGCATAACAGAAATAAACACCGAAAAAGTAGGAAGGAAACCCAATTTGTAGAAACTTTTGGCCCCACGCAATATACAGATGGGCTGGCCCTATTGGGCCTCAGGTATTCTCATAAAGAGACCTATATATAGTCACCCACAAAATTTTCTTGCGCAGCCGCATTGAAGAGTGAGTTATAGCTGCATCTTCCATCTAGGGTTTCACCAAGTCGTCTTCGTCGCATTTCCCGCAAGCAATCATGGTGAAGTTTTCTTAATTTGTTGTCGATTTTGATATCTCGCTTGTATTTCTCTTTGAGTTTTGTTTTTATTTTGGATCTGTGACTCTCTCTCTCAGGTTCTTCAAAATGACATCGATCTCCTAAACCCTCCAGCTGAGCTGGAGAAGAGAAAGCACAAGCTCAAGCGTCTCGTGCAAACTCCTGACTCCTTCTTCATGGTAACTTTTTTTTTATCCCTCCGTAAAAGACCAAATTGGATACGAATACGATGCAAATTAAGTCTGATTTTGATGTTTGTGTGTTTGCAGGACGTTAAGTGCCAAGGATGCTTCAACATGTAAGTTTTCTAATAGTGCCTGAACAATGTTGTTGACTTTTGGTTTCAATTTTTGAATATGGATTGTTCTTAGAATATTAGGAAGAATCTGTCATGTGTTTTTGAAGTAGTGATGTGAATCATGTAGATTTTTTCAACGAAGTTGAATGATGTTTGAGGTTTTTTTTTATTGACAAAAGATTGTTCCGTCTTTAGTAACGCATTGCTTTGTGTTGTGTGTTTTTTTTAAATGTATTGCAGAACAACTGTGTTCAGCCACTCGCAAACAGTTGTAGTGTGTGGAAACTGTCAGACTGTTCTGTGCCAGCCCACCGGTGGTAAAGCTAGGCTCACTGAGGGTTGCTCTTTCAGGAAAAAGTGAAAAATCATCATCTTCTTTTCACAAAATGTTGCTGTGATATTCAGTTTGTTTTTCTTGCTTTACTAGTTTTTATTATTATGTTCCTTGTTACTTTTTTTTTCTTATGAAAAGATTTTGAAGACATGAAACTACTACAGTAGTTGAGTTATTAATCCTATGCTTTCTTTTAGTTTAAATCACATCACAGGCTGCTTCAGTTGTCTGGTTACTTGTTCGTTGTATTTCATGTGGGTGGTTTTGTCATGCGATTGAATAAACATCCATTGATACACTTTTGAATGGCTTGTGGAAAAGGACTGTTATATTGCTAGAAGAAACTTGCACACTTGTCGTGAAGAAGTGAAGCTGTTTGGAGTCCTTGGATTTGAGTGCAGCAGATTAGACTATTTTCTAATTTGATGCAGGGTCTCCCTTCTATCAGCTTCTGTTTTACAATGCTCTTATGGGCCTTTTTCGACCTTGTTGTAACGCATCTAATGGGCCTGTTATTGGAACCTCAAATTCAGCAATCTTAGATGCCTTTTTTTGAATCGGCAATATTTATTAGCCTTTTCGGCCGTAGTCCCTTTTAGCCGAAAGACTAGTGACTGGTGATAGCTTCCAGACATCAGAACAAACTGGTGACCAAAGCAAAATACCTTAGTCATATCTAAGGAAAGTAAACATAATAATTACACTAACTAATGTCTGATAAACGACAAGACAAAGTATATTGTCTAAAATATCTTAGAAATCTAGAGTAAGGATCAAAGTGTGGTTAGCTATAAAGTGTTAGAGAATCTTAGAGCATCATTAACGCGAACGCTTAGGGAGTTGCTTAGGTGATTTTCGAATTAAAAGAAAAAGAAAATTATGTATTTATGTAAACAACGACGCTTAATTAAGCACATAAAGCGTCGGCGCTTGTTGGACACGTGTCATTAAAACGTCTTCTGGATCTCTCTTTCTCTTCGGCGAAGCCTCTACGAAATCTCTACGACTCCGGATCTCTCTTTCTCTTCCGCCATTCCTTGTGAAATCTGGACAACTCCGGATCTCTGTTTCTCTCCTTCTCTCCTTCTCTCCTTCGGCGACTCCGTGTTTTGATCGAAGATAAGCTTTCGTCTTTGCAATCAACATGTTCAATTTTTAACTTTTTTCATCAATTTGGATCTTCTTGTTTCGCTGATTCTCATTGGAGGAAAGGAAGGTTTTGGTGGCTTTTTTGTAGCTTTTTTGATTTTTTTGTGTGTTTTGTTTCTCTGTGAATGCGAGAACAAGTACAAGAATCAGTCTCTCTCTCGTTTGCTTCTTACACTTGGATGATAACATGATTCAGTTCACGATAGCTCCGCTTCTTAAGGCTTTGTATGTATGAATCTCCATTTTTACAAAGATTGATTCTTGTACTTGTTCTCTCATACTCTCTAATTTGTAGTTATCATGATAAGTGGATGCTCTTTGAGCAGCATCACTGGAAAAAAGCAAGGGCAAAGAAGCAGGCTTACGAATTCAAGGTTACACACTTTATCCTAAGAACTGAATTTTTTGTTTTTGTTTTTGCGTACACATTTTAACTGGAGGAAAGGAAGGTTACATGAAAGGTTGATCTTCCTGTCTCTCTCTCTCTCTCTTGTTTGGATCTCTGTCTTTAGCTTTTGGTTTCTTGTAAGTTTTTTTTGTTCTTTCTGTTTTTTACATTTTGTTTCTGTAATAATGTTGTGTTATTATTGTTACGTACTACACGTCGTTTAGGTGTATTGTTCATTTGGGGGCTTGTCTTTTTGATTGGTTTTATTATAGCTGGAAATGAAGAGCAGAGTGCAGAATCTATGCTTGTTTGTTTTGACTTAAAATGGATTGTTGTCTGATTTGCTTCTGTAGGGTGTTGGAAGAAGTAATGGCGAAAAACACTTTCAAGCAAGAGCATAACCAAGGTTTGGTTCTTGTTTTGGTGTTTGTTTTCTCAAAGCCCTTTACTTTTTTTGATCTAATGATGATCCTGTTATTTTTAAACCTTTAGAGAAATATGTTGATATTAAGTGGTGATCAATTAAGCAATGGTGAACTTGTGCTTCCACATTGGTTTGCTTGTGTCTCAGGGAATGAATTTTTATGTTCTGTGTTTGGTTATCTAAAGTTTTTGAGTTTGATTGTTATTAAGTCCGTCTTCATTGTCACTTGTCTTTTACTGTTTTGTCGTTGTGTCACAGACACATGGTGTTTGTAAGGAAAGTGTATATAGAAACTTGTAACACATGATCAAACATTCTTCTTCCAAATTTATAATACATGATCATACATTTTTCTTCCAAACTTTAAAAAAAAAAAATTTAAGCACCTCTAAATAAGATACTTGCAATGGAAGGGAAAAATTAAAAAATTGCTTAACTAAGTTGCTTAACAAAAAAACACCTTAAATACTATTATATTATGACTAAGCACCCCTATAATAGAGTTGTGGGATAATGGTGCTCTTATAAAGCTTAAAATATCATGAACAAAAGAAATTTCGCGGCGGCTTGAAATGTGAGACCAAGCCAAGTAAGTGCGTACACACTTTCATAAAACGAAACCATCACATGCATTCAGTTTCCACCTCTCTTCTTTGTTTTTCTTCTCCAGTTTCATATAACTAAAGTATATAAAGAATAAAAAAAAAAAAAAGTAATTGTTAAAGCGATTTTAAAAGAAGTAGAAGTGAAGTACAACGAATTTACGTCGCCGCTGGATCTCTTAAGCGGTCTGTAACTTTAACGAAGCATCTTCATATTCTGATATATCTTTTCACTAATTGGATGAAACTTTTTTTCTCTGGGAGTGTAACAAATGACACTTTTTGCTAGTTTAGTTGTCAAGTTGCTGTCATATGTAAAGTTAAATCACATTTAATAAACAAAGTCGTAAGCAATGATCAAACCTTTAAATTGACAAGTGGATAATGATTTTGGGCTCCTTGTAGATTTGATTGAATTATCAGTTTTGCTACTAAATGCAGTATTTGGCCTAATTTGGCACTTATTAGCAAAAAAACTGTAAGCATGTAGTATAAGTTAATTTTTCCCATCATTTTCTTAAATCTTTATATTCGTCCTAAATTTAATAGTAGGTCTGATACCTTACAAGAAAGAACCTACCCGACTCATCACCAAAGTAACTCGTTAGGTTACATTTATAAAATCATATCAACATAAAATTAGTATCTCGAGATTCTTCTAACAAATAAAAAGACATTTCAAATGCATACGTTCGTAAAAATCATAGGCACGATGCAATTGGGTGAAGGAACGTGACATAAAGCCATAAAGTTTACACAGCAAAAGCAAGTGATCCACTACATCAAATGGCTTATCTCCACGTGTCTAATTGTAGAAAGATTGCTCCGCCATTAAGTAAACCATGCATATAGCCGTTAACTAAACAATACGACAAGACTCACAAAAGCCATGACTCGTGTGCACTAACTCCTATATAAACCCTTCAATGCTCTCACCACCAATGTTCCTTTCCATGCTAAGTAAGCAACATACTCTTATACATTACTATTCATCTTAGAAAAAAACATTATTATAACAGTAAGTGATTGTGAAGCTTATAGCTATTCCAAAAGAAAAAAATGAAGAAAGCCAAGGCATGGATGAAACATATCACGAGTGCTTTCAAAACAAGACTCCTCATGTTGTCCCTCGTGAAAGACAAGAAGCTAGGGTTCCGTTCTATTTCCAACAAGATCCACAACCTCCTAGGCCATGCAGACCAAGACCAAGACAATGGCCACAACAACCAAGACGAAAGCAAGGCTATAATCCTCTACAATAATGGGGTATCCACAGTGCCTAACCATGAGAGTTACGACGTACAAGAGGAGGGAAACGACAAGTCTCCTGATATGACGCACACGTTGTTCGAAGGAGAGGAGGATTTTGAGGAGTTGGAGAAATGTCAAGGAAGTTCTGTGATAGATATGGTTAGGAGCTCGAAGGAAGAAGAAGGAGAGAGTTTCAAGCTTGAAGATGAGATCGACCATGTTGCAGATCTCTTCATTTCAAGGTTTCATAAGCAGATGAAGCTTCAAAAACTCTTGTCCTTCAAGAGGTATCAGGAAATGCTAGCCCGAGGCACTTAAAATCATATCTATATGTACACATGCATGTTGTCACACAGATATGACGAAAAGATTCATGTTAAGCTATTTGCTTGCGTTCATAATCATAATTGATCCTTCGAGCCTCTTACTTTCTAGGATCATATATTATGATATCATCATGTATTTTCAGTGTTCAAGTTGGGTTGAAGGAAGGATCTGTTTTGTAATGTGTGTGTTTTTTTTCCTCCTCGAGGTCTTTACTATATACGTCTAAGATCTTTGATGTGTTAATATTACACATTCTTCTTAAATATTGAATTCAGATGTTATGTTAAATAATTTAACTAGTTTTCAAACATGTTTATAGAACTTATATTAGAGGCCCCTTTGGCTTATTACGGATATGTCATCTTCCTTTTTTAAATTGATTCATTCATTGATTAAATTGAATACAATAATACGTCATTTTTTTTATATCAGACATGTATTAAAAAGTATACAGCCCCATCAGGGGAGATGGTCACAAGTAGCCATGCGACTTTAAACCGAACTGAACAGTCCGAACGAGCCGAACCAAAATTTTGAGTTTTCGGTTCAGTCTTAAATTTGGTTTAGTTCGGTGGGATTCTGAAAAGTTATACGGTTTTCGGTTGGGTTCGGTTTTTGATTTTCAAAAAAAAAATTTTAAAAAAAAACTGAGAATATCCAAAAATAACCGAAAAACCAAAAATATACGAACTTAACCAAAATAACCGAAAATATATGAAAATATTTTTTTGAAAAATTATACCGAAAACCAAAACAACAGTTATTTTCGGAAATAATTTTGAAAACCGAAACTAACCCATAACCTAAATGAAATCTAATTCGGTTAATTTCAGAATTGATTTCAAAATTTTCGGTTAATCAAAAACCGACGGTTTGGTTCGATTTCGGAAAATCGAAGTCGCAGACCTAGTTACAAGCAAAGAGAGAACTGATTTTGTCACTGAATCAGCCTCCCTCATTAAAGTTTCTAGAGATAAAGGAGAATATGTCATCTTTATGTTTCTATTTTTGGTCAAGAATGCAAGTTATCATGGCCAGAATTACAAGCATTTTAGAATTGAGTAGTCAACAAAGAAAGAAAGAAATAAATTCCCTACGCCTACGTAACCCACCAAAGCAATCTGTTAGACTATTTCAAGAACTTGGGATGAAAGAAATAACGTAACTGAAAAACCTCTGTCACTGAATGAATATCGTCAAGCACAGTAGCGGATACCGTCCAGCAAGCCCATCTCGAAAACGGAACAGCTCAGTCTCAACTCCAATATGCATATCACATTACCCAAATTTAGCCTACAGCTCAAATCAGAGTGCCAAAAGTAAAAATTTGGACGTGGCCTTCATGAAAGGGTCATCACGAGTTTAATGGGCCAAAATATATGTGGAAATATTGCCAAGTATAGGTCTAAGTTTTATTTTGAATTGTTTTTCTTGTCTATAAAGGTAACTAAAAACAGCGGAGATCCTTGTAAACTTTTTAGGTTGTAGAGGTAACCAAATCGTCAATATGGATTTATAACATGTGCCGAATCACAAGAAGTTGTAGTTGGTGGAATCTGAGATTATCAACTAACATGAGAGGTCCGTGAGTATACTTATTCTTAAATGATCTAGTTCATAAATGTTTGAAATTACTATGAAGTGATTGTGATAAGAAAACTATATCAATACGACAAATTGACAATGTAGGTACACTTCACTTACACAAAGAAAGAAATAGAAACGGAGAAAAAGACGAGGCTTTTGTAACTACTAGAAAAACAACGTTTTTATTAAATAATATAGGTTTTGTCTCATTCCGACATGCAAGAAATCGAACGCGGGTTTTGGTGGGTGTGGCCCCGATAAACGGCGTTGAAACAACAATTGTCTGAGTCTTGTGGGAGGGGCGTGGGTAGTGCTCGTTGACACGCTACTACTCAAAGACAAAACAAGTGGCATTCTCCTTCTAGAACAAGTAACAACCACCACTCCTTTTGTTTTCTTTGCCTCGTATCACGGCCAGCTTGATATTTTAAAATAATACATATAAAACTTATCTTTTTTAAATATAGAGTTATATTATTTTTTGACAAATATTTGCAAAAATATAATGCATGCAAAAAATGGGTAATATCCAACTATCCTACTGGTATTTTCGGGATAACGACCTATTTCCACACCAAATATATCATATAATAATAGATCCATACAAACTTTGAACATCATCACAATTACACACAATTAAACTATATCTATCCATTTCTCTCCAGAATGAAAGATCAAAAGTCGCTTCCAAACATACGAATATTAAGTTTGGTTTTAATGGTTTATAACGTTAACCAATATTAAATTTTATGGTTTCAGTTGATACTGATACAACATGACCCATACAAAGTGATTATGACTCGACCCGAATTTCTATTAATCTTTTCCAAGTTGATTTATCTCTTTTGGAACCTTAAAATCTACAAAAATCAAAAAATAAAACAAAGAGAAAACCCTAGAAAGAATGAGTAACAAATTTGAATTTTCGATTGGAACCACTGATCGGGTCATATGAAGTTTACTTAGGTTAACCACTGGTTTAATTTTAAAATGAAGAATACTAAACCTGCTTTAAACCATCATTTATTGATATTAGTTCATCTTTTAAAGTTTAAGGGAAATCGGGTTTCGAACTTTCATTTTAGAGAGAAATAGATTCATATAATTAAATTGTACAACAATTAGGAAGAGATCTAAATTTCGTGTGAATCTATTATTATACAATAGTTATGGTGTAGAAATAGATCGTTAATCCGGTATTTCTAGTAAGTGAGACTATGAGAACAGTATTTTAAAAGCCGTGATCCAACGCATAACACGTATATATTAATCAAATGTTTAGATTATTAGTTAATCGGCATACATGTTTATAAATATTAATAATATATTAAATCTATATAATATTTTATATTGAATATTATTATTATTTATATATGATAAGTTTATATTATTTTATTACATAAAATTCTGTGTTATAATATATTACTTATAATTAAAAATATATATTATTTATTATTGTAATTGTTTTGTGATTTAAAAATAATCACCACGATCTTATAAAGCTTATTGTTGAGTCAACAGTGTGAAATGCTTTTTTAATTACGAACATTGGTTATGAGCATCAGAAATCAAAATCAAAACCATTTTTACTCATTGAAGATATGATTACGATTTACAAGTATATAATAACGTTGCAGTAACTTCATAATTACATGTTTACAATACTAAATCTGCAACTAATGCATCTAGTATCTTATACTTAAGTCCGGCAATAAACTAACTTCCATACAAAGAAACAAAAAAAGAAACTAAAGAATACAGCTCATATGATTTTTTTTATAAAAGGAAAAGAATATAAAAATTAATATCTATCTGCAGTTTATTGTCTTATATTTCTACTTAATCGACGGCCCAACTTCTATAATTGGGACTAAAAGTTCTCTTTGTGGAAGTCAAACTTGGTGGTTGTCTTTCGAGAGAAATCCAAAGCCAGATTTTTCAGTTCCTTTGTCAATCCTGGTGCCCCACAATAGAAGACTCCTGCAATCAAATACCAATTAGTATTCAATCAAATTAAACTAACCAATAATTAATTAAACCGGTCAAGGCTAGTTACTCACCGATTCGTTTGCCAGGATGCTGAACAGCGATCCTCTTGTAAACTTGTCTCCAGTTAGGTTTAGCGAAATGGGACTTGACACGTGTCCCAGACACAACATCAACACCGTTCTTAGCGTGTTGCAACGACTGAAGCATAGCAATAAGAGCAACCCTAGCATCACCATCCTCGTACACGCTCGTGCAATAATTATGAAGCTCGATGATACCTTCCTCGTCCAATTCCGAAACCTCGTCCATTATTCCCTTAAACCACTCGAAAGATCCTTGCTCTCTTGTCACCCAATAGAAATAAGCTTTCCTCGTCGTAAACCCTTTACTATTCCCATTACCATTGTTGTTCTCTATGTCGCCGTCACGGTCATGAGACTTCATGTTGTTGATAATGTCCTTGAGGATACTGATCATAGGCGTGGCTCCAATGCCAAGACCTACAAGAAGTACCACGTCGTATTTTTTGTAGTCTTGTGCTGGAGCACCGTAAGGACCGTCGATAAGAACCTTTGGGAAGGCAACAGAGTCTCCACCGTCTGCTCTGAGCAGACCGCTTTTACCAGCGGTTGGAGGTTTGCATACTTCAGAGAAGACGGTTCTGAGTTTGCGTGTCCAGTCACCGAGCGTGCGGATGTGTACGCTTAGGTAGTCGTCTCCTGGAGCAGATGTGATGGAGAAAGGATGCCATTCGAAGGGAGATACGGCTCTACAGTTCACGAACATGTACTGTCCACTTTTGTATTTGAATCCTTGTGGCTTCGTCACGTGTAGTGACAAAACGTTCCCAGGATAAACAGCCACCTGTTGATACATGCATACAAATCTTTAGAAAATCTTCAAAAGTAAATATTCCTACTTTACTTTAAAATTTAAGTGTATGTTGAACATATTTTGTTTTTTATGTTTTTAGTTAAAAATCATATTTGTTTTTATGTTTCTATGAATTGTTAGCTAGAAGTAGATTTTCGAATAGAGAATAATATTTATTGTTTGTTCTATTCAAGTCTTAGTTTTTCTATAACTCTTCAAATTTGAGTGGAATGAATTTGATGTCAATATATATATATCTTACCTTGAGAATCTTAACCGGTTTGATGCTTGATCTTAAAGCACGGAGCAACCTCTCTGACGCATACATAATCATTGGTACAGCCAAATACATCCATGTCTGAAGTAATAACACAAACAAAAAGTATTAATTAACCAGAAAAGAGAGATAATTAATTAATTGTAGAGAAGAAAGTAACAGATAAATCATGGTTTGAAGAGCATACCGTTTTCTGATACCAAATCTTGGTGAGGTAGAGCTCTATACCATGGACAATGAGAAGAGCATAAACAATGATGAACAAATGGTGAGAGTACCAAAAGGCATTGAAACCAGTAAGCTTCTTGAGGAAATTAGGCAAGTTAAGCTTGTTACGACGGAACCAAGGCGTAGCCAATGTAAAAGCTATAGCCATTAGCACAACCATTATAATACCAGTCACACCTTCCACTCCCTTCACAAAAAACCAATAGCTCTCCGGTTGCTCCCCAAAGTAAGGTATCATAGGCTCATAAGTATCCTCATCCGCGGCAAGTAAACGAGGGAAATCACAAGCTAAATGCGCAACTACATGGAGCAAAGCCCCGACCACAATCCCGCTTGCAATAACCTTATGGAAGTTGAGATTGTCATCGAACGGTACGACAACGCCTAGCTTAGTCTTGTTCCTTAGCCAAGTGATGGTGTTGCGACAAACAGGCAGCAAAATGAGAGCCATGTTGAACTTGAGAGTCTCTGCGCCTCCTTTGGCGACACAAACGCAGTAACCCATCACGCCATAGGCCGCTTTGTTCCGGTACTGAATGAATTTGTAGGCGAATAGGCCACCACAGATGCCAAGCCATAGCATCATGATCCATAGTCTCTGCCAGTTGTCAAGCACGAAATACTTGATTTTCTCCGACCATCGCACCAGAGGGTTGGTCTCCTTAGCTGGTTTCAGCTTCTGGCTTATCATCTGGCTTAGTATCCTACTGTCTCCCATCCTTACCGACTGGTTTGGTGCTTGTAGCAGCAGCATTTCCAAGTTTTCGATCTGTTACATCAGTTTCCATTTCAAATTATTTAATAATAATAATATACAAAAACATGGCCAGATTACACATCCAAGTTTTTTAAAAAAAAATTATTAAATTGTCAAAAAAGAGTCAAAATTAGTATAGAAATATTTATAATTTTCTATAAATCTCAAATATGGATCTGGTTACAAAATCACTATTTCCATTTTTACAGTTTTTTCAATATTACACAACACTCCCACGTTTAGCTGCTCCCTAATATCTAGCACGTATTGACTAGTTCTTCGATTATTATTTTATATTTATCTTTATATTATTAGTTATAGTGTTTTATGTAAAATATATCATTTATAGACGCCACTGATTACGTAAACGCCAACAACATTGACCATTTTAGATTTTTATAACCTTGGTTTTTTCTTTTTCAGGTTGACTCTAGTAAATATTATACGTGAATTTACGATATATACCATTAGTGACTGTGAGTGGTTTTAGGAGGACCATACGTACCATGATGTAACCAGCATTGTCCGGGTCCAGCTCTTCCATTATCAGTGCTGCATATTCTTTAGCCTGCTTTTGAATATTCGAGAGCTTGTTGGCTGAAGCACTAAGACTAATAATCTGCAATTAATTACCACAAAAAGTGTTATCTTAGAATTAAAACCTTAACAAAAGTAATAAATACCACTCTAATATCTATAACTATTGTGTCGTGTTCACATGCAGTTAATGAGGTTTGTGATGTTAACAGTAGATGTCAGCAGATAAAGTCAGTGGGATTTGCGCGTGGACAAAATTTCAAGATAATCAACTAAAGAATATGTATATTATTTTGTCACTACTTAAGAATATTAGACATAATAAAAAAATATGAGAAAAGTTTGAATAGTTTGGTGTCTCACCTCAGCGACCTCTTCTTCTGTTACTCTTCCATCTTCATCTTTGTCCACCCTGACGACATAATGACATCATTTATTTAGTTACAAATACACTAAACTTCATAAACAATTAAAACTATTAAGTTATAACATCGGTCCTTAGCTCCTGATGACCGTTTATCTTTAAAAATACAAATAATTAAATGACCATACTAATGATATATTAACAGTAGATATTAATGGGTTAGGTAAAGATAAGAAAATACTTACATGTCAAAGAACACTTGGAGTTTGGCATCAAAGCTTTCATCTGAGATCTGTTCCCAAAAGAGTCTAAGCTGTTCCTTGGTGATTGCATCACCGGAGATGTTATTACGGCGAGCTAGTGCCCTGAATAGCTGGTCAGCAAAGTCTTTTGATTCCTTGTTCATTCCTAAAGATCAAAGTTCAAAATAATGAAAAATAAACAAAAATAGAAATATAGTACAAAGTTATACAAACATAATTGCTTAAAATAGAATTGAATTACGTACCTAAACACTCCCAAAACTTGGAAGAGAGTAAGAGACCGTTGGAGTCAAGAGAGAGTTTATCAAACCGTTGCTCCACGGCTGGCCACGCTGCTGTCTTGGTGGCGATGAACTTTAGACCCTTGAGAGCGTGAACCGCGGCGGAGCTCGTGCGGTCAAACCGCCTCGCGGCGGGGGCAGAGCGTCTTGAGAACACGCGTCGGAGCTCGCGTGAGGCGTTCTTGATGCGAGAGGAGGTGCTACGGAAGAAAGAAAGCGACGCTGAGTTGTTGAGGTTGCTCTCAAGCGTCTTCTTGGTGAGGAGTGTCAGCTCTGGATCCTCATGAGCTCCTCCTCCAGGACTTGCTTGCTGGACGCTGTGGACGGCCACCGAGTCGTCCCTGATGTCTAGCGTGATCTCCACGTACTCATCGTCTTCATGACCACCACGTCCACCACCACCGTCGCTGAGGCTGGTGCTTCTCGTGGGAAGATCCGCAGCAAATCTTGCGTTTTTCTTGGACGCGCGTTTGGGGCGGCCAAGGGGGCCACTGAAGGCGGACCGGTCGCTTGCGATGCTTTCGTTGTCGGAGTTTGTGTCTGAGTGAGCTCCTCGTAAGATCCCAAGTTCATGGTCCGTTCCTGAACTCCCTCGTCTCATTTTGCTTCAAGTCTAATGAAAAAAATATGCGTAGAGATCTCGAGCAAGATAACAATCTTTGTGGGGTTACTATATTAGTTGAGAAAGAAAAATATATGCTACCAAAAGGTGGTTTGATTTCTTTTGTGTCTATGGAAGAAATTGATTTTTGGAGAAAGTATATATATAGAGTAAATATAAGGGAGAGATGAGATGAATGGACATGCAATATGCAAATTGCAATTTCATAATCCAGGAAGGTAGTGGGAAAGTATAGATAGGCTCCGGTCTGGTCAAACCCTTTACTGACCATTTATTTTGACTTTTTTTCCATCGTGTTTTTATTTTTTTTTGTTTGTTTACATTTCTGTTCATTCCTGTTTTCTATTTCCACCGAGTCGCATTATACATTTCAACACCGAGTCATTAATGCATCTATATATAACAACCCCGTGTGATTTTGTACAGAGGAAAAAATGACCTAGATTTTTGAAGGGGATGGTTTACTTAGGTTTGTTTAAACTTGAAAATTAACTATAGAATATAATCCTCTTTGTTTGACAATCACCGAAAGTAAAATAATAGCTATGACGTTGCCTCTAACATTTGACATGTAATCTGTTTTCAATACATACTTTAATTACCTAGTGTTATAGCCGGCTATGCTGATCATTCATGTACAATTCCATGTGAGATGTATCTTTTTTTATTTTGATTTTTTGTTTATTTACTAAAAGAGTCAACTAGCCATATACTATAGTTGTTAGAAGTAGCTAGTTTACATTTATATCGTCATCTACTCGATCGTTACCAATTGTGGTGCAACAGGTGGTCGCGAACATATCTCCGTATCAGTGTAATAGGAAACCATGGCTTACGTCTTAATATGTAACAGGAAACCATGTAGTAGGAAATTCAGGCATAACATACGCAAAAAACATACGTCGTCTGCCTTTACGTCTACTTAGCCAAACGCGTGAACCTCACGAGTGACATGTAATAGGAAAGCTAGGTACATCATACATAATACAGACGTAAGCAATCTTGGCACAATATCCTTCAGATACCCGTTATTGATCATTTCTTAGGACATTAGTAATCTCGATTTTTTAGTCGAGATTCTTAACTCATGATTTGACATTTTTTTTTGTTTTTACACTTTTCGACTTTTCGATTAAAATACAATTCTTATATTTTTTATTTTAAAAAACGGTTCTTAGTTTTTCTTAGTTAAAATCTAAGAAAAACTAAAAACAATTTCTTAACCGAATCTAAGTATCCCAGTTAAGAGAATAAGGTTAACGATGATCGTATAAATATCATTTTAAGAGCCGGTTAAAAGGTATATTTTAAAGTTTACATTTGTCGTCAATATGTTTTTCTTTTGCTCTAGTGTTGAAGTATTTTACATATGTAGTTCATGAACACTTTATGATATGTAAATTTACAAAATAAAAAATATAGGTTCTGGAAAGAAAGATAAATCTAAGAGTGTTGCTCTAAGAATGGGACGCAAATGAGTAGGAAATAGAGTACTGGCAGCCGGCATGAACGGACAAGACTTTTGTTCATGATTCATGAGCCATGTAGCTCGGAGGCGGCCACGAGAAAAGTCAGTTTTAGAGACTCGTACAATTTAGGAAAATCATATGGCGACAAAACATAAGATATAATTGAGCGCACATAGTATAAATGGTAGGTTTTGTTTTGGTTTGTCCCTATATTATATTAAATTGGACCGATGAGAACGATCGGTGTGGTTATATTAGTGGACGAATCTTTGACTTATCTCCTTTGCTATGTATATCAAAACTGTGGTATGATAACAAGGTTTTTGATATTACTACCAGTCATATATATACTTGGAAGCCATAGCTAATTAAGCCTAATTAATGTACGTATACCATCATAAACCTTCTAATAATGCTTATAAACCGAAACGTGAACCTTCCATTAATTAATTAACTGACTCATATAGTAACTAAGTCTTTCATTAAATCAATGAACATTCTTCACATGTGTGATTGAATTATTTGTTTGAAATTTTGTATTTTAATAAAAGTATATGTTTGAAATTTTGTTCTCCTCATGCATATACGTTATATATCTATTTTCAACAAGACTTACTTTTATAGGCATGCCATGAAGGTCGACTGTTATTCTGTACGTTGACAATGTCATATGCCGTACGTATTTATAACTAGCCGTGTTTTGTGGACTCTTGTAAAATCAATTTATATAGGAAATCTAGTCTTTCAATGGCTGCGATTTATTTTCTCTTTGTTTTCAGTGCTTGAGAATTTTTTACTCTCTAAAATTTTAGTTTTTGAGAAACAATAAAAAATTAAATAGTTTTGCTTTGTTAAAATGCCTAACGTAAAATGGCTACATTTTTCTGTAACACGTAAAATGGCGACATAAAATCTAGAAAAGGTACTTAAATATACATTATTGTTTAAATTAATTTTGTAAACAAAATGATTAATAAACATTTATCAACATTCAAGTATAGTTGACAATGTCAAGAGTTCCCTCATAACTTACATTGAATCATGTTTTGAATATTTATAAAAAGTATACATCATCTATAATACATGGTTTCAGTTTCTAGCAGATTTTATATATCAAATTGGTTGAAAACCGGGGGAATATTTCATTTTATAAAAAAGAAAGATGAAAGTTGAATAATGAAAAATAGGTGTAAGAGGTTGGTGTGGTCAATACAAAGTGGATTCAGATATTATTGTTATTAACAACTTTGGTCTCCTCCCCTCTTAAAAACATTAGTGCTCTTAACTTCTAGAAACCTTTTACGTGAGACTTTTCATTAGTTGGTAATCTTCCAATACTAATCTACTAATTAATGAAAATAGTACATACGATGTAACTGTATTAGAAACGATGTGGTTGAAACATTATAAAAGATATAAGCAGAAAAATGTGAGATTCGATTTACAAGAGAAGAATAGATTACATTACATAGGTGAATGATGTGTAAACTTATGACAGAAACATTAAGTTTTTGGTTGATGAAAGATGGAAAAAAAATAATATCTCAAAAGAATCAGACTCAAGTAATAGTACACTTGCTTCACTTCTTTACTTCCCTATTCCAATTAAATGAAGCTGAAAAAACAAGAACAACATTTTGAGTTCCAACACAATAACTTGAACAATGATGAAACGGAAGAAGAAAAAAAAAGAGAGAAAAGTGGAATTTACGAGATTGTTAATGGGTTTCTTCCAATAGAATCCATGAATGAGTAGAAAGACAAGATTGCAGGCAATGAGAACGTAGATGGGTAAGGCGTGTATTCCCATCCACTGTAACACAAGACTTGCTCGTTTGTATCCATAAACATCAACCTATTGACACAGATAGTGAGGGAGAGAGAGAGGTTTACATTTTACAATGTTACAAAGTGACGCTTCTATAAAAGAAGAGATTCAAGCAAAACAAACCATTAGGTATATGGCGGAGAACAGAAATCCAGAAACACCTGCGGTGACACACACGTAACTAAATGTGTATAGAGGTTTATTTAGACGCATACCTACAAAACCGAAAAATAAATAACGTTACGAAACTGTTTTGTGATTATGCTATTTCGATGCAATCTTGTGATTTTATAAGGTATTCTGATCTTGCAAAGAAGAGTCAAGGAGAATACCAAAGAGGTCAAGTGCGAGACCTAACATCAGAAGACAAAAAGAACGTAAAACCCACTGGTTCAGACGCTTTTTGTGGTGCTGTAAGAAGTCAATTTATGGTAAGTTAACAAAAATGCTAACGAAACTGATACTTTTACTAAAACTAGAGGAAACAGGCATTACAATAATGATAAAATCTACCTTGAAGTGGATGATAATATGACCGTAATGCAAACCAACTAGGCATGTAACGGTGGCCATCAACGAACTACAATAAACAAACTTGCAAGTTAGTTTGATGATATTAACTCATATTATTTGCGAGTATCAAAGGAGACCTGAGAAGGCCTTCGGGATCAAAGGGAGCTTGACACCAAGAAGGAGCGTCTAGTGGTAATGGCCCATTGCGTGGAGAATATATACTGCATTGCTGATGAAGAATATATAAGAGATCAAAACGTACACAGAACATATATTGAGAAAAAAAAACACATGGTTTAAATCTAAGAACCTTGGTCCGTGCATATACAGGTTTCCTGTAAAGATGCTGTATCCCTAGTAACATACGGTCAAGCATTCCAACTGCATTACATCCTGGTCCAGTGTTACCTCGTACCCCACATTTCACCTTCAGATTCTTAAACAGTTTAGAAACGGTACATAATATTTAAGGTAAGGTAAGAAGAAGAAAAACAATATCCAACCAAGAATGTTGTTGATCCTTGGTCGTCTGTTAAAATCTGATATTCCCAGTCTGGCACGTATAAGCCGTATAGCAAAGACAAATATGTTGTTGTAATAACAAATGCCACCACCCTATCAGATTAAAAAAACAGGATAATATCATATGTATAGAATTGCAAGATTAAAGTATTGAGATATGAAAGATTAAAGACAGTATTACCAGTGAAATCTGTACTTCTTGATCATAGATAGCTCTGTGTTGACATTATTGTTTCCTTTAAACCAAATCTCACACAATGCGGCAACTAAGTATGCTATCGCTATTCTCTGAAAACATAACACAAACAAGCTATTTAATACATTTAGAACGTTACATGTTTTAAGGCAGAAAACTATATATATATACCTGTAATATTCCCATGTATCTAATTTTGTCTACATCTATTCCATAAGTTAAGTTGTTGATGCCATGAATGAATCCTCCTGCAAAAAAGTTTTAAAATTCATATATTGTGACAACTGTTAAACTAGATTGGTTTCCAACCTAAAATCAAGTGGTGATAAATAGACTATTAAGGATCTCTTACAACTATCGATGTATCGATGTAGGACACTTTGTGTGTAATTACAACTACTTACTACTTGAGGACTCACTGAACATGGTTAGAATGTAGAGCCAAACCTTGAAGAAAAAGACCAAGAAAGAGGAGTTTCAAGGATCGAAGCAAAGCCTTTCTCGTTGCAACATACTTGCATGACAAGTTCTGTAAGTAACAAAAAAAAAACAGAGGAAGATCAGAACCAGAGCAAAAAACAAGTTAATCAAAAGAAGTAGCAATATCTATCATATTACCTTATAAGCAAAGGCAAGAGAAACACCAACAATGAAAAGAAAAAAAGGCATGACGAAATCAGCAAGCGTTACACCATCCCAAGGTGAATGGTTAATAGCTGGAAAGATCCCTCCAACATCATCCACAAGTATCATCAACTGTTTATATTACAATTCAAACACATACACACAATACTCTCTGAAACTGAAGTATACGTAAGAGATTTAAACTGTTAGGTAAGCGATGAAAACAAGGTAAGAGATAGACTAACGGCGACGGTGAGGCCACGGAAGACGTCAAGAGAAACTAATCGTTCCTTGTCGGGAGGGAGAGAAGAACGGTAAGAAGAAGAATAAATTTGGAGAGAGGAAGCGGATTCAATGTCTTTCTTGTCACGCCATTGATCACCATCATCGTCGGTGCCTTTGATTGGTTCGTACATTGCCAGTTTGGTCCGCATCAAAGAGAAAGCAAATCTATCTTCTTCATTAAACTAACTGTTGCGTCTATATCTATGGATAAATATATATATTAGTATTTATTGAGTAACAACTAAATCTTTATCTTAACGAGAATGGTATGAGGCGAGCCACTTGAGCTCTTTGGTTCTTAAATCACTTTTTTTTTTTAAACTTGGTATTCGCACGTGCTAGTCTCACTTGGGATTGGACCTTCAGTTTTTGCGGTCAGTTACGAACTTGATTCGCTCTCAGAAGATTATCATGATTCTATTCAGACCCCACACCAACTCGGTATAAATTGATTGGATCGGTTCAAACCGAACTCTCATTTTTTAAATAATTAAATAATCAAATATATATAATCAAATATTTACATTATATATAATAAAATTATTCTACATATAATATATTATATTTTCCGTAATTAATGAAAAAATAAAAAATAATATAAATCTACTATATATACGGTAAATAAATAAACACTATATAAAATTAAAATTGATAAAAAAGCAAACGATTGATTGGTCAAATTATCATATTTATTTAATTTACAGCTAAAGTCTCATATTATATGAATATTTAAAAATAAAATATGAAAGTCAAAAATATATTTGTTTATTTTCTTCTTAAAAAGAATATAATTAAATAGAAAATCAATAGTCAAATATTGATTATGAAATATTAAAATTTAATAATAGTTGAAAACATATTAATTAGAAAAAATTTCTATGATATACCTAATTTTTTTTTTGTCACAAATATAAACCTTAAAAATAAAAATGATCAAAATAGATTTAAATGTTCTATCAAAAATAAGTAAATATACACTTATATCATTTGGGTTTAACTAATCCTAAACATTTTGTTTAGATTTGAAGAGTTGGGTTATGGAGAATTGATTTCAAATTTAGAAAAATGAAAAAAAAACTTTAAATTTTCTAAATAAAAAATATTACTTTGGTCATTTTAATTTTTGAAATCTATTTTTGTGATAAACATTTAAAAAGATCTTTTGAGATAATTTCCCTATTAATTATTGAAAAATTATTGCATTATCGTTATTTGACCAATTTTTTCAAATTTGAGTTTTAAACTGAGCTCGACTTTTTGAGTGAGTTGGTCCGATCCGGTTTATAAAAAGAAAATTAGACCCAATAACTATGAAAAAACAAAATTAGCATTCTAACCAAAATTCTTTTCTATCTCTCTTTAAAGAACTAATTTTTTTTATGACTATTTCGCAAATAAACCCTTTATAAAACCATGAATGATTTTCTCTCTTATTATGAGCCCTCAAGGTCTAACGGACAGGTCACAAAAATTTACATGTTATGCAACTTTACAGTTTTATATTTGATTATAGGAAAATTAGGCTTTCAAGTAACGGAAAACTCAGGAAAATTTACATGTTATATGCAACTTTACAGTTTTATATTTGATTATAGTAACGTTAGGCCTTCAAGTAAGGGAAAGCTCACGAAAACTTACATGTTATATGCAACTTTACAGTTTTGTATTGATCATAAAAAAACTAGGCCTTCAAATAAGGGAAAGCTCACGAAAATTTACATGCTATATGCAACTTTACAGTTTCATATTGATTGTAGGAAAATTAAGCCTTCAAGTAAGGGAAAGCTCACGACAATTTATATGTTATGCAACTTTACAGTTTTACATTGATTAAAAGAAAATTGTATGATTTTGGGCATGAAATTATGTTATAATTGCGTCAACTGGATTTGACACTTTAACTTGCAAAAAACATTGAATAGAGATTTGGTTAGAATTGACAAAACATGAGTGTTATATCGGGAACACATCACAAAACCTCACACTAATTATAATTGCTCTAAATGACATATAGAGTTGTCATGTTTATTTCATCCTTTCTAACAAGTGTTCAACAATCATACGGATTGTTTAGATTTTATACCAAGATCAAGGATTACAAAGAAAGAAAGAAAGAAACAACTCAAAAGAAAGGCGAAATGACACCAAGTAGTTGCAAAGTAATAGAACAACAGGAACAATGAATGTATTTCAAGTTTGTAACTTATTCGGGATCATCTAGATTTAAAAAACGAAAAAAAAACAAACAGCCTTTCAGGCTTTTGTAGCTCCTCCGGCTTTCACAAGGTCTTCAAGAGACTTGAGAATCTGTGACTCGCTCATCCCATCCAAGTTTAAACACCTCTCCACTCCCATATCTGCCACAACAATTGTATGTGCAAGCCCAAGCATAAGTTAAACGCGGATACATAGGATTTTGTTACACTACTGTTGATCCTCTGACCTCAAAAGCTAACAACAGCATAAGCTATAAACTTTGGTATTCACATCAAACACAATAGTGACTACCAAAAAAAAATAAGATGGCACATTCTGTAACTACCTATAAACACATCCATGTCAAAATAATTGATGAACATTACATTTTTCATCAAATGTCTGGGCCCTAAGGGGTCAATTAACACACAACAATCAATTCAGGTAACTACCAACAGCAATAGGCACTATATGCAGATATTAAAAGCACAACCAAAATAATGCATAGTGGTTACACACACAACAATACATTGTGTAGAGATTCAAACTCTATGAAACAGATGAGAGTTTTAAAAGGATATTACCATATCGGGCCCACATCTGAGGCTGGATCCCACTGCATTCGCGGATCAGGAAAGGGAATTTAGGGTTCAGAGTCTTCAATTCTTTGTAATTCTTCTCTACGAACGTCCTGAAATCGAAACAAAACCAACCTTCAATTGAAAAACCTGAAATGGTCTTAACTGAATCGCTGAATCTCACAGATTTGGATTTTGATCAAAGACGCGAAAATGAAGATGAGGGGGAGTAAACCTGGTGGAAGAGCTAGCCGGGGAAGATTGACAGAGGAGAATCCTGACCTCTTTCAGAGACTTCGATATCTTCCCTCTCCATGCCATCCCTCTTCTTTTCCTCTCCTTCTACACTTTTACAAATGACGAAACTCTCTGTGTGTGTGTTCGAGTGATAAAAAAAATGGGAATTTTTAAAGTTATTGGGCCTAGGCCCATTAAGAGAGTCCATTAAAGTCGGTTAAAGGAGGTGGTGGACTAGGTTTACGTCTCCGCATACAACTACATTATAAATACTCTTTATTTCTTTTGCCACATTGATTGCTTTCAGACACAAAAGAAAAAGCTTCCTCGAAGGAATACGCAATCTCTCTCTCTCTCTCGCTTGGACGGTGTTCCTTCAGCGTAGCTTCTTCAGGTTATTTTCCGATCTTCTATATCGTATATTAATCTTACGTTTTGATTGATACTCCGTCGTTTCGATCAATCAGATCGTGTGAATCTGATTGTTTCTACGTGTTTATCGTTGTTTGTTTGTTTCTTTCGGTGAATTTGTCTACCAGATTTTTCTTGCGATTAGGTTGCATGAGTTGAATATTATTTTATGTGGCAGACTTATAATCTGGGATCTGTTTTGATTATCTTGAATCGTAAATTTTGTGGTTTCAATTATTGTTTTTCTCATGATTAGGTCAGATGTTCTATTAGATCAGCTGTTTATTTTGGAGATTTTTTTTTTTTTAAAGGGTAGATCCATGACTGAATTGTTCTTACTCTTTGTAGAGTCTGTAAAAAATCATATCGAATCCATTATTCAAACTAATTTTTATCAAGGTTGAAAGCATGATATAAAGTTTATCTTTTTCTGAATAATTATTTGGTAAATCGCACAATATGTTTTATATGATTATGATTACTGCATTTAGAACCAAGTTGGTGTATTCGTTTTTGGTATTTTGATGAATTGGTTTTGTCTTACGACCTGGCTATAAGAGTATTTATTTTGCTTTATCCTCATTGGTGATATATGATTTATTGGTATTAACTTAGCTTCTGTACTGTGGTCTTTACAGGTTAAAATGGGAGACAATCATGGTGACGACAAGAACATTGAGATATGGAAGATTAAGAAGCTCATCAAGTCCCTTGAAGCTGCTAGGGGTAATGGAACCAGCATGATCTCACTCATCATGCCTCCACGTGATCAGGTTTCTCGTGTCGCTAAGATGTTGGGGGACGAGTATGGAACTGCTTCGAATATCAAGAGTAGAGTCAATCGCCAGTCTGTTTTGGGTGCTATTACCTCTGCACAGCAAAGGCTGAAACTTTACAACAAGGTCCCTCCCAATGGTCTTGTTCTCTACACTGGAACCATTGTCAACGACGAAGGGAAAGAGAAAAAGGTTACCATTGACTTTGAGCCTTTCAAGCCCATTAACAACACACTCTACCTCTGTGACAACAAGTTTCACACCGAAGCTTTGAATGAGTTGCTGGAGTCTGATGATAAGTTTGGTTTCATTGTGATGGATGGTAACGGGACGCTCTTTGGAACCTTGAGTGGGAATACCCGTGAGGTGCTTCACAAGTTTTCTGTCGATCTGCCGAAGAAGCACGGGAGAGGAGGGCAGTCTGCTCTTCGGTTTGCTCGTCTGCGTATGGAGAAACGTCACAACTACGTGAGGAAAACAGCTGAGCTCGCCACGCAGTATTACATCAACCCTGCGACAAGTCAGCCTAATGTGTCTGGTCTGATACTCGCTGGTTCTGCTGATTTCAAGACTGAGTTGAGCCAGTCCGACATGTTTGATCCCCGGCTTGCTGCTAAGATACTTAACGTGGTGGACGTATCTTACGGTGGAGAAAACGGGTTCAATCAGGCTATCGAGCTTTCATCTGAGATCCTTGCGAATGTGAAGTTCATCCAAGAGAAGCGTTTGATAGGGAAGTACTTTGAGGAGATAAGCCAGGACACAGGGAAGTATGTGTTTGGTGTGGAGGACACTTTGAACGCTTTGGATTCAGGTGCTGTTGAGACGCTAATCGTGTGGGAGAATCTTGACATCAACAGATACGTGTTGAAGAACAGTGCAACTGGTGAGACTGTGATTAAGCACCTGAACAAGGAACAGGAAGCCAACACTGAGAACTTCAAAGTAGACAATAACGACTTGGACGTGGAGGATAAGATGTCGCTGCTGGAGTGGCTGGCTAACGAGTACAAGCGTTTTGGCTGTGCGCTGGAGTTTGTGACCAACAAGTCGCAGGAAGGGTCTCAGTTTTGCAGAGGGTTTGGAGGAATAGGAGGGATACTTCGTTACCAGCTTGATATGACTGCCTTTGATGAGGATTTGGATGTTTATGATGATGAATCTGAATAGCAATCAATCACAGCATCAACATCGCTGGTTCAGGGAGATGGTCCACCACCAAGCTTGAACCAGCCTGCGTGGGCTGTCGGTGTCACGCAGAAGATAATTGGAAACTAAATGAAGAAGCATCTTTTTCGAAGGGTAAGAGGATATATCTGTTGAAACCTAATTTTTTTTTTTAAAGAGTGCTTTGCTTAGTGTCTGAAATGGTGTTATAACAGGTGAAGAATGAAGTAAGTGGTGGAGAATGATGAAGTCTTGTTATGAATTACCTTTGTTATGTCTGAGACATCTATTATGGAGTTTTATTTTCTTATTGACTAGTATGATACTATGTGAGAGGAAACGGTTTAGTGATTTGCGTTTTTGGTATTTTCTTCATTGCATAGTCTGGATCTTTTGTGACTTTGGATTGTTGAATAAGTTGGTGAAGACCATCACTTCATCTATCTATGCCTTTGTTTTGATTAAAGTTGTGTATTTTTCCTTTTTAGTGCCTCTTTCCATTAGTTTCTTCCAGGCCATGTAACCAAAATGCATGCCATTGGAATAAAGGCTTATAACTCCACCTAACGTTCAAACTTGCCTAGCTAACTTTGACTTTAAAATTTGTGAAAGAAAAAATCGTATTTTCATTTAACAATTCTAGCTCATCCAGAAAACTATCTTAAAGCGGTAAATTACCTTGATTATTGGATTAATATTGTAAATAAAAAACTAAAGTCAAATAGTTAACAAATATCTCCATATGAGAGCAAAATCTTAAAACAAATGAATGGCGTGATAATTAATAAAAACTTAAAAAGGGGGTTGGTTTGGGTTTCCCCCACCTATCCCACCTTCACCTACTACAAGAGAAGAAAGTAAAACACGTCAAGTATCAGACAAATCTCGTCTCACTCTTTTCTTGTTTTTTTTTTCCTCAACTCACAGTTTCTGATCCTTTCTCCTTTCATCTCTTCACCAGAAAAATGGCTTTGCAAATGCAGACCTCCACCACGATCTTCAAAAACTCCACGCCATCTTCCAGCCCTGCGATCACCGGAAGACTCTTCCCACAGCAAGGAACCATCGCTGTTCGACGGGAAATGTTAACGGCGTGGCGAGGCGTCAGATGCAGAGGCGGTGGAGTAGGAGACGCCGGGAAGAAAAAAGCGGTTCCTAACTCGAACTATGTAGTGCCTTTGGACAAGTTCTCGTCCTCCTCGTCCATCACTCGTCCTCTGATTGAGATACTTCGTGATCTCAACAAGAAGATCCCTGATAACATCGTTAAGAGTCATGATCCTGGATCTAGTGCAGCTTCTTCTGGTTTCATCCCTTGGTACTAGATTTTGATCCCTTAACTTTATTGTTACTGCTGCTTCTTGATCTGAACTCTTGGACTTGTTTTTGAAGGTTCCATGCAAATCGGATGCTCAGCTTCTACGCACCTGGTCTGTACCGAACATTGCATCTTGTACTTCTTCTCTTGAGAGACTAATCTTATTCTCTATTGTCTTCAGGTTGGTGTGGGGAGGTTCGTGACGTCATCTTCTCTGAGAATGGTAATGTCACTGTTGTTTACCGTCTCACCATTCGTGGCTCTGATGGGGAGGTAAGCTCTTCCACTTTCACTTCCTGTTCTGTATCTCATGTATCCTAATGGTAGCTTTCACAGAATACTATTGCTAAGATCATCACGAACCGGTTTGTTTGCCTTGTGTTGTGACATATACTGATATACATAACCTTGTTTACAAGACCAAGTTTTTTTTGTCTTTCTTTCTCTCTCTCTCTCTGTGTTGCACTTTTCAAAAGAAGCTAAAGTTTCAATGTAATGCAGGCACACCGTGAATCGACAGGGACAGTAACGATCACTGATGATCACAACGAGGATCCGGTTGCTGCGGCTGAGGAAATAGCATTTTGCAGAGCATGTGCTCGATTTGGTCTCGGCTTGTATCTCTATCACGAAGAGTAGGCACCAAGTGTGCTTACCTTTTTTTTTGGTTGAACAAAGTCTCTATCAACTTGTTTAGAGACCCACCCTTATGCGTTCTAGAGTGCTAAATATATGTAATCATGTCCAGAAAAACAAGTTGTAATAATATTATACATTTACCTGTGTTCTTAGATTATTTTGTGTACATGAGTGAGTGAGTGACAACACTATGATCTCAGAAGTTTTGGACCCATATTTGAAGCCATCCAAGATGTGACTGCATCGACGAGCTGGGCAAGATCTTTGGACGCGTACGCATTAAGGATCTTCGAGTCCATTCCGAGCGTACCTCCAACCTCTTTAGCCACAGACTCCCACGGTGTTCCAACAGCCATATTCGCCAAAAACTCACTTCCTCGATTCACAGCGTCAGCCATTGCTGGTGGGACATCTGGAAGGGCCTGAACAGACACCAACATAAACGCGATTTCAACGTTACGACCTCTTTGAAAACAACCATACAAGTTTCTGATCCATGGTGTTAAAACTGAACTCAGTACCTGTTGTAGAGGAAGACCGTGATCCCCTGGAAGTGTACGGATGGACATGTCTAGCTTTGAGCTTATGGATGATTCCACGCCAAGCACTTGAGCGAGGATTGGTGTTTCATCTATTGAGTCATCCTGGAACTTTATCAACAGATTCCTTGAGATTCCATAGTAGGATCTTATCTGAACATTTTTAACAAGAATCTCTCGGTTAGTAAGTGATAGATGGTTACCAAGATGAGATAAGGCTCCATGATGAAATATATATACAATAACATTATGGGTTTTCACATACAAGGCGTCTTGTTTCTTCTGGTTTTGGAATAAAGTCTTCTCTTCCTTTTACCAAGTCCATGTACAGGGGAGGGAGCTGTTCCACTAGTGGTAGAATTTGCTTCATGATGGGAGGGCTGAGAGTTTCTAATTGCTTTCGGGTCATCTCTGCCTGCAAGTAGATTTTGTTGTTAGTTATTTTTGCCAACACCATCAACAAATAGGTAGAAAGCAGAGCGACTTAATATGTCAAATGTCAAAACTAAAGAAGAAAACCAATGAGTTAGTGCAAATTAGCAAACTTAGATCAAAAACAATCCCCGTAAGTAAAGGAATCAGAAGCTCACCCCAAGGCGGACTGTCGGGGATGTTGCTACCTGCGATAGCAGTGGTCCGAGGCTTTGAGCCATCGGAACGAGAACTGGGGAGAACAAAGGAATAGCTAAACTCGCTTCCTGCAAAATTAGAGGGTTCCAGAAATATATCACATTTAGAGGTTATGTGATTTCATAACAGGACTCACAGTATCCTCCCACTACAGAAAGTATTACTTTATAAGTGTGACAGATCACAAGGTCTTCATCAATTGGAAAACTAGTCTCGGAATAAAAATAAATCAGTTTACCTTGTTGTTGAAAGCCATAAATACATTCCCATTTCGCTGAACAGCATACCTTGATCCTGAATTACTAGTGAACCAAACTCAGTAACAAAAACAAATGAGCTAAATCAGTTATACACATTCAAAACCTAGTTACCAATGAGAAGGTGAATGAGGGATCCCAATGAATGACCAATCCCAAAAGATGGAAGATCCTGCACCTGTTGAGACAAAAGTAATCACTACTTCAAATCTTATGTTCCCATATACGGACACGAATGTTCCTTTAGAGCAAAGAACAAAAACATGTTTGACTCACTGATTCATGTAGAGATCGGCAGCACCTATCAAACTTAAATTGCACTTCATCCGCAATAGCGAAATGGTCAAAACCACTAGCATATGGTGTGGCAATAACCAAAACATCCCTGCACGAGAGACGGTGTTAGATAATACCATGTATAAAGCTGCACTACAAGAAAAAAAAAAAAAAAAAAAAAAAAAAAAAAAAAAAAA